ATTAATTACTAGATGCAATTTTGGATTATTCCTTTCACCCTTTCCTTTAAAGTCTCCGATTTTTATTTGCTCTGTCTTTTATGTCTGTCTTTTCTGTCTGTCTTTTCTTTTCTTTTCTTTCTCTTTCTCTTTCTCTTTCTCTTTTCAATCCCCCAAGTCTGAACACTGAAATTACTTCGGATTTTTGGAAAATATCAGAAATTTAGCTTCACTTTTATGTACAATAACGTCAAAAGAATCGCCTAAGAATTTGAGCAATGAAAACAAAGCAAACGAAGCAACACAATGATTTCTGATTAAGTGAAAGTTTTTCGAAACTGATCAAAGACTGAAGCTTCTTTTAGTTTCTGATTCCAGATCATTTACTTCAAAAATAACTCTCTTTCTTTTCCTTTCCACTTGTTCTTTTTAAAGTAATCCACTAGAGCCTTTCCTCCTCTTTTTCTCTCTTTTTCATCTTCTCACTCACAACTCAACTTTAATGTTTTTCCAATTCTTTTTTGGTGCAAAATTTTGTTTCAAATAGAGTAGTGGGGAAATTAGTTCGAGTCAATTTTATTTATATTTGCAAATAGCCTCACTCGTAAGTAAATAGCCTTACTCGTTTGAACACGATCTTACTGAAGTAAGGTCGTGTTCAATTTTGTGTCCATTAATAGTAAGTTGAAAGCAAGAACTCAATATTGTGTTAAATAGTATTTCATTGACCGACTTCCGGATAGCGGATGACTTCAGGGTTTTCTTTTGGTGTATTTGTGCTCATAAAATTCAAAAACCCACCCTTTCTGGCGCTCCGAATTCTTTATTTTTCTTGTGGCCTCAATTCCTTACTGCATGAAAAGTGGGGAATCATGTGTTGGTTGCGTTTGAGTTTTTGTCCACAAAATAGACCGAAATGAATAACTCTGAAATCGTGATCATACAGATAAATGCATTTAACACCAATCTAGAACCTAAATATTTAGCCTATAAATAGAATAACTGAAAGAAACTCGACTTGGGTCTCTTTCCCTTCAACGAAGTCTCCCTACTCGATTGTGGGGAATCATTTGTTGGTTGCGTTTGAATTTTTGTCCACAAAATAGATCGAAATGAATAACTCTGAAATCGTGATCATACAGATAAATGCATTCAACGCCAACCTACAGTACTGGACAATGAAATATGATATTTGAAAAACGATCGTCACTTTCGCGCGTCTGTAACTCCCTTGTCTTTGAGTTTAAACTATTAGTGTTATACATTTTCTGAAAGCTCTTTTCAAGGGCTACACAATGGTAATATTAATAGCTAGAAATACGGTAAAGATAAGGGAGTTACAGACGGGCGAAAGTGATGATCGTTTTTAAAATATATGATATTTCATTGTCCAGTAGTGTAGAACCTAAATATTTAACCTATAAATAGAATAACTGAAAGAAACTCGACTTGGGCCTCTTTCCCTTGAACGAATTCTCCCTACTCAATCGTCGTAAAATAAAGAATGCACGCGTGTGCTATTTCTTTCTTTTTCTCTTTCCATTCTCTTTTTTAGTTCTCTTTCCATTCGAGGAAGTTTGCCCATTTTTGTTTTTCTTTTTTTCTTTTCATTTGATACTTGTCCCCTTTCTACTTGGAATTGCTCTAGAATGGTCTAGGCCAATTGAATGTTTATGGCTTGGTCAAACTCTTTCTCTGTTGGCACTTTACAACCGCACCTGGATAAAACTGTTCCGATTATGAAAGGCTTTGAGTAGATTGAATATTAGAATCCTGTCTTTGATATTTAACATTATCTAGCTACAATAATAATAATATAGGAAAGCTACAAGCTAAGCTATAAGCTAAGCTACAAGCTAAGCTACAAGCTACCAGTCGTACCTTTCCTTCAAACACTACGATTCATCAACGATCAATCTCACCATTTCGCACATTAATCAAAATTCATGATCATCGATTTGAAGAAACCCCAAAAATAAGGATTCTCTCTCACGATCCCGGTGAATAGAAAAGAGTTTCGATTGAAAGAAAGACAGAATTGATGAGCTGTCCGAAGCCATCATTTACATATGATCCCTGTTGTAGCTTCAATCTGTGCACATTCAAAAGACTTTGTGCCTTGCCAAATGCTTGAGCAGAACCCACTTTATCGGCTCTTCTTTCAAAATCTTCAAAAAATTCCCCTCCAAAATAACCTAAACCGCTTTCACTCGATTCATTTGCATTGCCCCCCTCGATTTGTTCAGCCGTTCCCCATCTTCCCCTCTTCTTTTTACATGTTTCCATTGAATTCCTGTTGTTCAATCCACAGGTTGCCAATCACCGAAAAGGTTTCTTTTCGTTCAAGAGAAAAAGTCATGACGCATTGATACTTTTTTCTTCTTTTCTCTGAAGAATTCGCCCGATCGCTTTCGTCGGGCCTTTTTTAGTGGTTTGGGAACCGCTCAGAACATACATTTCTTCGAATCCCTATTTTCTTTTTGTCTATTTTTATTTTGCTTTTACTCATTCGACTACTCCAAATACAGTAGACTGATTCACACCGATTTTTTGCTCATTCGGCATGGGAATCTTGCAAACTAGCGGATAGTTTTTCATAAAAACTTAAACTGACTATATTTAGATAGATGCTTGGATCTTTTAAATGTTCAGGTAAGTCGATGCAAGTTCCAATAGCCAAATTCTAGTTTCTCCTTGCAGCTTCTAAATGGCACAGGCTGAGATTTCGAAGAAGGAGATCAAATGTTCAAAAACAATTCTTGGCACATGCAAATTCTTACGTCCACTCAACCTTTAAAAACGGAGCTCTTCTAAAATTAGAGGTGATCGTGTGACGCACAGGATTGGGGGAGGGTAGATGGAAGCGTAGATGGGAGAGATGCATGTCGAAAAATTCAGTCAGCAGAAAAGAGATGGTTTTGTATGAAAATGAGAAAAAAAAATAGCAGGAGAAGGCAATGAATGTGTTTGCACAGCTCGGATTTCACCTCCCAACTGGAGAAGAGGAGGGAGATCCATCCATGGGCAACGGGGACCCTCGGATCCCCACATATGGAAGAACCAACTGCTTCCCATTTCTACATTCGATTAAGGAAATGTTTTTGAGTACACTTGACTCTTGTCACTCCTTACCGTACACTTTCCTTGTACTTGGAGCTTGTTAAAGATCACTATTCCAACCGGGCACAGTATCCAGGTTTCTAATGGATTCTTCGAGATCCAGGACCACTATAAAGTCCTGGATATGAGGCTCTCTGGCAAACATTCTCTAAAGTTGATAGACTCATTAGTAGAACTCTACATAATTACCTTTCTAACATTTTCTCAAACAATTTCTCAAACAAATTGTACGAGTATTTTCTCATTTTTTGGAATTTATGAATCAATCACAAATGAATCAAAAACCAAGCTAGCTTGGAGTAAATTGAATTGAAGAAAAAAGAATGATAGAAATGATTGAGGAATTGTGGAGATAGATCTGTTTGTTTTTGAAAGGAGAAATTTGAGGTGGAGGAATATGGGTGGAAGTGCTGGATTAGATGAGGGGGGAAAGGGGAATCGATCAGATCGGAGACATCATTGATCATCATCATTGAACGGGGTGCAGAGGTGGCTTTCTTCAAAGGTTTCACCTAACTAGGTGGTTGCCCTGATGATTTTTGTTATCTTCTTTTAATGCCTCGTTTTAAAGTTTTTGGTTATTTGCTTCAAGTTAGTAACTTTTTCCATATCTCAACGAGTACCGACTTTACTTGGCCTCTTCAGTTCAGATCGTCAGCTTCGCTAACCTTAACCCACTGGATCACTTGCCCTTGTTAACTTACCGGGTTCTTAAAAACGGGGAAAAATGGTGGGTTTTCCCCCGTTTTCCAGTCAGAATTGAATAATTTCAATACAATATGCTCGCTCAGCTTACTGCCGTCCAGCTTACTGCCGTTTGGCTTACTGCCATTCAGCTTACTGCCATTCAGCTTACTGCCATTCAGCTTACTGCCGTTCAGCTTACTTTTTCAGAACTGATCATCCAGTTAATGAATTCCTTCGTTATTCTCCTCATCACAAATTCTCATTGTTTCTTTATTCTACCGTATATTCTCTGCCGTTCACCGTTGTTCCAATAGATGGATGGATGGGTGGCAATTGGGGAATTCGGGAATTGGGGAATTGGGGCAATGTTTACTCTCTCTTTTTTTTCTTTTCCATCCACGATCACCTTTCTTTTCTCTCTCTTTCTTTTTTTAACTTTTGCTTCGACTTTTTGTTTTCCATTGGGTTAATTGAGCTCAAAGGAGTCAATTTTCAGCAATTTCAGCACTTCATTTCCCCCTCCCATTACTTCGTGTCGTTCCTTTTTACTTACCCTTCAAAAAATTTTGAGTGATCTATAGTGTTTTTAAAAATTGCATTACACAAAGAAAAGATTCTTTTTTATCTTTTTTTAAAAATAAAATTTCTCCGTTCTCGGGTACCAATTCCTGGCAAATCATTCAAGAAAAAATGATTCTTTAATGGCGCGAACTTTGAGTTAGAAACGGAAGCACACCATTTCTGATGCACTGATTTACCTTTATTTCTTGCAATGCTAGTCGTAGCCAACATGAAAACTTTTGTGCCGTCATTGCGCCAAAAGTAATGCGTTCCCATTTTTGCGCACAAAGTACACGATCGAAAAAATCCCGATCGAAGAAAAAATTTGACAATTTCGAAACAAAAGTTGCCATCTTTTCTTTTCTTTTCTTTTCTTTTCTTCTTTCCTTTTTCTCATTTTTGCTTCACCTCTCAAATGGTTGATGAAAGAAGTTTTATTCTTCGAAAAGCTTTGCAAACAGATGACCCATCCAGTCCATTTCCCCTTCTTTCCCTCAACGAGTTTTTCTCTTCTTTTTTTTTCTTTTCATTTTTCAACAGTTAATCAATTACCGTCTCCTGTCTAAAGTTCTAAAGCAAGTTTCGATAATTTCCCTCAAATTTAGCCCTTTCCTCTCAAATCGGGATCTCCCCTCGCGCACAATCAAACGGGGATGCTGTGGTGGCTTGTGGTTGGCACGCTTTGTGCCACAACTGCGTAAGTTTCGCTTGTCTCTTTGATAACAACAAGCTACCATCAGCCAGTCAAACATTTACAATAATTGTATCCAAAGCTGTTATTCTGAATTTCCTATTGCAGAGCTCTTCGCCTCCATCAGCACACTTCATCCCCTGAACAATGTGTCGACCTTCAATGCCCGGTCATGTCATTTGATTATGGTTGAATGCATTTTCATTTTCATATTTAAACTCAATTTTAGGCCGAAAAAAGCTGGTAAACGAGGAAACATTGAGTGAGGAGCCGTGCAGGAATTGTCAACAATGTACAGCTGCTGGATATAGGTATGGGAATTGATTGCACTTGACCCAAGATACAGAATTTGCAAATGAAAACCCTCGAGCTTGTCCATAAGAAAGCGAAAGCAAAACTCAATTTCAGCGTTTGCCTGAAGCCGAGGGTGCTAAATCGAGCGAAACGACAAGCCACATTACAACAGGTAATAAAAGCTTCAGTATAAAAGCTCAGATTGCATCAGTCTAAAAGCTCAGACTCAGAGATTGCATCATCGTCAATCCGAATCAAATCAATACGAGTTCCGCCACTCGAACACAGGCAACACGATAGCGTTTTTCGTTTTTGCCTAAACACTCTAGATTTTTGTAAAAAAAAGGAAGAAATTTGACCCCCTAATGCAGGTATTTAACGGCCGCCAAACTATCGGCATACAATTCTGCTGTTTATCTGTGTCTAGATATTGAATATATCTTCTAGAAATCGAAATCCCCTTACATTTTCAGATGCCGACCTGCTCCTGCGCCCATTCAGTCCCAGCCAATTGCCACAACGAACTCTCCCGTACCACCCATCCCGCTAATATCACCATGCAACTCTATAATGTTTGCTATGCGTCATGTAAGCTTATATTTAGTACGTAGATATATGCAAATTTCAGCTCTCCAAGCTCCTGCCGCTCCTCTAGCCTTAAACTCGCCAAAGAGCGTCATTGTGACAGTGGAGCCATTCTGGGAAGAACCGTATTGGAAAGAATTGGACTTGGAGAATCTCACACTCACATACAATTACAATGTTAAGGTAAAGGATTTGAGTCTGATGGATCAAGGTTTTACAGTAGAAAGATTTTCAAACTAAAGATTGAGCAAAACTGACAATCATTTGTGAATAGTCTCTTAATTGTTTAATGAATATTTTCAATATCCATTTTCTAGGTCCCAGAGCATTGTGATGGTGATTTGACGACAAAAGAGATCGACGGAGACGCAATTCACACATGCACGGCACAACTGAAGATCGGAATGAATACTGAGGATCGAACGGGAGAAGAAGATTATGAACATTCGGAGGTAAATAAGTCTTGAGTTGTATAAACGAAATTAAGATGCAAAAAAAGATTAAAAGAAAAGGAGAACTTTACAGAACTCAATGTACGACGATGATCTTCCACCCGAAGTCGACTTTGACCGTGATGTTTTTGCCGGCGCAAAAACGGTCAACTTCTCGTATAAAGTGAGCGTGCGACGGCCAAGACAACTCAAAGTTCGGGTAAAGAATTTCAAAGATTATCTTAAAAGTTCTAAATTCCATTTTTTTTTGTTCAGCCTGGTTCATCAGATCCATTTGAAGACACGGGAACGGTTGTCGAATCGGAAACTCTCATTCATGAGATGAAACCCGAGATTTTTGGAAATGGAATGGAAGAAGCTAAAGGTTTCGAGAAAACATTAATGAAGATAAAGAAAATTTTAGCTAAATCTCAAAAAGGAGAGGAAAAAGAAGAAGAGAAAGAGGAGGAGAAAGAGAAAGAGAAAACACATGATGATACACCGACGGAGGGAGAACAAGAAGAAGAGGAAGCGATTAGTGAAGAGGTCAGTGAGGAAGTGATGAAGGGGAAGGATTTTAGTTTAGAATGAGATAGCTTATATATTAACAACCTTTTTACAGGAGGGAGAAGGGCCAGAGAACTTGCCGGGCACCGATTTCTTTAGTGATGACAAATCAAAGGATAAGAAAATGACGGATGAAGAGAAAAAGGAAGAGGAAGAAGAACAGAAAGAGGAAGAGATTGAGGAGAAAGAGGCTGAAGAAATTGGAGAAGAAGAAAGGAAAGAAGAGGAGAAAGAAGAGAAAGAGGAAATGGAACAGAGGGGGAAAGAAGAGAATGAGGAGGAGGAGAAGGAGGAGAAGGAGGAGAAGGAGAAGAGTGGAGGTGAGACAGCGGAGAAGTTGATTTGATCATCAGATAGGTTTAGATGAGAAGACGAAAGAGGAGGATGGAGAAGAGAAAGACAAGGAGGAAGAGCATAAGGTATGGAGGAAATCTTTTCATTTTAAGTGGAAATTCTCGATGTAAATCTGCTCAAATTGTTAACTCTTTCTAATTTAACTTTAGGAAGCCGTCAAGGAGGAAGAAAAGGATGAGAAATCGAAGGAAGAAGAAAAAGTGTTGTCAGGAGATGATGAAGAGAAAAAAGAAGAAGATAAATTGATTGATGAAAAGGAAGAGAAAGAAGAAAAGGAAGAAAAAGAAGAAAAGGAAGAGAAAGAAGAAAAAGATGAGGAAGAAGAAAAGAAAAACGAGGAAAATGGATCGGGAAGTGATGAAGGAGATGATGGAGAAGGAGATGAAACTGAAGAAGGGAAACAATGGTATCAAGTGAGTGAGAGATTAAGGGACTTTGAGTGATAATCACTTTCAGCACATCAAAGATTTCTTTGCCACTGAGCCTCGATTGAATTTGGCAAGATGGGTGTTTATTGTGACGATTGTTGGTGAGTGGGAAATAGGAAAATTTGTGGAAAAGACTGTAGATCGTATTTCAAAGAAATCAATTCTCATTTAGCGTGCACTCTTCTGATTTGCACTGTGTGCTTGAGGAGACGATGCATGGCGAGGAATAAGGTTTGTAAAGTTCAATTATTGAGTGAAAACAGAATCCTCAAAGACTGTTAATATCATTTTTGTTAATATCATTTAAAAGTAAACGTTCAACTCTACAAATCACCCATTCTTTCCCCCAAAAAACCCCCAATTTTCCAGCGCCATCAAAAGACAGCAAACGGAGTTCGCTACGAGGCCACAGCCACTTCGTCCCTTCCACAAACTTCTTCTGATAAACATCACAGTGGACATCAATTGGTGAGCCCCGAGCGCATGCATCTCAACCAATAGATTCCCTTAAACAACAAGAATTTGTTTCATTCATTTATTCAGAGCAAATACAATTCACTATCTAATATCACTTATTCTTCAATATCAATAATATTCGCGCCCTAATAATCACAAATGCCGGTGTTGTTTTTCCTATTTTTCGTTGTGTTAATGGATTTTCGTTTTCGCAAAACTCGTGTGTATAGTTTTAAAGCTTTCGATTACTGTGTGAGGAAAGCTGAAAATTGAAATCTGCTACAGTAATCGAGAGTTATTTATGAGAGATTCCCTTCATTAAGTAGGGAATTCTCTTGATGACATCGCTGAACACGTGTCTCTAGTCAAGTTCTCGCTTTACCAAAAATAAAAAAAGACAATCCACAATTGACTCTTTCAACTAAATGATGAGTGACTTGGTTTCTTTTAAGAAAAGAGTTTTCTAAAGATTAAAAGACATCTATTTTAGACATTTATCATAAGCCGCCGGCTTGGGGTAGGCTAGTTTCCGCAATTTTTTTTGCGCAACAGGGTCATTTGCGCAACTGGGTCTTTTGCTCAACTCGCCATAACTTTCTTCTAAGTGGGCCAATCTTTATGGTTTTGGTATTATTTTGTTGCACTTATTGAGATCTACAAAATGGAACCAAAAGCATAAAGATTAGCCCACTTAGAAGGAAGTTTTGGCGAGTTGCGCAAATGACCCAGTTGCGCAAATAACCCTGTTGCGCAAAAAAAAGTCGCGGAAACTAGCCTACCCCGCCGGTTTGCATTCAATGAGCTCAATTTTGATATCATTAATTGATTATTTTCATTACTCAATAAACGATACGAAAATTGAAATGTTCAATGAAAACTGGCGGTTTGAGTGCGGTAGATTTAAGTAGGTTAAGCTCTATACTATTATCTTACTGTAACAACTGTAACAACTTACTGTTAGCTTAGCTTCAAGTTAAGTCAAGAAAACCCGACAAAAGTCGCTGATTCATTTCATTGAAAACAAGTCAATTGTAGTCGTTTCCCCCCAATCATCAGTTTCAGTGTCATTTTTTTTCTTTTTTTCTTTTCTTTTCTTTGCTTGATTCATTATCCTTTATTTGCGTCTTATAGACAGAATATTTGAATGTTTTCCTCTAGTCTTTTCTCATTTCATTCATTTCCTTGTTGTGATGTCTATTCTTTCGTAGTCTCTCCAGTGCATATCCCTAAATCAAAATAATTTTTTTCTGCATTGAGTTATTTTACGGTTCTCTTTTGATTTTAACAACAATAACCGTCATCTGTTTTTTTTTGGTTTTGTGAGATGTGAGATTAACTTTCGTCGAAATTTGAAAGCGTTTTGAGTTGATTATTTCCCAAGAAGATTAACAACAATATAACTACACAAAAATAACTGCACTTAATAATGAAAATAACAAATAACAACAAAGAAATATGGGAAGAAGATCGGATAACGAGAAAGTGATAGGAATTGATGGAAATTGATGGAAATTGATGGAAATTGATGGAAATTGATGGAAATTGATGGAAATTGATGGAAATTGGTGGAAATTGATGGAAATTGATGGAAATTGATGGAAATTGATGGAAATTGATGGAAATTGATGGAAATTGATGGAAATTGATAGAAATGAGAAAGATTTCGTTTGATAAAAAGATCAATTGAAGGGGAAAAGAGTACAGTAGCTGGTAACGACTATTATCTATTATTATCTTACTATACAGTAACCTAAACATTAAGCATTAATCTTAAATTACAGTATCTAGATTCTAAAATCCTTTATTAGCAAAGTTAGTGTCAAATAGTCACTCTGATGTGTTAAATAGTCTAAACTATGATGCTCTACCATAATCACTTTTTATTTAACACTAAATCATCGTAAAGAAGTCTATGTTAGCTAAAACTTCAGTCTATATTTGATATAGTAAATGCTGTACTAAATTTACATATGCTATTTGACTCTTACCTCACCTCTAGTGCATTTTGATCTTACCAATCTAGATCAGCTCCCGAAATTCGTTAACCATTCGTTAGCCAAGTCTAATAAGTGTTACATATCCCTTGTTTACCGTCATCCAGATGCCATCTCGAAATTGAAATTTCTCGTTATTCAATGATGCTTCCCTCCTTTCCCTTTAAACTAACCCGATCCAATCAATCGGCCGCTTGGGCAATCATGACACACAATGCAAAACATTTCTTTTCTTTTTCTTAATGTTTTGCTTTTTTTGAGCTTTGCATGTTTGTTTTCTTTAAAGTTATTAAAAATTACACTAAATTCACAAGAATCTTTAGTGTTCTTTAGTTGGGAACTAAGGGCCGCCAAAATAATGACTGCAGGCGGGGTCGGACCCGCCAAACCAGCGGAGACCTCGGGTTGGGAGCCTAACAATCTGGCAGTCCACCATGAAGACAGACTGGTTGAGCTACTTTTCCGCGCCCTTTCCTCTCAAGGAGCTTTCTGTGCTACCCTTTATTGAGGATCCTAGGAGGCCCGACTATAACTCTTCCTCACTAATTTCCCTCTCTCTCTCTCCGATTTTCAGTATTCGGTTGCTGAAATCGAAATTGTTTTTGGGATGAATCTATTTTTTTTTTCATAAATAAATTGTTTTTCTTGAATAATTATAAAACACAAGACAGATGAGAGTTCAAGCGGTCCGATTTTTCCTTCTTCCGATCTTTGCCGATTCTTCTCCATGCCACTCAAATTTTCTCTATCAAATCACAAAAAGATAACTTTTTTTTCGTTTTTTGGTGGTTTGTGAAAAATAATATAACATAAACAGATATATAATCGAAAATCGAAAATCGGAAAAAATAAAGTTAATGAAATTTGAGTAGTTGTGTAGATAAGCTTTGTTTGCCATTCCTCCATTGGCTTAATTCCTTTCATTTTGTTCAACTAGTGATCTGTGCAAAAAAGTTAAGTTTCATAGTGTCAGTGTAGTGTTTTTTTTTGCAGAAGGATTGAAGGATTATTGCATAACATAACAGAAGGATCATTAGGCGCTTTCTAATGTAATACCTTGATTAATTGACAGTATTTTCCAAACATTAAGCCACCGTTTCAGGAAAATCCCCTCAAACAACCGCTCATCGATCCCGAGATGGAAAAAGAGGGAATTATGGAGACGAGTATCGATGAGCTCACATACAGATACAAGTCATTTTTCAAGCTTTAAAATAATCCTTTTTATGTTAAAACTACGAATTTAGCCTATGAACGAATTGTTATTCTCTCTGTTATTGTTATTGTCTTGTTATTCTCTCTGTTATTGTATACAACGAATTGTTGTTTCTCTCTCTTTCTCTACCAAAATATCCTTTCTCTTTCCAGCTCAACAACTCTTTCCTTGAAGAACCTAGCAGCGAATGATCTCGAGATTTGCGCGCTAATAGGTAACGGGAAACATTTCCGAGTTTGAAACGATTCAGAAATAGAAAAATCACCGAAAACCCTTTCAGGCCGAGGTCGTTTCGGGTCGATTCATCGGGGAATGCTGCACACAGAAAGGGGTGGAATGAGAGATGTCACTGTGTATTGGTTACAAGGTACACACAAATATAGGCTTACCAAAACTGGTCCTAAAACAAATCAGGTGATACTAATGGTCTAGGCTTGGCCTTGGAAATTTTGTAGGTCATCCAGGACCAAACCAGGCCTATTTCCCTGACCAGCTTGGAAAGATTATGCCTTATAGAACCATCCCTGATGCTCAGAGACTTGTTAAGCTTTAAACGAATGCCTCTAAAACCATTTAGCTTTGCAATAAAGCTTACAATTTACCCTTTTCAGCCCCCGGTGCACTCTCATCGAACGAAATGAGAGCCTTGGTAAGGGGACTCGAATTGGGAGTCCAATCAGCTACCTCATCCACTCATATCTCTATTCATGGAATATCATATAACAATGGTAAATGAAAAGCTTTTATTGCTTCTAAAAGAATATCTAGAAGCAAGCCTTGTTGTATTGGATCCTTTATGGGAACCCGATTTAAGAGCCGTTCTCCGTGAGTCAAGAAGTGCTCGGTTTGCGTCGGAAAATCTGCGGTAATGCTTCAGATTCTGATTTTATCCGAAAAAACTCTTAGATCTGCCTCTTTTCTCTCAGCTGAACGTTTATTTTCAATTATGAAAGGTAAAGAATACAAAAATATTTATAACTATAGAATCTCAGAGATCTCGATTGGTGTGAAAACATTGGTGTCGAAAAAGGTTTTCCATCAGAGTCTCTGTGCGGCGAATATTCTCGTCGGAGAGAGAGGACATGTAAGATTTTTGATAATAAATTATCTAATTATGATATTAGATAAAAATCAGCGGCTTCGGACTGGCCGAGCATCGGTCCTTGACGGCGAGAAAAGACGAGAAGGTAGGGAAAGGAGGGGAAGAGTTCATTTAGAGATCACATTCATTACATTCACTAGAGGAAAAAATGTAGTTTACAGGATTGACTTGCATAAATATTACAGACTCCTCGTTTAATCCGATGGCAATCCCCTCGAGTACTCAATCTTCAAACAACAGAAACCCCTCGATTCGAGGAAGCCGATCTCGTCTGGTCACTCGGAATTCTTCTATGGGAAATTGCGTCTTTAGGTGAAATTTAAAACAATTTTTAGATATAAGATAGTTAATTAGGCATTAACCCATTCGAAACTTCTGCAGCAAAAACTCAGGAACGGACCGCTGCAGCGATTATTCGCTAATTGAGCTATTTTCATTCAATTAATTGGTTTTTTTTTTGCTGTTTTTCAGCATTACATGTATATTCCAATTGTAATAGATCTACAAATTACGTGGGCAAAAAAGACGTGTCATGTTTACCCGGAATCAATGCAGCCTCTGGTTTTGCATTGAAATGTTCCATAGTAGCTCTAATCTTATAAAGCCGATCTTCGAATGGGTTAAGCATCAATATTTTTATAGCTCACGCTCAAAACCTCTTTAATTCGCATAGGTGGCACGCCTTATGCGAAAATTCGAAACGAAAGCGAGTTGCGAGTGAGAATACCGAATGAAACGGCGAAAATCGAGCATCCATCTTATGTCGATTTACCATTGTTTGTTGTCAAGATATGCTTTCAAATTTTTGAAAACTTTCAGAAGACAATTGATTGACGAATGTTTGCAAGTGGATGCGACAAAAAGAATCGATCTCGAGAGTCTCATCAAAAGGATTGAGTGTCTCACGTTGGAGGCATCGGTATATCGAAATCGTATCTAACTTTATCCTCGTAACTTTTCAGAAACAACTCCTTTTGGTTCTCCCATTCGACTCAGAGCCTCCATCAGACACTCCGAGAAGAACGGGAAGCTCAAATCGAGCTGAGACTTTCGAATATTCACCCGTTGTGCTTCCATTAGAATAATATATCCAATAAATATGTCTTATTTAATATTACGAAAACATTTATTAAGGTAAAGATTTAGGGGAAAGCACGTGCCCAGTAAAACTCGCATTGATATCACAAGTTTGAAGAAAGAGGGGAAAACTTTGAAAACTTTGAAAACTGCCTACAAATAAGTGAAGAATTTAAGAATCAATAACCAATAAGGCAAAAATAAATACTAGATTTAAAAAGATAAATGAAAACTTTAGAAAAACCAACAAATAAAGAGAGGAAACATGTCATTCTCCAGATTGCGATAAATAATTTGAAATTTTTGCCTGTTAATAAAAGCGTTTTACTAGAAAATGCCATTTTTCTATCTTTTTTTTTGCAAATTGAATAGAATAAAAGGCCTATAACTCGTCCTTTTCCTCGTCGGAATCCTCCACATCAGCTGGTGGTGGTGTAGCTGAAATACACAGCACTTTTTCGGGCTTTTTTTAGGTTAAAGCTTGAAGTATGGATCCAAAGATGTATTCTCCATTTTGGGGCAAAAAAAATCCGCACAAATGAACACCTTAAATTAGGCTCCCAACACCAGAAAATTGCCCGAAATGCGTAGGGTAGTGCAAGAGGGAAATAAACAATAAACTTCAGGGTAAAACATGGTCAAAACTGAGAAAAACTAAAACACTGAGAAAAGCTACATACTAGCTAAATATTACTGTAAAATTTCAATCTCTTGACTCACTGAGACTTGAAATTTACAGTAACCCAAGCCCCATCTAGAATCTAGAATTCGAAATGCTTTTTAAGATGATCGGGTACGGTATCCGGGCTCACAAATAATTCGATGAGAACAAAAGAAATGAGAGAAATGATCAAAAGAAAAAAAAGGAGAGGAGATGGACGAGAGATGATCAACAATGTGGCGATGAAGAGACCGATCAATGAGAAGCCCCTCAACAATGTATCGGGTCGAATCCAAGGACGATAGGGTGAAGCTGAATGGAAAATGCGAGTACTTTCTAATGAAAATTGGTTTTTGATTGTTGTGTTGAAAGGGGGAGTTTGTGATGAGATGGAGATAAGGGATACAAATTTCGATAGATGCTCGTTAGATTGTTGTAAAACACTTATTCAGTTGATGGTTTAAAAACAATTCAAGTTGTTCAAAAGATGAAAATTCGGTTTTCAAGAAAGGCCGCTTTTTTCATTTTTGAGCACAAAGTATTGGGTTGTTAGTGGGTAAGAAATGTCGCTAAAAATAAGCAACTCATTTATTCCATATTTTATATGCGATTCTCCTTTTTTATATTTTATATGTCTAAAGATTCTCCATTATTTTGGATGAGTTGAACCCATTTTACTGACAACGACCGAATGCCTCTCTCGTAGAAAATTTTTGGTTTTGATGCGAACCAATCCGTGAGCCACTTTTTGACATCATCTTCAAAATCAAAGCGTTTATTGGCCAAATCATTGCTAGTAGTAATCAGAAGGTGCAAGATCAACGCTGTATGCCGGATGGGCCATCACCTCCCATTCAGGTGAGTTTAGTTTAGAACGAGTTATCTTCAAAACATGTGCTCTAGCATTATCATGTTTGACCCTAAGCAAATGCTTTGCGACTTTTTCGGTGAAGGTAGTTTGTTGTTTGTTTGTTTGTCAGTTTTGTTTGTTTGTCAAGTTTGTCAAAACTAGGGTTATTGAAGAAAATATGTCAATAATGTTTAGAAATCAATCGAAAAAATAGCGACATTTCATACCCACCCAACCAATACATCTTGACTTTTAAAAATTAGAAGCAAAGTGTGTCAGTAAAGCCGTGAACGTGCTTAAGCGTTATGTACAGAAGAAATGAGATATAAGCATGCAGGAAGCTTTTGTGCTAAGAGAATTAGAAATCTTTTTCATTCAAATCATTCTCACTAGACTTGTTAAGCGGGAATTAGCGGGAAATGTTAGGGCAAATTGAAAGATATTCGCACGCAATCGAGTGGACTGCGCTTTGCTTCTTCGGCGAAACTAATTCTTGTGAGTGGTTCAAATTTTTTTGAAAAAAATGCTCATGAGACGCATGATCGCAAATGATACACGGCGCAAAAATTTTTGGCGTAAATAATTTGGCGCTCTTGCTAGCAACTCTTCCCGATTTTCCCTGATAAGCAAGTCTAATTCTCACCATTCACATCCACTTCACACTCTTTCGTATTCTCATTTCTGATGTATCCACGAAGGCATTCACACCGGAAGCTCCCAATATCGTTGATACATCTGGATTTCTGTCTTTTTATGCCTTTTCTTTTCAACAAACTCTTCATTCGCTTTTCCGCACGGTTTTAGATCAGAATTCGCACATTCATCAACATCTAAAATTACTGTTTCAAATTTCAATATCCATTTCACATACCGACACAAGCATTGTTGGGATCTCGTTGGAAACCGGCTCGACACTCATTGCAATCAGCGGATGTCGGTCCTGTACACCCTCCACTGCATCCACCATGACATTCTAAATGAATTGAGCTTTTAACGTACTATAACTCTTTGTTCTGAACTCAAACTACTACAAATATGCTGTTTTATTAGCTGGGATTTGCTTGCTGTAGTTACCTAGGTTACTTAATTGGAAACTGTGTCAAAAATCTTTTTTTTTTCCTTCATCCACTCACCAGCACAGTCCACCCGTTTCTCTTCTTTGAGCGTGAAATAATAGTTTGTCTCACATTGTCTACAGAGAAGACCCGAATACCCTTTGTCACAATTGCACTTTCCCGTTCCACCACGGCTTTCGTCGCCCTAAAACTGCTTATTTCAGCAGCAGCGGACTTCAGAATGCAAATTTCAGTCCACCATTGCACATATGGCTTGTAATTGAGCGTTTTAGATGTGTCAATCAGTAGGACCCATTATACTCGTTTTGATTGCAAACATCTCAATCTCTTACGTCGCACTTTCCATGCCCAAAGCAGGCCTCAGCTCCCTCGGCGACACCCGGACATTGAGCACAACCTTTGCCATAATGTCTGAATTCATATTTCCTTTCAACTGTTAACCATTACACAAACCCTTTGCGACAACACTGTTTCATTTGATTCAGACAAAACCATTCATGAAGAGATTCCGCCTGGAAGCTTTTTTGAAAAATATATTCCTTTTCCGTTAAAACCTGATGTTTGTAGTACCATTTCTCGATCGTTTCCTCGTTTTCCTCGAGTATTTGAGCGCACTAAATATTCGAAAATTGACGGTAAACAGACATGTATTGAAAAATTAAATGAGGTCCCACTTTGAACTCCAAATCTTTGACGCTCAAAAATTTGTCACTCGAATCAAGAGAAGATTTCTTGCAAACTCCTTCCAATGCTTCGATTAATCGAACCTCGCTGAAATTTGACTGGTTGTTTGGTAACATGCTATTAGTAATATCCCCTGCTCATGGACCATTGCACTTGTGAATTGTCAGGGGTATGTTCAGGAGTCCGGTTTAGATTTTAGGTTTAGAATCAAGTATATGAGACAAATCAAAGGTGGATGAATTACGGAAGATGTAAGATATCTACTGTATATAAAAGAACAGAGTCTGTCCACCCGTTTGTAAGGGCTTTTTCTCAGCCGTCTTTGGGCAAAAAAATGAATTTTTTAAAGTCTTAAAATATAATATATTGTGCCATTTAAAAAGTCGAAATTGAGTGGCACTACGGGGGGTCGAACTCGGGTCGTGTGGGCCGTAGACAAGCGCGCTCCCGACTGCGCCCGACCAAAAACTATGCGTCAGCCCCCGAACATCCAGCCAGAAAAATCCGCCCTTAGGCGGGTTTTTCGGTTGGTTTAGGGAAATAACCGGATATTATCATTTATTTGTTTCGCCTACCTTGTCGCATATCGTCCCAAATTTTTCTCCTCCCAAGCTGTATCACCACCCGCGAAATGTTTATTTGCCGTCTTTTTCAAACCCTATAAGATGTCCAATTGCATATATGACTTTTCCATAAAACCTGTAAAAATGTGTCTGCAAGAAATTGACAAGTGAGACATTGTTGTGATGATCCCTCAATGAGTATGGGGAGAATAGAAATGAAGAGGAGAGCAAACAGCTCACCTCTTCGTCGAAACATTACCGCATGCCTGAATATGGTGGAATTTAGTTGAGAGAAGCTTGTTTAATATTTTCAATCGATCAAGTTCAAACAAATACCAGTCTCAGTCTGCTTTTATTTTTTTCCAAAAGCTCCAAAATGTATAAAGCTTATTTTGAAATTTTTGATTATTTTGAAAACCTAGAATTAGAAGTAGTAAGTTAAGAGACATATTACACTTAAATGCAATTACATTCAGATGCTATTCGAAAATCCAAAAAAGCAGCTCTAGCAAAAAACACCAAACGAATCGATCAATAAACAGACTGCTTGAGGCGTTGACCGTTAGACCAATATTTGTCTAACTCGCCAGAGGTTTCCCCCAAAAAACGACCCCTCGAGTTTTTCCAGAAGTAGACAACCCAAGCTTTTTTGTTTTGAAATATAAACTAAACAATATAGTTCTATCGAATGTAAAAACCGAATAAAAAATTATTTTCAACTTTATTCTCTCGAAACGAAGATAGAACTCTGAAATAGACATGAGACCTATAAATGCTGTTTGAAATAAAATGGAGGGCATCAGGGGGTTTTTAGATCAAAGTCGATGAGATAGATGTGATCAGAAACAACATAAGAACAAATGAAAATGAGAAATCACACCTGAACAAGGGATGATTAGCAACAAACTTTCTGAAAAAACAAATCGATAATTGCAAACCGGGTGATTTAACCTGAACGAAACGAAACGAGAAGAGGGAAATTGGACTCAAAATGGAGGATGATAATGGCAGTTTAGATATGATCAAATTTATAGGTGTTGTATGTGATTCCTCAAATAATACAACAGACACCCATATATTCGATACTAGAGATCAACTTCGGATAATCTTAGGTAGATTAGGAGTTCAGGGTGTCGAGCGATCTTTAACCCAAATCACCAACGCGCAAAATAAAATTAACAAGTTCAAAAATGAAACTGAGGACTGGACAACTAATTATCACAATTAAAAGGAGTCGTGTGATTATATAAAAACTAAAAACATTTACCTGAGACGACAACACTTTAGAATTTGGTGCAATCAATTGAGGGAGGGGATAAAGCTGCAAGGGAAAATCGAGGAAAAACTTTTCAACAAAAATAACAAATGAAGACTAGAGCATTGTGACGAAATGGAAATTGGGAAATAACTAATTTTTGTTGCTTTCTTTGAACGATTCCTTGAATGACTGATCATGGTCGTAGTATTGCTTTAATCTAAATATAATGCTAAATGAACCTACTAAAAAGTCTGACAAACCTAACGTGCCACGCAATTGATGAGCACGCCGATATGGTCCGGAATTGATGAACGATCATTCGTGGCAGGAAATAAATGTCGTTATGATGCAACTAAAATGTCCCCGTAAACGCGCTAGCCTATTAATAAACATACCTGAAACTTATTGTAGCGAATCCCATCTCTCCGCAATTGGTTCAGTTTCGCCTCTTCAACCCATTGAATACACTAAAACTGTTAGGTAAAATGGAGGAAAGAAATTATGCACCTGAGACATTGGAGGCTCGAATAAATCCAATTGCAAACGCTCGACGATGTTATCAAAATCGGCCGCATGAAAGCAAACTACATCTTTTACTGCTCGATTTTCTCGACACCTTAAAAATATGGTTTTCATAAATATGAATCAAATTAATGTTTACCTCTCATTAGATCCAATCACAGCTTGTAGTATACCAACAGCAGCCTATAAAAATAATAAAAGTAAAAGTAAAACAATAACTAACCGTCGTTCTTCTTTCCAAGCCATCACCCACGTGATCGGCATGACAAGGCGTTCGATCTTCAAACAGCAGTTCCCGTCGCTCCAAGTTGCTTAAATCAACATTATAAAAAAGATTTGAAAGAATTTCTACCGAAAAGCAAGCGAATTGCGTTGTGAACCTCGTCCCTTTTTTGACCCCCTGTCATCCTTTAAATCATCAGTTCGAATCAACTAAATTGAAGTAATTAACTAAAAAATTATGCATAATATTGAACTAATAAAAAATATAAGATTATTACAAACCTGCTCGCCCGGTCGAACCCAAAATATTGGGCCGTCATCGCTCTCACCCGGATCTTCTAAATCAAAAAGTTATCACAAATTAGACTAAGCCTACTCACCGTCATATGCCACACTCAATGATCCCCAAGGCATCAGCGGTCCAAGCAACGGAGACCGAGCAAGTTCCTCTAGCAACTCCTAAAGCATAGGTATTTGATTAATCAGCCATATACAACTATTTACATTGAATAACGCTCCGCACTCTTCTTGTTTGGGACCAACCATTGATAATGCATGTAAAGGACCAGTCCTAAATATAAATTTAATCGACAACTAAAAAAAACTTTACCTAAATGTCCCATGATGACAAGTTTCCATCACCAAAGAACGATATGTTTGGAGTGACATTGTTTCCACTGTCTAATAATTCTTTTTGAAAAGAAAAATTCAAAACTAGCACAAACCTGTTTGTTCGTCAAGGAGCCAACTTTTACCGGCAGATTTGAGTAATGTTCGCACAAGTATCCAAAGATATCCTAGAAATAAAACAATAAAGGCAAATGAAAAATCATTACCCTCAGATATTCAGCTCCATTTTCAATAACACACACGCAAAAGACTGGAACATTTCCTTGCTCTGATAGTCCAAGCTTCATGAATTGCCTAGCGAATTCCTCCCTATAAACGCCAATGCACTTGTGAAAAGTATTAAACAAACTGTTCAGAAGGATCATCGAATGCTCGGCAAACATCACGCCAGTTTGCTTTCAACATTGAGGCGCCGCCATTAGGATGAGTTTCGATCTTCATATATTTTTTGAACTGAATGATCACTTGACAAAGCGCTGAAGCAAACCACCAACCCTACTAGAAACTTTTGGTAGTTTATCCGTTTTCTTGTGTTTGGATTCTTTGATTTCCTCGTTCTTTTCATCTTTATCTGCCTCAAAATTGCTAGTAGATTCTTTTTGGAGGCCAGGCATCGGTTCTTCACTTCCCTAAATCGTTGTAGTTTGATACATTCTTTTTGATATTTTCATACATTTTGATACACTTGTATAAAGATTAGTTTGAAATCAAGACAAGTGGAAAATGAACCTGCTTGACTTTCTTTTCCAGTTGTACTTTGGGCTTGTCGGCTTCAACTTTGACATGAAGAGATTCGACTTTTGGGTGCTCCACTAGCTGTGATTCACTTGCTTGTCTCGTCTCAACTTTTGGCTTGATCTTCTTTTGCGTGTCGTCCACAATTTCTTTTATCTTCTTGGTTTTTTCCTCTTTCTAAATATAGATATATGCTAAAACAATATACATCTGCCATTGCCTCAATTCTTCAATTTTTCCAATAAATTAAAACTTACATGTTTATCCTGCTTGTGATGCTTATGGTGAAGATTTTCATCGTATTTTTCTTTCTTCATTACTCCATGTTTCGTCATTCGCGCTAACTCTTTCTTCTTTTCGTGCAACTTGCGACGCTCCTTTTCCTCTTCCTCTTCTTTACGCTTCCGTTTCTCTTCTTTTCTCTGTTCTTTGGTTTTGAGGTCAAGATCAACACTAAAACTAATATTTCATAACAAACAACCGTTAAATATACCTTGAACGTCGTGTTTTATCAGCATCTGTTCTAGATTTCTCCAGTTGTTGAATTGAATGGCCTGCATGGCTATGCGCCTAAATTAAATACTTGATTTCATATTCAGCAACCACCTGGACAGTTACACTTTTTAGCAAAAAGCAACAATACCCAAACAAACCTATTTAATTGTATAAAAACTCTACTTTTTCTCCTTTCTGCTGCTTTTTTTCCGGGTCCAATTTTGGTTGAGTATGCGACAAGGAAGGATCAGGCGAAGAAAGTCTAAATTTGAAATTTAAATAAGCTTCTAAATTTGTTCAACTTTGGCTTCTTTGAAGGAGGAGCAGCAGTTGATGGCTTCTGACTTTGCAGCAAATCCATCAAAATTGGATCGTTAGCTAGACTGCCTCCAGGTTGCACTTTCTAAATATTGTTTTATTACTGGACTTGAACATGTACATAAAGCTTGTTGGATAAAGTTAATTACCAATTTTGGTGATAAAGCTGGTGTTGCTGATTTGTCAGCGTTTCCTTGAGAAGCTGGACGATACGCAAGGCCATTTGAATACGAACTCTCTCCATGTTGCTAAAAATTAAAGCACCAATGAAATTAAATGAAAAAGGTAATTTCTGCAAAAAAACCTACTTGTTTTCCATCTTCTTCAGTTATGATTTTCAGAGTAACTTTAGGCATGGGCGGCGGAGGTGGCGGTGGTTCAAGAGCGCTAAAAATTGAACCAAAAATGCATATGCAGACTAAAAAAATAATGAAAAAACAAACCCAAAGTTTGAATTATAATGTGACCACATAGGCTGCTGGGCCGTGTAAGAAGGACTTGTAAGCAATGGTACATGTGGAGAGTTCATGTGGGAATATTGTTGACCACTAAGCAATTATCATTTTTGTAAAAGAAAATAGAAGTTTACCCCATAGTCAAGTTGACTTTCGGCAAAATTTCCATCTCGACAAAACCATTTCTATCGCCAGAATCATTCAAGGGTGGTAGAGGTGGAGTACGGGGTCCTCTTCTAGATAAACAAAGGTAAGTGGATCAAATTTCAAAAGGTTACCTCGGATAAGAAGACGCACTTTCACTTCTGGGGCTTTCTACCTCCATATTGTCCGTATCCATACTAAAAATGGAATAATTGTATCGAGAGGTCGAAAATTCTGTTAGAGTTGAGAAAGTTCTTAACAGTATAACCAAAAAGTTCCTTTTCACGACTAGCATAATCACAAAATATCTATTTATTTATTTTATTGAACATTTAAAAATAATACCTAGACAACAAAAGTGGAGGTGGTGGAGGCGGACACAAATACGACTCCAGCGTTGACATACTCTGAAACCGTATTAGAGAAAAAAGCTCATTGTCAAAAAAACCTGTGAAGGTTGTAGATGAAAGTTGAAAGATGGCGAAGGTTCTGGACTTTTTGCTGCTGAACAAGTTTTCTAAAAATCTTTTAATGAAAGCTGCAAAAACCCGCAAACCTCCTTCAATTTTATTGTAACGTGTTTCTCATCCGGCGAAGAGTCACTTGAAGAAGTTCGACAGCGTTTCCCATGATATTCCTGGAAAAACTTTGACTTGCAAATTTATATAAAATTAACCTTGAATTTTGAAGCAACAAGATCCTCCGGCAAAGACTTAGAGTTTTCAATCGCAATATTGGAATTCATCTCAATACTCTCATGACAAGGATTCTATAAAAAAGAAATTAAGTGTTTAATAAATTTGAAAAATCAACGGGAAAACCAAGGGATAAAAAGTTATAACGCTGCAATAAGGAGTTACAGAAAAATTCGTTAACTTATTGCCCTAGTCATACCGGTTAGCAATATGTGAAGTTTATTTCTTGGAAGACAGCTTGATCAACAAGGGTGAGTCATCAAGACAAATCTTTGCCATAGTCTGGCCTACAAATTAAACAGGCTACAATTGATGCATTAAGCAATTAAAACACGATTTAGGTATAACATCGAAACAGATTGCTATAGATAGGTGTGATTTTCAGGAAGCAAAAAAATGGAGTCAATTTTGCGAGGAAAACAAGTGGCAAGAGATGTGCCATTTCGCAAAAAGCGTGACGTCAACTGGTAACTTGCCAAGGCCTCATCTATGAGACCGCAACGCGCACGTCGCACACAAAGCGACACGAAAAATGCGAGGAAAGAGAGAAGAGAGGGATCGAAGAAACCCCTGTATACGCGCCCCACCACGAAACACCTCCAAAAATACGAAAATTTACTGTAATCAATTAGATTATATGTATTTCCGGAGAAAATTTGAAAATTCATTTATTCTCGTAAAGTTTTCCACCTGTGCGGCGGTAAATTTCTTCTTTTTTTACGCGTACATTGCTGGCTCTAAATTTACTTGTAGGGCAAACCAAAACATTTAAACTTTTTAATATAGAAAGCGATTTCTAAATCCTTAGTTAGCTGCTTAAACAATAAACGTAGCAAATTCTTTATCCTTCTCTCGGCATACAACACTTAATTTCCGTTGTATCCGGCACTCGACTGTGCATTACTTCCAAAAAAAACAATACTTTTAGTGATGTCACCTTGTTTTTGTTTTTACCAATTTTGCTTTCACTAACTATACTGTGTTTTTTTAGAAATGTCGGAGCCGATGTCAAAACGTGCAAAGATCGAGGACCCAAGTGGTGATCTTCCTGAGTCGGCTAAAGCTATTCTAAAGGAGATTGACGATATTCAAAGCCAGCTCGACACCCTCAGCGAGAAAGCATCAGAAGAAATAATCAAGGTAAATGCTTTGTTTTTGATTCATGCGCTAGTATCTCTGAGTTTCCTACAAAAATAGTGCCTGGCTTAGATGTTATTTGCAATTTTCGCATTTTCTCATTGATTTCTTTCTAGGTGGAGCAAAAATATAATCTTCAACGTAAGCCACACATGGAGAAAAGATCAAAGTTGATCAAAGATCTTCCAAATTTTTGGCCAACAGTGGTAAGTCTTTTTTGGTTGATCAAAACGTACATATATTCATTTCAGTTTCTTAATCATCCACAAATCGCCAACTTGATTAATGAACTGGAAGAGAAAGCGCTGGAATCGCTCACTTCTGTTGAGGTGGGTTTTAATGTGACTTATAGAACATGAACATCGAATCTCAGTATTTGGTTAGTAAAGTGTTGATCTAATCCAATATTTTTTTGCTTTAGGTTGAAGAATCTGAGGACATCAAAAGCGGATACAAGGTCATTTTCAAATTCAAGGAAAACGACTTTTTTGAAAACGATGTGATTTCCAAAGAGTATTTTCTTGGTGGCGACGAACCTTCATGCAAAGTTACCGCAATCAAATGGAAGCCTGGAAAAGAGCTAGCCAAGGTAGACTTATGCATTTTGAACTGCAAAGATTTTTTTAGCATTTGGACGATGATGAAGCAGAAAGTGGTCTGACGTTTTTCCAATGGCTTTGCACGGAGTTAGAGCCTGGTGTAGATGATATTGCAGAGGTGGGTTTATATAACATAATTTAATCTTGAAAACAGCTCATTTTAGGTCATTAAGGATGACATTTGGCCCAATCCATTACAATACTTCCTTGTGAGTGAAATGGAAGATCTCGTGAGTGAAATGCAACTTAACCTAAATAAACTTTCTTTTTAGACTGATGATGATTTGGACGAAGCTGATGATGATGATGATCTGGAGGAGGTAAGTGATAATTGATTCAAGAAGTTTTTATTATTTAGGTCGATGAAGACTACGAAGCTTAAAAAATGTCGTCATTAGAGCAATTTAACTTATATCGGGTCATGTTTGTTTTTTCAATTTTGTGTTAATTTAAATAAATTCATGTCTGCTATGAAAAAAATTAACTAAAACACCGCAAAGAATTGAAAATCAAGGATGTTAGTTCTAGGGACTCATCTTCCAAATCAAAAAAAAGCTGATTGATGTAGAATCAGTCGTTAAACCCCAATTTTACTCAAAACATGGAGGCTCTGAATTAACTAACAGACCAGGGCTTTCTGTGACCTTGCTTAATCCACACATTTTAATAAATATTTTATTCAATCATACGGTTTGCACAAAGAAAAAACCACAATGCTTTAAAAGGGCTGATGACTGAACTTCGGTGTCTTAACGCCACCGCTGCCACAATCTTAACGACTATGGTGAATCAAAGCCAGCCCTTGAAACCGCCAAAATATATAGCATCTATGGTTCAAGAAAACCAACACATATGATCGTAGCCCAATTTGTACTAGTGTTTTCCTCCCGACTAACGCGTTTTCTAAAATGCACTTATTTGAGAGTACCGTTAGTTTTCATCAGATCAATCCAATTTTTATATCATGGCTGAGCTGAGCTGGCTGAGCCTCTTCAAATGATACCAAAGTTGAGCTGATCGAATGTGAATTGGCTGTTTGACCACGGCGGTTTTCTCAAATAGGTGCATTTAAGAAAACGCGTTAGTCGATAGGGACACACTCTAATTATGAACATTGTTTGATGGTAAATGAAAGCAGAGCAAAAATCCGGATGCTTTTTGAAGTTTTTGAATTCTTAAACAGTCGTTATGACTTTCAGTTGTAAAAACGACTCAATACCAAAAGTTAAATTAAATCGAAAGACTAGACTATTAAAAATTCATCACCAAATAGAGCGTTAACACTATACTTTTGAAGTACTGCCCCCAAGTGTCCCCATAAAGTACTTTGGAGCGGTTTTAAAATTTAACATGAATAGTTTGAAAAAAATTTGTCTATCATAGAATCTTAAAAAGGTCGAGAGAAAAAAGAAAACGAAGCATTCTAATATCAAAAAAGTGTCCCTATATGGGGACACTTGGGGGCGGTACTTCAAAAGTATAGTTAACACATGATAAACGCAAACATTAGCCTTAACGTCACAATGTTAGGCGCTTATCAAGAAACTAATTATCGTTCTCCAGATCGGTTTCCGAAGCCGGGAGGTGGTGGAATGTGCTGAGCATGGACACGACGCTGATCATTTCCAATCATTGGAGCTGGCATTGTTGAAGCATGGTTGGCTAGCGACATCAGTGGCTGATTTGCAGGATGTGGCCATCGATTCTTAAATAGAAAGCAAATTAACAAGTTATTATTTGTTGATTTACCTGGTCGGTGTCTGCGGCAAACCTAATATTCACATTTGGGAGCAACGCTTTCAAGCCTAAAAGAAAATAAGTACAGGAATAATGTAAAATACTAGACCTTCTTGCCACTCATTCAACAATGGCCCTTTTGAAGGGTTTGTCGCCAAGAGTCCACCATTCTGAAACCAAATTTTATAGAAAATCAAAAATGTAACCCTACATATTGCTGAAATGGTTGATGGGATTGCGAAGGATAGGAATTTTGCCGAGAAGGGGCCAAACCAGGCGGCGGAGCCACTCCAGAAGCTGCCGGCTCCATTCTAAAAGAAAATAAGTAGAGGAATAATGTATCAACTATACCTATTAGAGAAGATATCAAATGCGTTCATTTGTGGCTGAGCAACCGGCTTAGGATTGCTGTTGAATGGGTTCGTCCCACCACCGAAACGAGAAATGAAGAAATCGCTTCTCTGTTGAGGCTGAGGCTGAGGCTGAGGTTGAGGCTGGGGCTGTGACTGAGGATAATTTTGCATAGAGCGCAACCATTGATCTCGTTGTGCCTAAATTTTACATGGGATATTTTTAAACCTGAGGACGCAACCTGCTCCAATTCTTGCCTTTCTCGTTGGTACTGTAGTGATGAGAATAAGTTTTGCCTTGCGATATTTTCTTGATAGAGACTCTGGATAGCTTGTGCTGTTGAAGATCTAAATTAAAAGTTTATCTACGACTTTTTATAAGTCTAGCTGCGCACAAGAACCGCACCGCCTATCTTATAAACTTACTGTGGATAATTCCCAAATCCATTTGTGTAGGCAGGTTGATAATAATTGGTATTCACAGCCTGTGACTGATTCCTTTTTTCCTAAAAAATTACTTGACGTTGGCAATTAGGTTGGGCACAAACTTCTTCCAAAAGATCTGCCAATCCCTTTGCGCTCTCACTGAAGGGGTCAAAACCAAGATCGTCATCAGAAAACCCTCCGAGTCCAGGTGGAGGAGAAGTTGGTTTAGAAACACTTGATACATGATGGGGCACAACTAAAATTTTATAATTAATATTATGAACAATTTTATACCATCAATCCCGGGCGGTGGTAATGTTGGCGCCTTTGATGGGATCGGAAATAGAGGCTGGTTAATAACTGAATCTTGGAGCGAAGAAAGTGGAGTATCCGAGTGATCAAGACAAAGTAAAGATTGCCAAGAAATTGCAGAGCTTCCGACATTATTGGCTTCTAAAAGAACAGGGTGATAGATTGTAACAGTGCAGATACCATTAGATACAGAACCTTTAGTCCAAGAATGTAGCCTTGAAGTTGGTTGAAGTTGAAGCAAATCACCGTCCGACTTTGTTTTTGTCTCGATCGGAGATCTTGGGTCCATTTGTTCGACGTGTGACTGTGCCGCTTCATCCTCGTTTTGCAGCCTTGTTAGTGCATTGTCTTCTTTTATCCTCAACTCATTGCCAGTTTCCATTTCAGTATTGTCGTCCTGCAAACGTTCCACTTAAAAACATATGAATAAGTTTACGTGTGAGCCATTGGTTTCTTCAGTGTCACGATTTTCTGCAAACTCTTCGTTTGATTTTGATCCATCCGATTCTTTGTCTGAGCCGCTTTCTTTTTTCAAATGAGATCTAAAAATTGCAAATTTATAAAGTAGCACTGCTAAACTAACTGCGTTATTGTATCACCGCTTGTTGAAGATATTGTTCCGATATTATTTATCAAGCGAACAGTCGGTGTAACTGTAGCCACGGGTGTCTGATAAGTTCGCAGCACTTGATCCATCAAACGACGTTCATACTCCGCGTGTTTCCCTTGATGCATATCTTCCCTGGAAACCACAAGTTAAATAAGGTAGCGGCAAGCAAACTTGGTGAAACTGATGTCGCTGTCGGCAATATCATGTAAATACATGCATTCCTAAAATCATTAGAATTTAATCCAGTTCACTCCAGAATCAGTAGCTGCTTTTGTTTTATCTAGTAACATGTGGTGGTTCAAAACTCACTTGCTTATAACAAGATTGACTTCGCAAAAAGGAAGAACAATATTTAGTTGTACCCAGGGATGCTCGTACAAGTCGTCCATCCAAAGCCGCATTGTTGACACTCTGGAAACAAATTACCTGAATAGATTATGTTAATAACTCTTGCCTGTATTGCCTTTAAAGCCTCTTCTACTTTTGAATAAGTTACATAGGCCGTGTGACTTGGATTCATATTTGGTGGAACAGTCGTAGTAGTTCCAACAACAACCTAAAAACACTATCAACCAATCTTTCAACCAAATACAAACCTTTAAAATCTTGCCAAAACGACCAAAATACTCGGGCTTTTTGAGAGCATCCGAATCCGCGACCCTTGGTGATAACCCAACGACATAAACCAAATTCTATAAGCAACAAACTACACTAGTAATTTTACTCGATTTCCACCTTTTGCAAAACCCGAAAATTTGAAAGGTGTTTTCGGCTTTCCGAAACACGTTGTCGTTCTGCCTGCGCCTTCAGTTTCTTTTCACTGCGAATCTTCTTCAAATCAGCAGTTGACAATGGCTTGAAGTTAACAGGATCCTCTGGATATGGCTGCCTAAATTTCATAATTATTCTGAATGTTTCAGAATATAAGTAAAAACCAAAATAATTAATAATTCTCACCTGCAAGCAGGGCAAAGGCCATTTTCGTCCGTCCTAATACGATGCCAACAGAAACGACAAATCTGAGAATTTTTGGTAACAAAATAGAATTCAAAAACTCACTTGATATTCACATTTACATGGATAAAAATCCAAATCATCAAACTCCAGCACCTCCATACATAGCGGACACTAAAAAACGCAGGTGGAAATCATATAATCACAAAGCACTTACTTCCTTATCAGATTGTTCATCGCTACTGCACGACATCTTTCCAAAATTGGAGAATATCTATATAATATAAAGGATAAAGTAACAAAATGGAACCAAATAGAAAAAGGGAAGTTTTAGATAAACAATCAATATTTGCTTTCCTGTCTAATCGTAAGCAACACAATATGTCCACCTTTTTAATCAAGTTATTGGGGGGGACAAATGCGACCTTTTTTTGCGCAACTTTTTTTGGCTGGAAAAGGCCTTAACGCTTAACGGGGAAAAGCGTTAAGTTGCGTAGTTTTTGCCTTTTAGCGCAAATTTGAGATGTCAGCGGGATCTGATTTGTCGAAATTCGAAATCTACGCATACGATTCCCTTATATGAAAACATTTTTGATGCTCTACGGCCTTTTTTAAGGCCTTTTCCAGCCAAAAAAAAGGTGCGCAACTGTCCAGGTGCGCAAAAAAGGTAGCATTTGTCCCAGCGCCAAGTTATTGAGTTGATTCAGGCTAGAAAGCCTTGTAAAACAGGGATAATTTCTAGAACCGTTAATGCCAAAACTTTCTATTAAAAAAAATCGAAATCCATAATTTGCAGCCAAGTCATCAATTAATGGTAACCAATTATCATGACCGCTATCATATCGATTTTGTGGCCAAATACTAGGAGTGAAAGCATGAAATTATCGCGAAAAAACAGCGCGCAATGTGTTGCTTTTAAAAGTGATTAAGAGTAAGACTCGGCGGGCTGGTGAAGAAGAAGTGAGCAAAAACAAAGGGCGACTCGAAAAATCTCAAAATTACAAAAAGAGATTTGCTTCGCGAGACCAAACGTAACTTTGAACGCGAAACTACTTTACGATTTTTTTCGTCCCCTTTGAAATTCAAATAGTGTGTGGGTTTTGCGAAACAAACAAATGAAACTACTGCTAGGGGATTGAACTGGCGAAGTTTTGGTTTCGCAATTTGTATAATTGCGTAGTCTATTCGAAGCGTCGCAAGCCCAATTCCGACAGCGCCACAAATAGAGACAATTCAAAACATTCAACTAACAAACAATTAAAAATAAGTTTCCTGAATAACTACCTAACTTTTTCAGTATTTATAAGAGTTCTGTTTTCAGAAAAGCTTTTGTCATTTGTGTCTCGATGTAAAACTTCTTTCACGTTTGTTTGATCTCCTTTCTGTACTTTTTTCTTTAGATATGCTGGGTCGGCTTTGTCTACATCGCTTTTTACGAAGGGAACCGTTGCCATTACGACGACTTATCGGTACCAATTCAACATTAAACTCTTCAACCGAGGTAAGCTTTTTGAATTTTACATCAATTCTACCATTAAATCTTTAGACCCAAACCTCTAGCTTCGAGGATTTTATCGATGAGTTGAGCACAAAAAATCATCCCGATAAAGCAGGCCAATCATTTCCGCAACTTCTGAGGTGCAGCTTTAAAAATTAGGGTAGTACCTAATTTATTTTCAAACATTTAGAAATAGCAAACTGATGCAGCTCGGCAATTTTGATGGATGTCTGGTCGTTGGAAAAATTGTTCACAGGTATTTCTTACAATTACCGGATGTGATAATTTTCAAGCCAACTAAATTTGCTCGTATTTTTCACATATCGTGCATAGCTAAAATTTAGAGTCACTGATGATCTATATATTGATGTTGGCCTTAAATTCAACGCAGTCTGTAAAGCTCCCGCTCTAAACGGCGAACTCTACACGATCGGCTCTCGTGTGCTTCTGAGGTAGCTTCTGTAAAGCCCCAACTTTAAAAACTCTAAAAATTTAGGTTACATGATTACGAGCTAAGTGAACGTTTTCTAGGATCAAAGAAAGATTTAACATTGTTAGAAGCTGATGGAACTTTGGTTTGTATTAAAAACTGCCTTTTGTTAACTAATTTTACTTTTAGTTGAGATTACTACAAACGGGAAAGAAGCCGCAAGGCGAGGTCGTTGCAAAGAAAGAAACTACCGAAGAAGCGACAACTATTTAGGAAAAAATTTGAATAAATTTTACTATATTTGCATTCTCATTTAAATGTGCAGTTTCAAAATCCTACTTGAATAATGTTTTTATGAACATCTAGATTTTTTGAAGCATGTAGACGTTTAGATGTCAACAAATTACGTGGCAACTTGCAAAAAGCCCACGGTAGTGACACATTCGTTTGCTGGAAATTTTACAGGTTTTTAAAAAAACATTTAGTAACAAAGCTTCTTTAGGCGAAGAAGATTTAAATTTAATTCTCGCTAAGGTCACGAGAATTGAAATTAATTTGATTGCGGCTGATGGTCTGCGGTTTGTTCAAGAGGTTTGTACGCTATGAGCTTGAAACGTTAGAAAATCTATATGTCGTAGCCGTTTACGAATGAGGGTATTTCCGGGCGTCCAATCAAAAAGTCGTCAAAATAAAAAGTATTCATAATACATATATTTTATAAACCCTTTTTATTTTGACGACTTTTTGATTGGATGCCCGGAAATACCCTCATTCGTAGGCGGCTGAATTTCGTAAACGGTTACGACATATACATTTAGATTCCAATTTATGGACGAATTCTCGATTTGGCAATTCTTCGTGTCAAAGGCGAGGTACTACATCTGCTTATCATCGTTTATATTTACTACTTTCTAGAAATGCGACTCGATAGTAATCATCACAGATAAACTTCACATGGCCGTTCTATCGTGGCGCGATGGAGAAGTGGTAAGAAAACGTTTTTACGTAAAAAAAGTGGCAGTGGCAACGGAGTAGTACTGACTAATTTTGTGAAATATAAAGGCCTATTATAACAAATTATCTTACATTTTAGGTTACACGAGCCCATGGATGTCTTAGCGATAAAGTGGGACGTATTTCGGAGACTGGAATCAAATGCATTGTTCACTCAAAAACTGGAGTATTTACTTTTTTTTTCTACATCTACCTAAATATAATTTCAGCTACTTGCCTTCAGAATCTACGATGGCTTATTAAAGATTGTAGAATGGGACGACAAAAAGGAATTGAAGGTTAGAAGTCGTTGGATCAACTAATAAGTTTTCTAAATATTTTAGGCCTTTAATGTTCGTTTTGAAGACTTGATGATAGTTGATCTTGTTTTTCTTCACACTTCTGGTGGGTGGTAATTTCTTGTAAGCTTATTGATGTGATTAGACGAATCGATCCGGCTTGGTTATATCTATCACGATCATATTGGGCGTCATCTAAAAACCGTCGAATTAAATATGGATGAGAAAGAGTTTCGAACGATTTCTTCCCAAATGAGCATTGAGGCAGAGGTAAGTGGTTTTGCAAAAATTTCATTATGAAATTTTGCAGGCTACCAAGGTTGTTCCGATTCCACAGCCTTATGGAGGAGTTGCCGTTGTGGGCCACGAGACCGTTCTCTATAACAATTTGTCAGTCATACTTAATATTATACTTTACAATGCCTATGTTCTTTAGTGGCAGTTCTCAACCTCTGGTTATTTCACCACCGGTTTTTCACAACGCTTTCATCTCATGCGTTGCACCAATAGACTCGTAAGTTTTAAAGAAGACTATATTTTCTTGAAAAAATTTTAGTGATGGTCAACGGTTTTTAATGGGCGGGAAGCAAGGAGAATTAATGATATTGGTCTTCGATGTTGACGCTTCACAGAAAATAATTACGGACATCAAGGTAAATAGGTATATCAAAAACTACTTTAGGACTTATATCCAGGTTGAAGTGCTTGGGCGTTGCTCATTTGCTGAATGTTTGTGCTACATCGATAATGGGGTTGTTTACGTTGGTTCGAGATTTGGAGACTCACAATTAATACGACTTAATCAAGGTAAAGAATTTATTTTGCCAATTAATGCTGTAATTAAATTAGAACCAAATTCATCCGGATCGTTCGTTTCAATTTTGGATACTTTTGCAAATGTTGGGCCAATTCGTGACATGGTTTTATTGGAGCAGGAAAACGGACAAACTCAATTACTCACCTGCTCAGGAGCATTTAAGGTAATTAACGATTTATTCAAAGAATTTTTCTTAGATCTATCTAATTTTTATTTCTTTTTTAGGATGGATCTCTTAGAATCATCCGGAATGGAATTGGTATCGAAGAAAAAGCGTCTGTTGACTTTCACGGTTTCTTTTTCTTTGCACACTGATGCACAAATTGCCTTTAGGAGTCAAATCAATTTTTTCGTTGTCAACAAAGTCCGGGGCATTAGATGATCATTTGATTGTTTCTGGAATTGATGGTACACATGTGCTAAGAATTGAAGGCGAGGAGTTGGAAGAGCCCGAGGATGGATTTGGTAAATCGAATAATGCTCATATCAAATAAAACCAATTTAAAGGGCTTGAAACAAATGAGCGGACATTATATGCGAGCAGTATGGTTGACAATTGTATTTTGCAAGTCTGTTCTCAGAATCTACGTATATTAGTGACTTTCTTTAGATTACCCCATCTGGTGTTCATTTGATACGCCCAGAAGCCGAAACATTGCGTTGGCATTCAGATCATGGGGAAATCAGTGTATGTGCGGTCAACTCACGCATGGGAAAGGTAAAAACGTATTTATTGCCAATTTTTTAATTGGATTTAGGTTCTTGTTGCTTCGGGACGTCATTTGCACTATTTATCAGTCTCAACCTCGGGGATCGATCCAATCAATGAAACACAGCTTGAATATGAAGCAGCCTGCTTAGATATTTCCAGCCTCGGTATGCAAAAATTGTAAAAGAATTATTTACGAGGCTTTAGATGATTCTGGTGATTCAAAACTCGTCGCAATTGGTTTATGGACATCGAATGGTTGCGAACTTCGCTCACTCCCGGATTTTAAATTGAAGGCCGAGTTAGTTTGCTTCTTAAAATCCTGATTATTTGTTTTTGGAAATCCACTAGCTCGACGAGTACTTCCACGCTCATGCTTCTTGGGTCGCTTCGATAATACCACCTATATGCTGGTAGCGCTTGGTGATGGAACACTATTTTACTTCCAAGTGACACACGAAGGTATGTGTTTGTTTTATTATCGCACTTGCTATCAATGTTAAAAGGTAGAAAATAAATTTCAAATTTAGGCGAACTCGTTGAGGGCAAGAAAGCCTCACTTGGAACAGTTCCCTTAACATTGAAACCTTTTGTTTCAAATCGACGCAATCATGTTTTTGTGTGCTCGGATAGACCGGCAATAATCTACTCTAGTAACAATAAACTTGTAAGCAAAATTTGTTTTTTTTTTCTGAAAGTTTTTAGATTTTTTCAAATGTGAATGTTCGGGTCGTAAACCAAATGTGCCCCCTCAACTCAGAAGCGTACAGGTACTTACAATTAGAGTAGGTAACTAGGTATATTGACACAATCATTCCAGCGATTGCATGGTAATGTGTGATAACGAGACAATGGTAATTGGAAGAGTCGACGATATTGAAAAACTGCACATAAGGTATTGCTTTTTAATTTGATTGTAACAAATTGTATGATAACTATAGAACGGTTCCTCTTGGCGAAAGTCCTGCACGCTTGGCGTATATGGCTTCTTCACAACGAATAGCCGTGTTAGTTTCCAGAGAAATGGTAAATTGCCAATTTAGGACTTGGATAATTTAGCAACTTTCAGAACGCCGGATCGATGTCAGTTACAAGTTCGGCACAAAGATCTTCAAATTCAAAACTTATTCATGCCGGGGTTGCTTCAAGTAGTGATAATGCCCCTGAGGTAGGCTTTATGCTTTTTTTCCACAACAAAAGAAATTTTAGGTTCATTCGATTGTGGTCCTTGATGCGAACACATTTGAAGTTTTACATGCCCATCAATTAGGTCCTCACGAAGAAGCCCTTTCCATCTTAGGTATGATTCTTGTTGGCTCAAAATAAATGCATGCATAATTAAGTGACCCGACTCGGAAATGAGCCAAATGACTATCTGATCGTTGGAACAGCTTTCGTGAATCTTGATGAAACTGAAAGCAAATTGGTATTTCTTATTTCCTATGAAGGGAGCAATCTTTGCTTGTGTTTAGGGTCGAATCCTCGTGTTTTCTTGTGCTGATGGTGATGACCGAGCTTCGATGCGACTCGTTCATGAAAAGGAAGTTAGAGGAGCTGTTTATTCACTTGCACCACTTCATGGAAAATTACTGGCCTCAATAAATAGGTTTTTATGATTTTTTTTCGCATTTCTAAATAAGAATATATTTAGTTCGGTCCGACTTTTTGAATGGAAAGATGACAAGGAGCTGCGACTTGAATGCTCACATTTTCAATATATTCAAGCCATGTATATTAAATCAAAGGTTATTTTCAATACACATCGAGGTCACCTAATGATTCAGGGGGATATTGTGTTAGTTGGTGATCTCATGCGCTCAATGGGGCTCCTTTCATATAAATCAGTTGAATCTTCGTTCGAAGAGGTCGCAAAGTGAGTCACATTTGTAGTTCCAATTCTTTGTTTAAAGACCCGATGCGCAAACTCATTGGATGACGGCAATTGAGATCTTTGATGCGGATACATGTCTTGGTGCTGATAGCAATTTCAATATATTTACATCAGAACGAGAACGGAATGCACAAAATGCAGAAGATCGACAGCGTCTTGTGGTACGGACGTATAATTGACTAATTTTTACTCGAATTTAGGAATCGGGAGTTTTTTATCTGGGAGATGCTGTAAACGTGTTCCGCAATGGTTCGTTAATCACTCGACACGTCGACGGAGGTTTCGGATTGAAATCGTAAGAATTTTATTGGTAATTTTAGGGGTTGTTCCTCGACATTCGATTCTCTTTGGAACAATTGATGGTTCTATTGGAGCAGTGCTGAGTTTAGAGCCTGAGATTTACAGGTAAAGTGTGAAATCTTTTGGTTATTACTCGCCACTTCAGATTTGCTCTTGATGTAGAACAAGCGGTTGCCAACAGTCACGAAAATGTACTGAGAATATCACTCGAAGCATACCGTTCATACAAAGGAGATAAATCATCCAATAAGGTTTATTACTCCTTTTTTGCTAATATGACGATTTTTAAGAGTTTCGGTTTTGTTGATGGTGATCTGGTGGAGTCTCTTCTTGATCTGCCAAGAGAACGGGCTAGAAAAATTGTAGAAGATATTCGTTTGCCGAATCAAGGTATGATCTTTAACAAGTAGCATACACAGATCGCTTTAGAAGAAAAGCTCGAAAATAATGCTGAAAATGTGCTCAAACTCATCGAAGATCTAAGCCGAATCCATTAATTGGGAACATCTAAAGAATCTTTTGCTTATGATTTATTTTGGTCTCATTGTTCTAGTTTCTTTTACGTGTATATTTTGTTATTTGTTTAATGGTGATAGTAAAATTTTACAAATCAATCCCCAGGTAAAAATCGGATGCATATGTTATATGTAAGTTCGTAGGTAAGTAGTTATTTTTTCAAGCGAGTTCGTGATATCACCGACATTGAGTGGCATTCTCGGCCTTTTTAGACAGATTTTTATAGTGATACAGTTTGTTTTTACTTAATTTATTTTCATACCCGTTTATAATTTTTAAGGACAGGGACCAGATATAAAAAAGCAAAGATATCATAAGTAGAAAATTGAAACGATCCATGAAAGCGACAAAGGTATAACATTTCTAACAAAAAGCTTGGTTTTCTCCAAGTAAAGCATTGAAAGGTGGCAAACTATCTCGAACATCATCGTCGTTTAAAGCAGCATTTCGGAACACTTCTCGTACGCTACTAAATAAAACGAGTAGTTTGATAGCACTTTTATTATTTTACCCAAGAATTCCCTGGATGTATTCCAAGCCTTCGCGACGCAAAGTGCGGCCTGGATTGTGTCGGTCGATTGGATCAATAATGTCGAGAACGCGACATCTAAAATTGTAATACATGGCTGGCCGACCGCCTCTTTACTGATACGCTAATCTTATCTTCAACAAATCCACTTGTAATATCACTATCTAAGAACTATCAAGCTACCTACCTGTCATTGCTCACTCGCTTTCTATTTATACATGCATTCTTCATATCAATTGACATTGCCTTAAAGTCGAATTCGTTGTAGTACGAAATGAACCCATAAAAAAGTTGACCCATGCTTAGCGAATTGTAAGCTAAACAAAACAATTATTAGCTAACTAGCTAAACCCAACGTTCATCATCGACTGGCCATGGCAAGCTCGCATCGAAATCGACGACTTGTGGAAATTCTTGTTCCTAAACAACATATGTTAAACCAACTAAGCCAGCCAAAACTTTTACCGTTGAAGCGAAAAATGACGGATAAATCTGAATAAAATTTGGCAAGAGAGGAGGGTCCAATCCACATTGCAGATAATGAAGCACCAGAAGCGTAAGACAATAACTAAATGAAGATGTTTAGACTCAAAGCAGAAAAATACCTATTAAGGCGTCCCTCGACGGGATTGTAAATTTCGAGATTCTTGGCCCATTTTTTGATGAAAAAGCAAAGTGGAGCAACTCGCCTATCGAATCTAAAAAACTAACCTGTTGGTTAATTTAATTTCAACCCTTACTTCACATAGTGACGAAGAAGAAAAGAATTGTGAAACGATGAGATGAATCCCTCCCGATTGCAAGCAGTTGACAAGTCGCATTCTATTGTGAAGCCGTCAATTAAAACTGTAAACTTCAGCACTGGAATCTAAAGACTACATCATCATTTCCTACTTCTCAATCATAAAAAAATTAATTCTTTCGGCGAAACCAACCGACGCGTCAACAAATTGCAACTTGGGTTTCCCGCTTTTCTCTTTGACGACCAAATTGTAGAACTCCTCGTCATCTGCCAAGCGGTATTCCATAATCTTTACACACGTACGGGCAGCACTAAATTTATTGATTAGATAAAACTTCCAAAATGACTTACACAATTTCACTGTTAAAGTGAGCAAGAGCATCAGGTATGGCCACGCAAATGTCGACGTCCGAGTTCTTTGAGGCAAGCCCAGTGACAGAGCTACCTACAACGGACAAAAATCAAAAACGTAACATCCTGTATTATTTTCATAACTCGCAAATGTTTTAAATCTAGGAAAAACTCTTACCCGTAATCACCACAACTGACTTTGGCCAGCCGTCCCGTCCATGACTCTAAAAAAATACTGTTGAATGAGCGTGCACTATTGTACCGAGTTTTGTAGAATCTTCTCAAGCATGTTCCTCAATTTCATTTTAGCGGCAAACTCTTCGGAAGTCTAAAAATAAACAAGTCGCAAATGTTAAAAAAGCTTACCTGGACGTTAGCGAAGTAATAGTCCTCCATTTCATCGCTGAATTTTTCCAATGCGACTTCAAGGCGACTCGAGACACTAAAATATAAAATACACTAGGTTGCTAAATAAACATCTTTGCCAACCTTAACGTTTAAAACAAAGCAGGTAACTAGTTTCCGTTTTTAGTTAATTAGGTTACTATAAAGTGCTTTTCTCATTCCATAACAAAAATAACTTTTAAACTCACTCCTTGCAGTCGTGACAGATTCGGTCAGCCGTAACTCTGTTTCTCTTGATGTACCTAAGCGATACATGTACAAAAGTAGCTTATAGAAAATCTACCAGTGGTGCTCGGGGCAAACGACAAACGGCGTTGTGTCGTTCATCGGTCCTGAAATGATAATTTGTGAAATGTGAAAGCAGAAATGTGAAATGAAATGAAAATGAGCATGTTTTTTGAAAATGAGCACTATATGTACAAAGTTCACAATTTCAGCAAAATTTATTCTTTCGAGAAATTTTTTTTCTTTTGGTAGCGTAATCATTTCTCATGAGTGAAAAAGAGGGCGGACTTTTCGCGATACCAAAAGGCTTTGTGACGCTACGGGAAAGACTCAACACAACGAGTCTGTCATGCAAAAAATAAGTGGAGCGGGCGTGGTGGGGGGTAATTGCTTTTTCCAAAAAATGGTGTGACGGTGTTCGAGCATCGGTGTGACGGCTTAAATCCGCATTTTAAAAACGGTAACTGAGATGATGTACGATAACTTTTGTCGCATTAAGCAAAATGCTCAAGCAAGAGAAGCAGTTAAAACAAGCTTCTTGTACAAAGTTCCACACTTCCCTTCAAAGCAACATTTTATACATCTCACCTCACTATTAGAATCTACCTCATTCAGACACCCTATACTACAAATTTTTGGGCAAAAAGACGAATTTGGAAGTTTGTGTGGGCTCTTCTTTTTCCCCCCACAAACCACAAAACGGACCACTTTGATAAGGGTAGAGTTTTGTGTGAAGAGAAAAATCGAAAAGAGAATCGCATAGACTTGTTTTTATCATTAATTAACAACATAACTGCAGCTATGATTGAATGAGAAAACCCTGATCGATTATAAATGAAATTGGAATCGGCTTTCCCGTCAATCCATCTTCAATCGACACTTGTCGGAAATCACATCAATGAGTTGTTGAGATATGCGGAAGTGCAGGTATTCTTTGTGGAGATTTTATATAGGTTTCATTTACACACAAAAAAACTGAGTCTTGTATCATATGCAGTTAAGCTTCTAAAGAGCTCTGTAATGACGCTGAAACTTTCTTGTACTCATTCAATTCGAGGGTCGTGTCGTGATCATCACTCTCTTTGCCTCACTATGCACCGTGCTTCCCGTCGGATATAATATGGTTTACTCATTTGTGTGAACCAAGTAAAATCCGGTATACAGGTGGTGCTCAATGTGCCCGAAAAGAGCATACAACAAGCACTAAACGAGAGTTTCATCGAGACATTGGGAGTGGTTCTCGACATGAAAGGATTGAGCATCTTTTGGTGAGTCACTGGGGAAACCCAGGACATTTTGTAATCGAATTTTCAAACACATTTTACCCAAGAGCTTCTTTAAGGTCGATCACCGTCGCCGCGCAGAGCATTGGGGCACTCATCGGTTGTGCTCTCGTCATCCCACTCGATCGACATTTCGGTGAGATGATCTCGGAAATGATTGTGGACTTTAGGAATTGATTACACAATCTAAAATATAATTACATATTAGCTTTCCATTTCAAAAATTCTCGAAGCTCAGGCGCGAAAACGTGTCTCCTCTCCGTGGCCTCATCCTGTCTCTTATTGGGTTCTTTCGTGATGGCGTGTGCTCAATGGCTATCCTTTCCACCGGCTTTATTACTCGGTATTTACACACCTAGAAACTATTTATCTTGAACTAAACTTCATACAAAAGACCCTAAGAAAACTTTTGTGTTTAGGTCGAATCCTAAGCGGCATTCACACAGGCCTCGTCTGTGCTTTTGTACCGTTGTTCATCCAAGAAGTTGTCCCACAAAAGATTAAGGTGAAGAAGATATTCTAATGTAGATATTGACAGTGAAATCAAATTCGAATCCAGGGTTCCCTTTCTTGTTCAATTCATATCGGTGTTTGTGTGGGCTCTGCAGTCGCGGCCCTCCTCTCCCTTCCATTCATGCTCGGTTCTCCGTCAACTTGGGGACTCCTCCTGCTTTTTCCGGCTATATTTGGTAAGCAGCTTGTAAAATAGACAGTATCTCTTCGAATCTGCTAGACAACTTTTCAATCTCTTCAGGTCTTGTCGCGCTGATTTCTTCATTTTTCATGCCAGAGACTCCGAATCGTCTCCTCCACGCCGGCTCCTATACAGCAGCCGTCGATTCGATCAAGTATTTAATATACAAATAATTTGCATTTATTATTTTGATAGATTTAATAATTTTTACTTTCTTGTAGATTTTATTACGATCTCGACGTTGACGACGGTGAAGTGGCAATTCAGGAGTACTGGAGTCTCGTTCCAGAAACGCCAGATCAAGTGGGTTCAAATGACAAAGATTGACAAAGATGACAAAGCTTTTATCTGTTAGATGCCTTTATGGACAGCACTGAGTACTCCATCAATCGCCAAGGGGATTCTTCTTGGCGGAGTCGTCAGTGCGACACAGATATTTTCCGGCAGCATGGCCACAATCTCATACTCGACAAGGTGATCAAATAAATATCCCACATAATCTTCAAATTTCAGCATGTTCACAGCGGTTTCTTTCATCGATGCATTGATCCCTTTTCTCCCAGCTCTCGGCAGTATCATTTCGATTATTCTCACTCTTCCCTCATTGCAATTGGTGAGATCAAATCAATCTTATCGATTCAGATTCTCAAGACACATACTAAAAAAGATCTTTAGATGAGTACATGATAAACTTTCAAAGGTCTTAATCTTTTCCTAATCGAATTTCTTTTCCCAGGTCGAGTCTCATGGTCGTCGTCCGCTTCTCCTCAAAACTTTGGTTCTATGTTTGATCTCAGACGTGCTTTTTCTTATTTTTTCGTTGCTCGCCGTGAATCCAGGTAAAAATGATTAACTGCACAGCTAAATTGTATGAGATTTCAGAAGATTGGTGGGCTTCATGGCTATTCGCTGCCACTTTTCTCCTCTATGGCATCGGATACAATCTGGGCACTGGACCAGTGGCCTATTTTTTGGCGGCTGAACTCGTGAGATTTTGCAGAGCTTTCCTGTTTTTCCTAGAATGGGTCAATGACTCAATATCTCCAGGTTCCACCCGAAGCCTCAACCGCTTCATTGGGAGTGGCGGTGGCTGTGAATTGGGCGAGTTCTTCGCTCACAACTCTCGCTTTTTATCCGCTCAATCAATCAATTGGTGGATGGAGTTATATGATATTTATTGTGCCCAGGTTTGACAAGAAAACAGATATCGTTCATATGCATTTAGTACCTTTTTCTTGGCGTTTCTTTGGCGATTTTTACCCGAAACTCGGCACAATTACACCGTGAAACCAAATGAGGCTTCGAACTTTTGCGAGGTAAATCGTAAATCCACTATTTCTAAAAGCTCTAAGCCTGAGCTCTAAACTTTTCCAGGTTGCCTCAACTCCATACGGGACTTTTGAAGAAAGACTTCTAGCTGACTTGGTTGATTAAAAAATTTGTTGTGTAAATAAAAGTTTATTTTAAAAGAAATCTGATTTCCTTTCCAATCGAACATCAGCCGCGACGGCGTCAATTTCCTGGAAAAGAGATTTTCAATTGAAAATTCAATTGAAATTCAAAATTGAACTGATAGATCTTACTCTAAAGAAGGATTTCATAGCAGTTGTCCCATCGTGCATTTTTATTCCCAAACGATCGTAGACACTGAAAAAAGATGAGTATTTTCTGCAGGTTTAGAGATTTTTAAAACCTTTGCGGCACTTGAGCCACCATTCGATATCCTTTCTTTTCGAGAAGACTCTGATTAGCGAGTGATGAAGCCTCGGAGACTAAACCCTGCACTCCGTCAGCCTGAAATTCTTTGCCAACATTAGTTACAAATTTTAAGTTGTAATTTATTTTCTTTTCCCCTCACCTTCAATTGATCAAAATCCAATCCATAATGCGCTAAACGATTCGCGATTCCTTGTCGCTGAAATTCGGGAACGACAAACGTGATTTCCCGTCTAAAATATGTTAACTATCGGGGTAAATTGTTCACAAATACCGTAACATTTTATTGATATGCGGAAGTTTCTCGAAAGTTTCGCCTTTCAATCTATCGAGAACCTCGGCTAAAGTCTCGTTTTTCAAAAGATTGTTACTCGTTTACCAAAAGCCAAAAGTTTCTGACTGAAATGTGACAAATCTATCTCCTCATCATCAGCTTTGGCGCCACGTTCACCGATAGAGAAAAGACGAAAGCCGACCAACTAGAAAGATTTGTTAGATTTGCTTTTAAATTAGATTAGATTTGATTGGCTTTTCAATTTTCCCATACCTCATTTGACTCTTGATCAACAAGCTTGTACGAGTAGGGAAATCTCAATGAATTCCCGCCGATTAACTCGAAAATTGGGGCCGCTTCTTGTCGGCTCAGACCTAGGGCCTGAAAAGTTTTTGCATTATTTCCAAAAGAGCTTTCACAATTGTGTTTTTTTCTGTTAAAGCCTACTAGTAAGACTAATTTGTATGCAAATTAACTCTCGAACAAACTTTTATATGTGGCTCAATTTGGATGAATCTCGACACGCACAACTCGACAATTTCTGGTAAATCAGTTGATTTTGCTGGGACAAACGCCACCCGGGAAGCATCTAGGATTTGAATGGAAAAGAGGAAATTTTGTTTCTATGATCGATTAGGTATATAAATGTTTTGAGCCGTGCAATATCGACTCACCGAGTGCTTTTCCCGATGAGATAAGGCGATGGGCTGAAAGAGAAAAAAAAACCAGTAATTGGAAAAGTGCGAACTAATTAGGGAACTTTTTCAATTTGCATTCTCTTTTCTGATGCAATTTAGATTCTAAAAGCAAAGATTCAGACTCAAAAGAGCCAATGATTTAAATGGGGTAGGCTAGTTTCCGCAACTTTTTTTTGCGCAACAGGGTCATTTGCGCAACTGGGTCTTTTGCTCAACTCGCCATAACTTTCTTCTAAGGGGGCTAATCTGTCTGGTTTTGGTCTCATTTTGTTGCACTTATTGAGATCTACAAAATGGGACCAACATCATAAAGATTAGCCCATTTAGAAGGAAGTTATGGCGAGTTGCGCAAACGACCCAGTTGCGCAAATGACCCTGTTGCGCAAAATAAGTTGCGGAAACTAGCCTACCGCATTTAAATTGAAAGTGGGCCTGAACGTAAAGGAGAAGCATAAATTGAAAGTGTTCCTTCAAGATTTGACAAAATGAGGCTAAAAATGATCAACCGATTTTGAAACTCTGCATTGGACAATAGCGTTCAAATATGTGCTGCTCTATAAATCGTTAGAAATAAGTGGGTGAAAGGAAATTGGCGATGAGTGAATGAGTGGAAATGGCAGACGGAGTTCTTTGGTCTCACTTCTCTTTTCTTCCCCCCATTCCTCAATCCTTTCCCTTCCTTCTTTGTGTATAAACTAGAGCCGTCACAAAATGCCCTCACCTGTTGACTTCTCGATATAAAAGACTTGAATTTTTGCAAAGTACTCATTTATACCAACAAAAATAACAAATTTTATACATTATACCAACAAAAATAAAAAAACTGTTAAAAAAGAAAAGAATTAAAACCTAAATTTACCCATGATTACCATTTATCCGTAAAACCCGTCGATATTATAAGCTCAAGCAGTGCACAACCAATACAAATTGTAAAATATCACATAAAAGTAAGCGATTTAAAAGTATAAATCATAAAAGTAAGCGAAAAAGAAACAAAATGTGCCGAATTATTAAGAACAACTAGTCCTAAATAGAAAGAAAAGCCTTCGCCGCTTCGGCATTCTCGATTTCTTTTCGACGACGAACAGCCGACAACAAGTCATCCTAGAAATTAACAAAAAATATTGTGAACTCAGCTGCACATAAACTTATAATCAATTTTAAGTACCCTAGTGGGAGAAGGAGAAAAGAGAGCAAAATATCAGTTTAATGAATTACCTTTCTTTCATCGTCACCTCTATCCGATAAGCGTTTTCGATTTCCAGTGAGCAAATCAAGACCCGATGGCTCCGTTGAAGTATCGTCAGATTTCTCTTTGTCTTTCCGTTTTTTCTTCTTCCTAAACACAGTGATTAGTGTCTGCAGGTTAAAATATATTAAATACAAGATTTAATAACAAAAAGCTAGCAAGCTGCTAAAACTCACTTTCTTTCACCGATCAATCCAAGCGCTCGTTTCTCCCTTTCCTCAACCTTTTTACGATCGGAAAAACTTGAAACCAATTTTAAAAACAGATCTTCGAGAATTGACAAACCCGAGAACAGCATCGTGATTTAACGCTTCGCGTACGCCTCGTTTCAGCAAAAACGCCATCACTCCGTCTTCCGTCTGAAAGAAAATAGATAAATCTGGCAAGTTCACAATTGTTTAGCCAACATTCATGCATCAACATGAAAGAAACCTTTGCAGCTTTGTCTTCTTCCTCTTTTCGTCGATCCCTTCTTGTTTTGGTGTGTTTGACGAGATATGGAATCTGATACTTCCCATCAAACAGCTCTCCACTATCTGGCGGCCGTTCATCCTTTTTGCACTTTGATGGAATTATCTCCGTACTAAAATGGTAAAAAAAATACCGAGTGTAACCCTATTACTTTTCGGTTTCTCCAACGTTCCTCAATTCTTCTCGTTGTGCATCGGATAATGAAGGGAAGTTCTAAAAAGGATTATATCAAGTAATACAAAATCACCGACCTCCTCTGTTTCTTCATCTCCTGGCTCTGTACCCTTTGGATTACTCGGGTCAGCTTCAAGTAACCTAAAATTTTGTCTTTCTACTTTCCAACAAAATTCTAAACCTATCGAATTGTGTTGCTCCCTTTGAATGTTTTGGTTTGTGCTCAACCCGCAGTTTCTTTCGATCACTTCTTCTATCATGGTTGTCGCATAATGTAAATAAATCCTTCAGCTGTGATGTACTTAATTCCCTAAAAATCTTTTAAGTAAAGTTTTAGTCAAATGATATACAGTTTATGTTGAGTCTTCTTGTTGAAAACACGTTGAGCCAGGAACTCCTTGAACAGCTGCCTAAATTCCAAATAACAAAGCACTTATAATAATCAACCTATGATAAATTTTCTCTTCAATGGTTCCGTGAGTAACAAGACGATAAATGGTGACCTGATAGAATGTTAGAATAAATGCAACCCAAGTCTCTCACTGACATCTCTTATTTGACCAATTCTCCATGCACGCTCCCTTGCTTGTGAATCAGTGGAGGGATTCCAACAGGGATCAAAAATCAAAACCTAAAGAAATGGTACAAGTTACAAAATTAATAGTTTAGTTAACATGACAATATCATACCTTATTAGCCGACGTGAGATTCAATCCCAATCCACCGACTCTCGTTGTTAACACAAACACGAAAATTGACGGATCCTAAACAAAAACAATGATTTTTTTACATCAGTTAAAGCTTACATTGGAAAAAGCGGATACAATTCCATCACGAGCTGCGATTGGAGTGCTTCCGTCCATCCGAAGATATGTATGTCTTAAAATAGCAATGAGAAATCTTAAACGAACTTTTCTACCCATCCCTAAGCAGCATAGCTTCGACGATTTCCAACATGACACGGCTGTTTGAAAACAATAAAACCTAAAGGTCAAATAAATTTCGACTTTAATCATTATCCTACTTTATTAGTCCCTTGTTTCTTCCATAATGCTAAAAGCCGTCTTGTCACCTCCAATTTTCCACTCAATGATGGATGACCAAAAGCTTTTTCTGATCCGACTTCACTAGCTTCGAAAAAACTTTTCGTCACTCCTAAAAGCAATAGAGTTTTATATATTTCGCTAGTTACCATCAGAATTCCCGCTAACAAGATGTGGATGGTTGCAAAGTTTTCGAAGAACTGTGATTCCGGCAAAGGGGAGATAGGTATTTTTTGCCTCTAGCATCCTAAAATTTTTTTAAATTTCTTTCTTAGGTAGTAAACCTTTGGCAAGCACGACTATTCAGAAATTCCACATAAAGTTTGCGTTGTTCTTGTGTCAACTCGCAAAATAAAACCTAAACAATAAGGAAATGCACAAAACTTGAAAACTTTCTAACCTGTTCTTGCTTTTTTGGTAAATTCAGCTCCATTTCGACTCCGGCTTTTGTCCGTCTCAGAAGATAAGGCTGTATAGCATTTCTAAAATTTGATTATTAAAGCTAAACAATTATAAAAACCTTAAAATAGTTGCACATCTAGCTCCGGTTTCTTTCATTAACGGCGTTGAATTAGCTAAAAGGAATCAAAATTTAAATTTTACAATAAAAATACCATATCCTCCTCGTGTGATCGGATTAGCGATATCAGTGAGAAATGGTTCTAATGACCCCAAACGACCCGGGTACGCACAATCTACCAAACTCCTAGATATATTTCTTTAAGTTTACTTTAGTGAAAATTACCACAACTCTTTCAGATTATTCTGTAACGGAGTTCCAGTGAGAAGAAGTCGATGTGGCGTTTGCAAGGCTTTCAGACTTTGAGTTAACTAAACACCTTTTTTAGTACTCACTTTGGTAAATCACTAACCCTCAACTCTGGGTTTTTAATTAAGTGCGCTTCATCGAGAACCAAATATCTCCATTCGCACTCATTCAAATCCTTCTTGTAGGGCATAAAAGTTGTGTATGGAACGATAACAAAAAGTCCATCTCTAAAATATTTTACTTTATGAAAACCGAGTCATGCAAACCTTCTCGGCATTAAACGTCGCGCTAACTTGTCCAAACTTCCTTTGAATGAGCCACTGCCGTGAAAAATCTAAAGGTAACTTTAATCTAGAATAGAACAATCAAGTGCTAAAGATAACAACTTACAATACTGCGAGCCATTGGTAAGTATTTTTGACAGTATTTAGCCCACTGAACAATAATTGAAGCTGGACAAACGATGAGGATTGCACCAAGACCGTTGTATCTAAATAATTTTTCGTAAACTAACAAAAAAAGTACAATCATTAGTACTTTTTTACTTTCTTCCCCCAAACATCAGAAATTTTAAAAAATCTAAAACAAAATGCAAATTTTAGAAATAAACATTTAAATAGGAAAATTTGCACTTTGCAAAAAAAAATGCATTCTAAACATATTAACATATGATTTGTATTGTCAACACCAAACAACTATACAACCTTCTTGCCTTCTTCTTGTCTACAACCTTCCTCTAGAACTTTTGGATGCGAGTGAAAGAAGATTATTCATTGGAATAAGTATATCATTGAGCTTCAAGATATTACTTTACGAGTATTAATAAATTAGTATTTAAAGCAGTCAACAATTTTGCCTGATGTTTGGGAGGGGACAAAGTAAAACAAGTACCCAATCACCTGGAAGACGAGGCCGTTTGCGTGTAGGTATCACTTAACGATCGAAGGAAAGCCAAACTCTGCAAAAAGGCAAAAAATTTAGCTTGAAAACTGTTTTAATAAAAAACCTGCACAGTTTTTCCAAGGCCCATCTCATCAGCGAGGATACCACCAACTCGTTCCCTGTGTAATTTCACCAGCCATCGAACGCCTTCCTTTTGAAAGCTGAATGAAAACAAATGAATAATCAGTATACAACTCTAAAAACTTACGGGTACAGCGTATCCCAAACATTTCGATTTAAAATGAAGCCATGGCCAAGATCCTTGAATGAGTCCTCGTGTTCATCATCAAGATTTGCATGTTCAACCGCCGCCAGATGTTTCCTAGAAAAATAAAGCTTACCGTAGTATTTATGTTAACTTTTTCCAAAACAGAACTTATTTTAGCTACGTTAAAACAAAGCTATTATCTTACCTAATCCTTTCTTCAAAAACTTTATCGTCTCCATCATCTTCGAAACGTTTCTTTCCTTTTGTAGTCTTCTTTGCAAATGTTTTCACTTCTCGACTCGACGAGGCTTCAAGCTCTTTCTCCATCTAAAATGAAAATTTTAGGTAAAATGTTATGCTATATTGTTACCTCATAAAGTTCTTCCGAATCGGCAACATTCTCCTCGGGTACATATTCCTCTTCTTCGGATCCATCGTCTACCGAATCGTCGATTTCTCCTTCCTCACTCATTCACTAAACAAAAAAACATTAAAAAGAACATGATTTTAAAATGATTATAAATAAGGAAATAGGTACACGTACATTTTAAAATGAATACCTATTTGTATTCACCCCAAAAATCCCCATTTCAAAAACCTTTTCGAAAGAGTGCAAAATGGGGTCAACGTCTTGTCTAGGTTGGCTTTTGCTTGTCCTTTTTACCGTAACCTTTCTCAAAAAGACCCCACCAGATGTATGAATTCAAATTCTCCGTGTATCCATGACAATACAAACTATTTGAAACCTTATTAGGAAAATTTTTTTGCGTGCAACAAGTTATTTCTTTGAAATTTGCTTTGATGGATATTGGACACATGGCACAAAATGTGTGCCGAGAGATTTCGAGGGAAATTTCACAGGATCTACGAGTGAGATGGTGCAGTGACGAGAACGTGGTGGGTGAATCGAGAGTGCTAAATTTCATTTGTGAAAACTTCCTACATAATACCACATTTTTTACAAAAGGATTCGATAATTCTTTGACTGAATATCTTGAATATATAAAATTTTAGTGATACTGATGATACTAAATAGGGAAATTCAAATGATCACAGCTCCAAAAACTTAAATCCAACACCAAATTTAGCGGCCTAACTCGTCATTTCAAGAGCCACGACCCTGGAAAAACGGAGATTTCTCGGCACTAAAGACCAGTGTGCTCTTGCCGCAAAATCTGAGACATCGACGAAGTCTCACCGAACGTTCGTTTTAAAATTAAGATAAAACACACACACATTACCTAACCAATTTAGATACCTCATAAAAGTCTTTCAAAGAATCCCATTGACTAGTCCTAAATACTTAAAAAGAAATTAAAATTAAAAATACAATGGTTTTAGCTCGTGTCCGATCACTAAGCGCATCACCGGGGAAAAGTCGAATCCTAAGAGAAATGTCTCCTCATCAGAAAAACATTCGTCCCATCAAAGGATCTCCGATAAAAACACGAGCAAATCTTTTACCCGCCGATCATCACACAAACAAATGTATGACCGCACAAAGACTTTATGAGATGAATGTCAAAGAAGAAATGGGATCATATGAAGAATTTGAGGTTGGCTTAAACGAGGTTTTCAAAAAGAGGAGAAAGAATTTTCAGCAGAAGCGCCAAGCTCAATTGAAGAAGCAACGAAAAGCAAATTGGTCAGTGGATTTCGCGTTTGGAGAAACCAGATGGCAAGAGAAATTGGTGGCAGAGGGACCATTTAAAGAAGTGAGAGAACAACATGAGATTGGAAAAGAAAGGAAAATGATTGAGGAATGGTCATTCATTTTAGAAATCATTACTTTCTAATCCTTTAATCCATGAATTTCAAAATCTAATCGAATTCTTAGGAATTGGACGACAATGACGAAAACTTGAATGTGACCCCCGAAATGGAAGCCCCATTCGATCTGAAGATGTATTTCACCCCGGCCGCTCACTTGAACATGTCAGTTTCACAGCGAGCACTTGATTACGATAAAATAATTTCAGGGACGATTCATTCAAGACAACAATTGGCTCTCCGTCTTATTTGAATCGCTCGAGAGATACGACTTTCGATCAAACATTGGAGTCGAATGAGCAAAGATTGGACTCTCTGATTCACCGGTGCATAGAAATAGAAATCGAAATCAAAATAACAATACCCACCTGTAACAAATGTGTAACATTGTTGTTGTTGTGTAACATTAACAATTGTTACAACAAATGTTACACACCGACTGGTGTCGAGATTTTATTTTCAAACTTCACCTTTTAGTCTCAATCGAAGCACCGAGAAGTTGGTCACCTCATTCCAGGAGACGACGAAAATCTTCGATAAACGGGAGAAATTGTTCAACAAGTAAATGGAATAATTTGTCAGAAAACCTAGAAAAATTTTAGAGTTCTTTCGCCAAAAGAAAAAGAATGGAAATCACCAAGGAAAGGGGTTCAATTCACTCCATTCGATTCTGAATACCGACAATCTTTGCCCGCTTCAACGACATTCGAAATTCACAACAATGTGAGAATTGAGGATTCAAGAGTTAGCTACGAGGCAAGAAGTAGAAATTTGATATCTAAATATTTCTTTTAGCCGGCAATCTGTTCAATTCTTGCTAAACAACTTGACACAAGCACACATTTGAGCAATTTGGAGAAGAACCTTCATGGACTCGTTGAAGTCGTCTCGAAAGTGGAGAAATTACAGAAAAGTTGGTGCCCGTAAAGGAGGAAAAACCCATTTATATCTTCAGCCCCGATAAAGAATGGAGAAGATGAGATTAGGAGAAGATTGCTGAAGATATTACAAGATGAGATGAAAGTAACGGATATGGCTCTCGATCATTTACTGGATAGACGATTTTTGAGGGGAACCATTGAGAAAGCGACGAGGTGAGTGATTGGGTAGACTAGTAAGAAACCAATTTGAATGAATGGCTACTAAATACTTTGCACTTGTTGTAGTAGTAGATCCTCGCGACTGTTGTAATGTGATTGACTTGCTTGTAATAGATAGCGTTTATTCAAAATAATGAACACGAATAAAAGAATCACAACCGTTCTACAAAAATATAGAACCAGGTGCTATCGCAATCGGGGAGGGGGGCAGTTAAAAATTTACATTTAAAGTGAACAACATATTTCAAAAACTTCTCCGGGAAACGGCTCATCACGTGGTTTCCCAGTTCACCTTCGGTGGCGAAAACAAAATAAAATGGCACAGATTACGGGAAATTCCTAGTCACAACCTAGACAGGCGTAGAAGGTGCACTTTAGAAAGCGACAATGTTGTGGGGAGTATAAAAGGCTATCTTTCTAACAGCTCTCTTTTAGACAAACCGGAAATGGCTCAACAAATATCTGGAAGACGGCAATCAGTCAGATCCACACATGGAGAATGAGACTTCAACAACTCGCGAAACAATGTCACAAATTGACTTCTGATATCAGAAACGAGAAACTGTCAATGGTAAAAGGGTCAAAATAAAGTTACACAAAAGTTTTAGAAGGATTTCGAAGCTGCTTTGACATCGATTCGCCGAGAGTTGGCCTTGATCAGAGTGGAGGTCTTCCAGTTGCCCCATGAAATGACACAGTAAGATTTCAGACTTCAAAATGCTAAGTTCAGTTTTTCAGGACACTCCCATGGAATAATGTTTCCTATCAAAGTATGATCAATCAATCACATCAAAGAGAGGAAAATGGAATGAATGAGAGTCAACACGAGAATCCAAGGCTTCGATACGCTGGAAGATTGGATCATTCACAAATCACCGAAGCTTCGATCAGTGGTTGGTTTTGATATTAAAAGATTGTTTTTCAGTTAGTTTGAAATCAAAATGCTAAAAGTGTTATTCAGATTTCGAGATTAAAGAAAACGCGAGCTCTTTCATGAACAGAAGCCATTCGGAATCGATCAACTCATCGAGAGGCCCCATTCGTTTCTCATATCAAACACAAGGTGAATCAAAAACTTAAATATCTATTTTAACAATATAAGTTCAATATACAATGTGATTCTCTTATTTTAATCTGAATTCAGAAGTCCCTTCAGCTCTCCGGAAAGAGTTGGAAGAGAAGCGACGCCTTGCTGAAACGATCAATAAAAACATTTCCGAAAAGTTTGAACTTTTTTTCACAACTTTATTGTTTATTCAAGTTGAAAAATTCTCTAAATCTGATTTTTAGAACGATCACCTCAATTCAAAAACAAATCGCGGCTCATGAGGAGTACATTCGAGAATCGAAACCCCTTTTGGAAATGCTAGCAGACAGTTGGTTTGAAAACTACTGGATTTATTGCTACTGATTGCTACTAAATTTTCTACTGGATTTATTGCTTAAAGTTATAAAATGGGTATTTCCAGGATCTGAGAAATTGGTTCGAGAAATCGATGAGCCGAAGCCTCATTTGCTCGAGGATAAAGCATCACAAGTTGATCGTGTCTCTTCGGTGCAGGTTTGACTCTTGGAAGAACTGGCTTTATGACTACTGTACAAGGAAACTAATAAAGCTCTTAATTTAGCAAGAAGAGGCACCAATCTTGTCGATGAGTAGTGTGGAAGAGAGCGAATTATCCACTGCTTCAAGCACATCGATTCCCGCAGCAACAAGTTACTTTGGTGAGATATTTCTTAGCCAAAAAACTTTAACAATATAGATATGCCAAACTCATTTGTTTTAGGAGATAACATTCCAAAGCTTGATCTTTCTTCATTGGATCATGAAGTGCCAGTGAATATACAAATGTATGAAGAGACACCAATGGAAGAAGATTACACAAGTTCATCTGATCTCACACCACGAGCATCGCCTATTCGAGAGATTGAAACGGTAACACTAGTAAAGTTCAACACAAACTTGATTTAGCATTTGTCACAAAGCATGAAAGAAGTTGAAGAAAGAGAAAGGACTCCGGTGATGACCACTCCCAAAGTGCATTCAATTGAGATGAAAACGGTAAGACAAGGTTGAGATTGCTTTACTTGTTGACTATTTTTGGACACTATATTAATTAAATAAATTACTCTAGAAGAATTGCAGTTTATTTAGCCTTCACCTTCTCAACTCTCCGAAAAGATCAAAACACCGACGAGTTCACCAAAAGTGAAAACGGTAAGCACAAAAATGTTCAATAACCCTTCAGCAAATGATTAAAAAAAACCATTTAGCCGTTATCTTCTAAAATCTCCGAGAAGAGTAAAACCCCAATGAGCACTCCAAAAGTGGACACGGTAAGTATAACATTTATGTAATAACTGTACAACTTTGGAATTTGTTCAATCAAAAAGCAAACGAGAATTTGTTTAGCCTTTATCTTCTCAACTCTCTGAAAAACTCAAAACCCCGATGAGCACACCAAAAGAGGAAATCCAAGAAGATGAGATTCTCTCAGAGATTGAGGATTCAGCAACACCAAAATCCGCGCCAAAGACAGGTACAAGCAAAATCTTTCGATTTTCTTAATAGAAATAATTTCAGTTTTCGAGACAAATGATTTGGAGGAGAGTCTCATTTTCAGTGCTTCTTCATCATCATCAATGAAAAAGGAGACACCAAAAAGTGTCATTTCAGAAAAGAATCAACAATCAGAGAGTAGCGGTGAGAAATGAAAGTTTTCAATGTTTTTCATAATCATTATAGTTTTCGAAGAAAAAACTAGAACACCAACAAAAAGCATCGAAGTGTTTGAAATGGAAGGCGAAAATAATACAGGTAACGGTTGAAGAGTCATACATTTTCAAAAGAGCTTTAGAATTAGATGAGGTATTGAACAAAACACCGACCCCCAGCTCAGTATCTTCTTCTGAAAGACAGGAAATTGTGAACGAATCGATGAAAGATATCTCTTCATTCGCTCCACAAGAAATCTCACAAATCAATTCGGAATTCGATGAAATGTCGATTACTCCATCGATCAGAGAGGTTTCACAAAATTAGACTTACATAAATAACTTCTTAGTAAAACTAGATATATTTTTTATAGGATGAAATGCTTATTCTCTCCGAATCCGACGTTCTCTCGATGCGAACTCCAAAAGAAGATCAAATTCTCGAATCTCCTGTTACCACTTTCAAGAATGAGATCGTTTCTCCAAACAAAAACTCTTTGATCGAAGATTCAAAAGGAATCGAAGAGGTTGTAGATTATGTGAGAAAATGAGAGTAAACTGTATTCAGAAAGAAAAGAAACCGATAGAAAATGTGGGACCGACAAGGAGAGATTTAATTGACGAATTGTTGAACTCGTTCACTCGATTGAGCACAAATGATTCACCGAGAGGGGCACGATCACCAAGGTAAGGGAAAAGACAATCCACTTTTACAGAATACTGTAATTAATAAGTTGTATGTCATCTTGTTTTTAGAATCTTTGAGACGAGTCTTTTGTCTCCTCGAATGAAATCCCCGAGAGCCAACACAATCTCATCGTTTACTCCACCATCTAGTAGTCCGGTAAACATAAAAGTTAGCATGATCTAAACACTTTTGTTTAGCGATCAAAAATCGCTGAAAACATTGGCAATCAAGTGGTGGAATATGAGCTAAAGAAAGCTCTATTCGAGGCTCATTCCACTTCGATGGATGAAAGTCTCGAGGATATTTTGGGTATCAAAAGAATCATTAAGTGAGTACAACTATTAAATAAAGTTATTCAAAGGGTTTATTTATACAAATTTGTCTAGAAATCGCGATCAAAAGAAGATTTCTCCTCGTTTGGAAACATTGATTGATGAAGAGGAACCACTCTTTCAATCGTCGAAACCCGTGGCCGAATTCGATCGGATATTCGATACACCGAGAAAAGGTGGACACTCATAAAGAAGACCTAAAGAAGAGTTTTTCCAGCTTTCCCATCTCCTCCATCTTCAGCTTCAAGTTCATCCACACAACCAGATCATTCTCTAATTCGAACCGAAAAAGGAGCTCAAGCGTTGATGGAAAAACTAGCAAAGGTTTGTGTGGAAAAAATTAGTTTAAGATTTAACTTTAATAAACCTAATTCTCTGCTCGTTTTCAGCAAGTATCCGAGAAAATTGTTGATGGGACAACAATGTCGAACTCTGAGATTCTCTCAATCTTACAAGATCTCGAAAAGAAGATCACAATTGAAGAAGAGACACGGCAATTTGGGTGAGTTTGGATAATGAATGAGATTAAAAGATTCATCTTGTAGGGATCTGCTGTATGAATGTGCGATGGATGAAGGAAGGAGGTTGATCTGTTTGGATAAAGATATCACTTCTAAATCATTGGAATCATTCATCAAAAAGGCTCTTCTTCAATTTATGCCTTTAGATCCAGGTAAGCACAATAAGGAATTGAGGTTTTTCAAAATCTCACTATTGTATGATAATATCAAAAATATGATCAACGTTTCAGATGTCGTCTACTCGACTCGCAAATATCAGACGGGATCAAATGAGAGCAAAGTCTCTTTTCCGAATGGACTCTCAACGGATGTTTGACTTTTCAGACTAGCATAAAACAATGCTTTCAGGATAAACGTGCGAACATGGTGCTCCGACAGATCATCATCGACGACGATAAGCGGTTTAAAGAAGAATTGGAGACCACGAAAAAAGTTGAAAGAAAAATCGGTCACATATAAAAAAGCAATTCAGATGAATATCGACAAAATGACGGCGAATCTTCTGGATGAGAGCGTAAAAGAAGCCATAACTAGTCTACATGAAAGTTTTCTATAATCAATCCCTTGATCGTGCAAATATTTTTGCCTTTTCCCGAAATAAACATTACACTGGTGCCAAAACCGTGAGAGAACACTTTGCACAACGGGTTAAATTTATAGAGATTACTGGAGATGGAGATGGAGAAATTTATAGAGATGGAGAAATTGCTCAAAAATTCTAAAAAGGGGAATCGCGTCTTTGTTCTGGTTAAAGCTCTCAACGGATTGTATCTTCTGCTGTTAATAACAGCCTGTTATTACATTCACAGAATTGTTTACTTTTTGATTTTCACATCGATCACATCAGATCTCAAATTATATTGTCTCATCTACCGTAATCGTACGCGCTTCGAACTATAAACTTTGAAGAGAAAGAAAGAGAGGGAAAGGGGGAAATTGATAAGATCGGCTAACGAGGAAGGGGCAAAGTCCATCGAATAACAACAACACAAAAATGCTTTGCGGTATAAGCATTGAGCAATTGAAAGAAAATTGTTTAGCCTTGATTTAGCTGTTTTTGTTAGTGCTTTTTGTTATTTTCTTCAATCCGTCAACTAATTTTGCTTTTTAGTGGGTAAAATCGTGGAAGGGATGATGCTTCGACCATCTGCCTATCGATTTGCTGCTTCTACACGAAGGTTTGTTGATTTTTTTACATTTTTAGCTTAAAGTTATTGAAAGAATCAAAAGTAACATTTAAAGTGCGTTATTTATTTATTGCTTAAAAGGTTTAAGTTAGGTATTTGTTTTAGTGTGCACAAATTGGCCGATGGGACTGATTATCAATACATCCATCGATCCGAGCTTCCTTCATATCACTTCCAAAAATCTCTTCGACGATTGCCTATCCCAAAATTGGCCGACACCGCTAATCGATACATTGCTTCAGCCAAAGTGAACCATTTTCTCTTTTTCTTCATAAACTTTTAAAGTCTAGGCTGTTCTTAGCGATGCTGATTTTACACGAGCCGAGAAATTGATGCGAGATTTTGAGAAAAATGAGGCACCCGGTGAGTTTTTGTCGTTTAAAATCAAAGGCAATTTTTTAGAGTTGCAACAGGAACTCTTGAAGTATGATCGTCATCACAAGGACACGAGCTACATCAGTGAACCTTGGTTCGACATCTATTTAAGGTTTATTTTTTATGGCAAGAAAAGTTTACTGAAATGTGCTTGAAGTGAACATTATAAAAAGCTTATTTAGATCTCGTGCTCCGTGCCCGGTTAACTACAATCCATTCATGATGTATGCGCCCGATCCAAACCCGAAGTTTAATCATCAAGTTTGTTTAATTTAAAAGTTGACTTAAATTTATTTTGTTTTTAGCTAACACGTGCCACAAATTTTGCCATCTCGTACGCGCGGATCAGGCGGGCTTTGGACGAAGAGGTGAGTGGATGTCATTTTGTTCAGATTTTTCGTGCTTATCAAGTTCTGCACTAACTAATACTTTTTCATTAGGTTTTGGCTCCAGAAGTATTTCATCTGAATCCAAAAAAGAGTGACACGAAGTTTTTCAGAACGGTTTGCAAGTAAGGGTTTTGCTTTTTTTGCAAGAGTTATATCTTTTTTTAGATCTCTTCCGCCATCGCTTTCTTGGTTTGGTGCCGTGGCTTTTAAAGCTTTTCCACTTGACATGAGCCAATATAAATCACTTTTTTGTGGATCAAGACTGCCAAAAAAGGAAAAGGTGAAATAGTTTTTAAGCTAGCTTAATATTTAAATTTATAGGATGTTCTCTATTTGGACCGATCACAAAAACATTTTGCGGTTCTTCATGGTGGTCGTGTCTACACGGTGCGATTGTTTGACGACAATGGTGAGCCTTGAATCAGTTTAATTGAACACATGTTTATTAGAATTTTTAACAAACTAAATTTTTAGGTCACATCATTCAACCAGAGAGGGTCCATGCTTCACTGGCTTCGATTTTGTCACAAAGTTCAGCAAACGCCGATGAAAGTGTCGGAGCTTTGACAGCGGCCGATCGAGACACTGTTCGTTTTAATTGTTCATAAAATATAAATTGATAGTGGGCAGTGATGTCTTATTGCATTAAATTTAACTTGGTTTTATTTTTGTAGTCCTTATTTTAGTGGGCTGTTGCGCGTGAAGAGCTTGAAGGATTGGGAAATGCGGAGACGCTTCGAGCCGTTGATGGAGCGATGTTTGTACTCTGTCTCGATTCACTTAAAACTGAGGATCACAAACGGTAAATATTTAATAGGTAATCAAAATTTTCATTTTAGACAAGTTCAATCACTATTGATTGGTGATAATGCATCGAACAGATGGTTCGATAAATGTTTCCAATTAATTGTTGACGGTAATTGACATTTTCTGTTCATCTGTTTTTTATTAAGGAAACGGAATGGCGACAATCAATTTTGAGCACTCTTGGGGTGATGGAGTTGCCGTTTTGAGACTGATGGAGGAAAGTTTCAAGTAAGGTTTAAAAAAATATTTGAAATATAAATTTTATTACAGGGATACAAACAAACATCACTTTGTTTCACCAGACGATAAGCCAGGGACGCCTCAAGATGACGATTTGAAAGAACTAAGTGAGTTTAAAAGTATCTTTTTTGATTGGTATATTGATTCAGAGTTCAATTTGAACGATTCGGTGAAGCAGAAAATCGTCAATGTACAAAAGAAGCACGTCGACGATTGCAAGGTTTGATTTGTACATTAAGCAACATTTTTCCAATGCTTCATTTAGGACCTTGATTTTGCCACCGTTGAATACAAAAACTTGAACCGTGATCTCATCAAAAAGACAAAATTGAGTCCCGATGCTGTCATGCAATTGGCAATACAGGTTTTTGATCACAAAAAAAACACTAGAACTTGATTTAGATGGCCTACTACAATGCCTACAAAGAATTTGTGCCTACATACGAATCTTGTAGTACGGCTGCATTTTTGAAGGGAAGAACTGAGTGTATGAGGTAAGGAAGATGTAGGAATTGAATATAAACATGGAATAAAGAATGAGAATCATCATACAGATCTTTAGATCAGCAACCTCAGCTACGCGAGAAGCGGTTCTTGCTCTTTCATCAAATCGCCTTGAAGGAATTCAAGAACTTTTGAAAAAATGCTCTGATGTTCATTCACAATTGGTCAAAGAAGCAAGCATGGGTAATTTTTTTTACTTTTCAATTTTTTTTCTTGAAAGTGAAAATACCTAGTATCTTATCATTGCCGCGTTTCGCACTTTGTAGTGTAGTTTGACAGGGGTTTTCTCCAAAACATGCCTACTCCTTTTTACTTTTCTCATTTAGGCCAGGGATTCGATCGGCATTTGTTGGGACTACGAATTACCGCAGAACGATTGAATCGATCGGTGCCTGAATTTTTCAAAGATGCTACTTACAATAGGTTTGGTAAAACTTGCTTTTTATACAAAATCTGTCTTCAGAATGGGTCACTTTGTGCTCTCCACATCGACACTTTCGACTGAAACCATAGTTTTTGGAGGATTTGGACCGGTTATTAGAAAAAAGTTATATGAAAACTGTTTAATTTTAGGTTGTCACTGACGGATTTGGAGTTGGATACAACGTTGTGCCGAGCAAATTGGGCGCTGTCATTTCAAGCAACAAGGTAAATACTTACTAATAGCGAATTGTAGGTAGATCAAAATACCTAGGCAGTATGATAGTGGTGCAAAAATTGATAGCTACATAATTTTATTCATTTAGTCGAAGAAACTTGCGCAGAATTTTGCCGATTCGCTCACCGACTCGTTGGACATTTTGCGGGGAGTTCTTGTGAAATAAGTTATTTTTATGGATTGCATTTTAGTTTTTTTCTATGTGCTTATTTATTCAGTATTAATTTGTACATGTCTTAATTTTTCGTAATTAGGCAATCATTTTGTGATACTTTTGTAGCCTCGGGTGTGGCGCGTTGATAAGGTTTTTATTGAAATAAAAGGATTACAGCAAAATGTAATTTTCTTTTTGATGTAAAAAGAATTGGTATTACCATAGTTCTTTTTTTAACAAGTTTTAAACTTAATAATGCTAGATATGGAACTCTTTGTGAATTCGAAACCATGACATCAATTTCAGATATGGATGGTTCATCGAGCAGTATCCGACCAGAAATGGTTGAAGCGGCCATCAAATTCATGAAGACTCCAAAAGTTTATGGTAGTCCATGGGACGAACAACGGGCCTTTCTCGTAGGGAAAGGACTCACTGAGCAAGAGATTGGTAAGTTAAATAATTTGGCTCGGGAAAAGTAACATTGTACAATTACCATAAAACGATTTTATTTTGAATCCAGGAACAACTTTTTAGAAGAAGCTCGTCGGCAAGTCCCCCCACCATCACAGATTGTCGTTGGTCAGGGTAATGGACACTATGCTTATTCTGGACCTCCTCCACCACCCCCACCCAATCGGTTTGATCAATGAAGTCAGCCAAGATTACAGAATTGATTGCAGAATTGTTTCCTTTGCTCAATCAGCTGTGATGATCAGTGCTGTCAGTTATGCGGGTTATCGTTTTTTGCGATCTTACGTGTTGCCCCGATTCTTCGACATTCCGGATCCGGCCATGGAAGAAGTGAAACCACCAAAAAGTTTATGAAGGCTAAAAATCAATTTAGACTCGCCAGCTACAACAACAATTAAACGATCTGCAAAATTCGATGAAATTTGTGATTGATAGCGTTTCACAAACCACACAAACGTTTGTGAAAAGAAAATTTTCGAACTAAAAGAAAATCACTTTTCAGACTTGCAATGCAACAGGAAGAGATCTCGAAAGCTCTTCTTTCAATCAGCAGTCGAGACACCGAATTTTCGAGAGTCGAACAGGGGATAAGGTATGGAAATAGGGAAAAGCGTGTGGTCTTTCAGAAATGATCTTTCAGCACAATTCGAGGGCTTCTGTTGAGTCACAATCAATTTGCACCAATTCATGTACCGGCGGCGGCTGTGACAAACGGTTTGATATTAAAAATTGAATCAAATAGCTCGACTTTGCTTAAATATCTGATAGAAATTCATCCAACAAATTAGACAGTCTAAATTTGAATAGACGTGTGAAGCTAACAAGCACCTTGTAGATGTAGGCTCATCAGTGTCCTCATTACCCTCGTGGCAACGCGCTCCACCCACAAATTTTGCCAAGCAAAACGGAGTGAAAGAGAAAAATGCCGAAGAGAATGAAAAGGAGGAAGAGGTTTGAATGAATACACGAATATTAAGGAATAATGAGAAAGTAAATGAAAAGGAAGAATTTCAGGAAAACTCGAAAACTGGCCTCATCAATGAGGAGGAGACTGAGGATTTCCAAGATGTCAGCGATTAAGCTTTTCCTCCAAAATAGACATTCTTTTTTGTGTTGTGATACTTTTCTTGAAAATGTGATAAGCTCAACAATTGAAACTGGTACTTTTTTGTGAAAGTATGTATGCAAAACACTGTTCAATATATTTACCCGTATAACAATGAAGACACACATTACACAGTAGTCTTTTCCCCGAGATATGGTCGACAATCGGGATCCGTCTCATTGGCACAATAACAGTAATGGAGATCCTGAAGATTTGTAGATTTGTAGAAATGTAAAAAAAATAATCAAATCGTAGACTGTTATCGATACCCCTTTTCGCGAGTTCTTGTGCTACCTGAATTCCAAGTTTCGGATCGGGGCCGCATTTGTGGAATGAACTATCCGGACACTCCTCATAACAATCATAATGTGCACCGTTTAGAGAACTAAATAAGTTGGAAATATTAAAAGTGATAAAACATTACTTAAATAACTTTTTTTTTCGCTGAAACAAATTAGGTGCATTTAATTCATAGAACTTATGCACTCACCTCACCACCGAACAGCACTCGTGATGGGGCAGACACTCAACAAGGCTCACATTATCGACTGGAGGCTCCTGAAATCAAGTAGAACTGTTGAAACTTGTCATTCAGCTATATCATCTAAATAAAATACCGTATTCGTTTCTCTGCCTTAATGCCTCATTTCTCTATTTTTTGGAAAAAACCAAAACAAAGCCCAGAGATTCGTGAGAAAAAATGATTTAGTGCGGAAAAACAACGACTACGCGACGCTCCTCTGAGCACGTCGTACTATTAGAAAAAATACAGTATTCACAAAACGCCGATACCTCGCTGAAATTTTGCCATCCCGAATAGCAGAACAACCCAAGAGCATTCTCGGAGAAAAGAAATAGAAATGAAATGCCCAAAATACCATAAAGACTTCTCATTTTAGTGAGCTTTTTTTCAAAAATGCGAGAGTTCACAAAATGAGTTTCGATTAAAAAGCTGGCCCATCCCCCACAAACAGTTAGGGGAAGCAAACAATCAGTAAATAAACATTCACTCGTTGCAATTTGCTCTTCATGTGAAAGGGGAGACACAAAGAACATTTTCATTGTCAAGACTATGAGGCTTTGAGAGAAATTTGAGGGTAAACTTGTTACCGGTTGGTGGAGGAATCGAGGGATCGAAGGGGGATGGTCGGTGTGGAAACTAGACAACGTGCTTGTATGCACATTGTGGCACAAGATCAACAAATCAAAGATTTCGATAAGATGAACATTGGAAAAGCTTCAGAAAAGTCATTTCGAGTATGCTAATTTAAATTGGCATTTAGTATTCAGTGGAATGTAATATAGAGAAATTGCCTTGTGAAAAACTCGATTTTCCCACAATCTCGAATGAAAGCAACACTTAGCCTAGGCTCAGTTATAATCACTCCCACGATTCAATAACCATCAATGATTCACCCCGTTTTGATGACCCCATCTCCCCCATTCTCTATTGAATATTCTCATCCAAGCGAATGCATTCAATTGTACCTCTATCATCAAAAGAAATGAAAGAAATATTCATCTTCTTCTCCCTCATAACTTTCACTTGACAACCGCAAAAACAGTGTCTTTGAGCGGAATGCAGAAAAACATCTCGAGAATGATCCCATTGTACTCCCCTCACACTCAATATAAAAGACATTGAGCGCCTTGGAGCTTTTTATTTTCCTCCGTTCTCATTTTTGAATTGCACTTTACATATCTTTTCCACATGTATGCTCTGAATCGGTTTTGTGTGTTGTTGTCGGGTTATTTCTCGATTGCCATGATGGAAGGTTTGACACCGACTCCAATCCAAGATATCACACCTGTGCCTATCGATCGCTTCAATCCACAATTGACAGGTAAAAGAAGAGTAAAACAATATGCTAGTTATTATGGGCTCACAACTTGAGAGTCTCAACAAATGCAGGAGCCATTGAGACAGAAATGAACTAATCTTCTAGAGTTTCGTCGAATGGATACAAGCGGCGACGAGAAGGTGACATTCACCGAATTCCTCTTGTCCGATAAAGATTACATTGAGGCAAGGAGTCGCGAATTTCACTCATACGACAAAAATAGTAAGTGTTTGTCATTGAGATTAGAGTGTGATCCTCGCGATTAATACGCTTTCTAAAACGCCGGGAACACACTCTAATTCTAGTCTTATACCAAAAGTAATGCTACACCTATCTTTGCTCATATCTACACCGCCTCATTTTCAGAAGACGGCGTTATCTCTCGTGTCGAATGGGAGGCCTATTTCGAGCGAGAGGGTCGGGGTGATCACCACCATCTTCCTTCTCATTCTCATCATGCCGGCTCTCCCGATCTTGATCACGATTCATTCTTTGTGGGTCCACCTCTTAACAACAAACATTTTGATTTCCCATCATCTTCATCTCAAGAACATTTACCAAGTTTCTCTTTCATGTTTTGAGCATTTACAAGTATTCGTCATACTGATCATGCAATCTAACTATGCTCAATTTTTGTACCTGTAAAGATGAGATTGTAAATAAAACATTTGATTAAGTACTTGGTGAAATTGCAACAAAAATTAAACAAATTTCTAGGGAGGTCGATCACCATTCCACAATTTTTTCAACACTCCTATTCGACACGAGATTCATGGAGAACACGAAGGGCCACAAAAAGGAAATAACCCAAGCATGGCTCATCCTTCCCAAAACGGCCAACGGGTCAATCCAGTCCATTCTATCATCGCCTCAACCCGCAACTCGAAAATGGTTTAACGCGTGTAAATGGGGAAAGCCCTAAAGAACCGAATGGACCAAAATTCTTTATTTTCTGAGCCCTAATTCTTGAATGTGTTTTTGTTTGTTTCCCATTAAAGCAAGCTTTAAAATTTTAATCGAAATAGCAGAATGACCCACACTTTTGAAAAAAGCAAATCAAAATTTAGCAATCCCGTTGGACGATCTTGAACAGCAAAATGAGGACGAGAACAAACGAAAAAAACTAGAGCTATTGTCTTTATCATATACAGTTCAGAGATACCTGTGTGAGCATTTGGCTAACTTTCAAAATCTCGATTTCTTTCTCCGTTTTTCTAAAGCAAACTAAACTAAAGAAAAAAAGGAGGCATACCCGATATTCACGTAATAAACAGCAACTAGATGCCCATTTTCATCGACACATCTAAAAGAGCGGATGTGACTGGTGTAATAATATTACTAGTCAACCTATACTCATCTTGATCTTCATGTGTAATAGATTTAAAAACCAAATTGAAAGCCCCATCAATAAAAGCTCTAAAAAATCAAAGCTGTAATAAATCAGTATAAACTATCTAACCTGTTCTGCTTTTTTTCAGGAAGTACCCTAGTTGTGAGATCACCAGCATAATTGGCCATCCAGAAATATCCCTAAACTTTAAAATCTTAAAAAACACAAATCTTTTACCTTGTAGTCTTGCTCAAATTTACATGGTAGAATCACTTCGTCCCCATTGTAGACCTAAAGACGATAAGAAAGGTTAAAGTAGTCCAATTACGTTCATAATTTGTCGATGAACCGGTGATTTAAGACGTGGCAACAGCTCACCGAACACGTACTCTCCACCAGGGATTGTCTCTAAACAAGAAAAATAAAGTCCATTATCAGAAAAACTAGTCTATTGTGGTCCTCTTGTTGCAACAAAATAATATTTAGATACCTAATAGCGAGCTTTTTCCAAATTGATCACGTGCCCGGAATATTCTTGCTGCATGCTCTTCAGATTCGCATTCGATCTAAAATTTAAATATTGAATTGCGTTTAAATTACATAAAATATAGGATGGACTTTTTAAAATTAAAGTTATAAAGCATAAATGCCCACATGACAGCTACGAAATTGATAAAGTACGGGATGGGCGGATATTTCGCGTCGAAATCTTCAAGGAAAAGATAGATTACTCTTCGAGGTCAAGAATTTGAAGTTTTTACATACTCGATTGGAACAAGAGTCGAAGAGCAAGGAATCGATCGGAAAAGTCGCAGATGTTTCCATCGAGGTGGGAGATCATCAAGCGGCACTGATGGCTGAAACATCAGAATAACACAAAACTGGAAACACTTTCTGTAATGTATTAGGTTGGCAAGAAAGTTCGTAGCAAAAGTTTGCACGGTGATTTCTCAAAAACCAAGCCATGAATTCTTCCCAGATTTTTTTGATAAACTTGTCTATATTTCAAAAAGTTTTTGACAAAAAATCAGAGTGGGCTTCAGGTAAAAGAATATAAGAGATTTCTTCAGCTGAAGTGCCTTGGTCACTTTTTGAGTGACAGCCTCCCTTTAGACAAGTTTTTAATGGGTTAATGGATAGGCAATGGGTTCCATTCAAAACCTAAAATAGGGAAAATTTGTGATAAAGGCAAATTTTATCTAATGCTTTAACTCTTCAGAATCACCTATTTTAGGAAACACTCAGTGCCAAGAAGATGACACCAAAAAATTATTTTTGGAAATACAGCTTCTCTGCAAAAAAATTTGTTGGCCAAAAATAGAGATTATAGAGCGTATTGCTCATTTATGCTAGCTTTACCTCATAAGGAATCCTTTTTCTGGTGCAAAAAGTGAGCTGAATTTAAGCTGGAAAATAAACATTTTTCCAAAAATCTCTAACATTTTAAGGGAAAGCTGCACTCATTTTTTTTACGATTAATTTCTTGAAGTCGAATTGTAAATAATAGAACAAAATATTCTTGAATTGGTGGATTTGTTTTTAAGAAACTCCAGTCAAACTTTTTCCGAGAACTTTCTTTCCAAAATAATAGATTTCAACACACAGAAAAGAAAAGCTTACAATAAAATGGCATTCAACGGTGCGCACGGCTTCTCCAATTTTGTTTCCACATTTATTGCAGCGAGACCAAGGAGTTGCCTGTAACGGACAAAGAAAAGTTGGTGTTTTCAGGAAAAGTTTTAAAATTTCTTTAAAACAAAACTTTAAATTGACCTTTGCAATCGTTTTCACTTCGCTAAAGTCTCGTTCCATTGCTTTCTCTTCGGGTGTTTTAGTGACGTTTTTATCAAGGAAGTCCTAAAGTAAATATTTTAATAAACTAAAAAATTCAACGATACCTGTACTTTTTCTTCTCGATCGACGAAAATGTCAAGAAAATACATGTTCTCAATGTTGCCGGCCGTTCCATCAATAGAAACACGTCCAGAACGAGCACATCTAAATGATTGAGATAATTAGTTTGAAAAACTAACCCGAAATAAAGAAACATACTTGTAATATCCAATATCTTCTCTCGAAACGTTGCTTATCCGTAGTTGATAGGCGCTCCCTTGACCATATTTCACCCCAGAGCCCAATCCAAGGATTCTAAACCAAAAGTTCAACCAGTTTTAAAATCCATTTACATTTTAACCAGCTTTTTCGGCTCAATATGAATTCCTATATTTGGCGATGGATAATTGTTCGTTAGCTGCGTCCATCTAAAAATTTAATTTAAACTAAAAAGAACAAAAACGAAGCCCAACTGTTGCTTTCCGACAAAAAGAAAGAACCATTCGTTTTTCCACCTATCCAAATTCGGCCCCTGATGTCCCAAAAGTAACTAAAAAATTCCCATTTGTACCAATCTACGGTAAACCTTAAGAACCAACGGTTTTAGCATGCGAAAGAAAATTGCCAAAAAACTGCTCCGATTTGCTCTTGTCAGCCTAAAACTCAATAGGAACTTGTAAAAAATTATTCAAAAAACCTTGAAAACTTCGCGCACAAATAGTTCATCCTCCGGATATAAACTAAGAATACAGTTATAAAACGTTTGGTCAAGATACCCACCATGGGAAGCAGTTCAACAGCGCCACTCCATTACGCCTCACCAATAACACTTCGGATGCCACCTAAAAATACAATACAGATAAACGAAAGAGGACAAAAGATTAAGGGCACAACTAAATTGGGAGTGGGACAAATGCGACCTTTTTTTGCGCACCTTGCCCATTAGCGCACCTTTTTCGCGTTTTAAAAAAGCTCTAAAAAGCTAATATTAACCAATTTCTATTCCAAAAGTTGTTTTTCTAGGTAATTTGAGGGCGTCGAATTCAAATTTTGACATAACAGAGCGTGTGGAACCAATTTGAAAGACAAAACGGCTAAATCAAATTACAGAAAATTGTCGATTTTTCTCTTTGTATAACTCCGTCCGTTTGTTTCCACAAGCTCTGATATGTCCAAATTTCGATTCTACGCCCTAAAATTACCTAGAAAAACAACTTTTGGAATAGAAATTGGTTAATATTAGCTTTTTAGAGCTTTTTTAAAACGCGAAAAAAGGTGCGCTAATGGGCAAGGTGCGGAAAAAAAGGTTCGCAAATGTCCGGGTGCGCAAGAAAAAGGTCGCATTTGTCTCACTCCCGAATTTTCCCATAAATTAAGATTTCAGTCGAAAAGTTTTATGCGCAGAAAATAAGGGCTACGGTATTCACATTGGTGGTGTTGGCGAGGTTGCGAATACACTTATCATAGCTATCAAAGTCCTTTCCCATCTGCCAATTGTATGGAGTCTGAAAATGATCATCGATTTTATTGTTATGGTTGAATATGCAGGAATCATATTACATAGACTCTTGATGAATCACAAATTTCAGACCGTTCTTTCCCGAGTCGATTCTACGTAAAGAAGAAGAGCCGCCAAACCAATCAACCGCCACATTGCAAAAAATAATACTCATTTTTTAAAGGCTCGCAACTGGTGTTTTTGTGTAAATGCAAATTTTTGTAAATATGTGAAAATTCTTCGAATCTTGAACTTTATTCCTTAGAAAAAGGGTTTTTTTGCACGCTGTTTGTCACGACTACAAGTTTTAGCCATTTCTCTGAAGCCTTTGTCTGAATTGAACAACCAGATAAGGACTTGCCTCTTTTTAATATTCTGAAATCACTGCCATTTAGTGTTTTCACGTACTCTGCTCTTGCAGTGATAGTCAATCTTTAGGAATTTTTTTCTATAGCATTTTGTCATCGACACTTCCATTTTTTTTCACGACAACAATCCAATGGCAAAGTCTCATTGAGAGGCTCTGTATACATTGACCCCCATATTGGATGTGAAAGTGAAAGAAAGAACATAAAGGGGCACAATTTTTGTCTACGAAATGCCCTTAGGTGAACGTGAAAACGAAAAGAAGTGCAATTGAAAGAGAAAGAGGAAATTGAGGGGGGAAAGGACAACAACAAAAAAGAAAGATCAAAGGGGTGAATAGAAGGGGAAAACACTCTCACACACTCCCATATTTAAGCCGACATCCATTCATGAGCCTTTTTTTCTTATTCGATTCTCGATTTGGCATAAAATGGTTTGATCACAGTGCTGATGAAATTTGTTTTTCCTTTGTTTCTAGACTTAATTGTACTAGAGTTCTGTTGTACTACTGGACCACTGTACTCACAAATCCTACAAGAGGCCCTCTTATACTAGAAAAGTGCACAAATTTCTAGATCAACGAAATCTCCACTATCTTTTCAAATTCAATTTAAACTCAACCCAAATCTAGCTCATTTTGTCCCAGGGTTCACACTTCCATTTCCCTGTTGTTGACCTCTTCTATCTAAATATTATTGGTTTATTTGGTTTTCATAGTCGTTTCAGTTTTCTCTTATCATTTGGAAAAAAAAGAAATAAAAAATGAATTAAAAGAGGGCGACGAAATGCACCCGAAAAGTGTAGTCTGAAGAAAAAGAAAAGCAAAAAGGGGATGAGGGGGCACGTGGGGGTTCAATCCATTGTATCGCATCCATTTCCACCTTTTCCTCCAATTTTTCTTTTCTCTCTCAATTCATGACGATTGAGGGGCCCATTTTTTATCAATCTCTTTTCTTTTCTTTTTTCATTTTTTGTGTGCTGTTCATGGGCGGCGGAAATGCTTTCGGCGAAAGACTTTGCACTCATCATTTCTCTTTTTCAATTTCCCCCAGATTTCTTCGATCAGACGATTGACTTTTAGACTTTTAGGCTTCCTGGAACGATAATAATTGTACAGACAAGTGACTTGTCTTATCACAATCTTGCTTTCTACAGTAGAGTATTCCAAGTGCTTTCATTTCGAGACTTTGCCTTTCCATTTTTTTCCTTTCAAAACATTCGAGGCATAAACAAAAGCCAATTTTAATGGAAAAACCGTTTGAACTGTTTTCAGCGATCAAAAAGAAACAAATTTGATGAGATTTTGCCGCGAGAAAACGTATTTTCGTTATCCATTTATTTCAAAGTCAAGAAATTTTTTGGTTTTATTTTTTTATTTTGCCTCATTTCATGTAAAATATTAACTTTTCCACAGTATTACAGTATTTTCAGGGATGTCCTTTTTGGTCCAAGCTGTCGGCTATTTCAACACCGACGCGAAAGCGCCCGAAAACGTGAGTTTCGGAAATTTTATTGGATATTTTCTATAAATGTTAGAATTAACAGAATACTTACCAAAAAACTCAATATTTCAGGCGGTTTTTCAGGGTAAACACGACGATTTCCACGATGACGGTCCCCTTCCACCAAAACGATCGAAAAAGGAGGAGCTCGTGAAAAGAAGTCAATGCATTGGGTAAGTAAACAAGAACTCATTTCATTTTTCTTTCAAAAATTTTGAAATCCTATATTTTAAAGTTTATGCCTGACTTTTGATCGGTACATGGAATCTGATCAGATCAGGAGATTTCTCTCAAAGAACAAGAAACATTTCTCACTCCCCAAAGTGATAATCTTCTCGCAAAAAGTTTGATAAATCACCGCGCTGCTCTCTTTTTTTTCGTAATAGATCTGATAAAAACATTAAAAAAATAGGCGTGCAGAAAATCGGCACTGAACCCGATGTTTGTAGGAAATGATTTCGTACAGGGAAAATTTCAAACAATCCGATAAAAGTTGTTCGGGGGTTAAAAATGAAAAAAAAACTTCACTTTTATAAAAAGCCCGTACAGACGGACAGAGATTTTTCTTTTATATAGTAAATAATACATACCGTAAATACTGTAATAGTACCCCACCCCCCCTCGTACAGTCGCGTAGTCGCAAAAGTTTTTTAGTATTTCATTTTTTTTCAAAGCGCCCGTACTTGTAGTTTTCATTTAACGAGATATAAATGCAATCTCAACAAGACTTTGACAAGATCGCTCTCAAAAATCCCATCAAAATCCCATCAATGAGCAGCGTACCAAGCGAAACTCGGCTCTCAAATTTGGCAGGCCATATAGAAAAGTTGAAAGGTTAAATCGATTAGATAATTGGCACCGTTTTAGGAGACATACTTACCGTAAATACTGTAATAGTACCCCAGCCCCCTCGTACAGTCGCGTAGTCGCAAAAGTTTTTTAGTATTTCATTTTTTTCAAAGCGCCCGTACTTTCAAAAAATGCGTCTTTGGTATCAAAAAATAGCTGAAGTTCAGGGCTATTTTTTGATACCTAAGCGCGCATTGTAGCATAAACCAGTGTCGAGAAAAACTCGTTCAAAGCTAGACTACGCAACACTCCGCACCGTCATTATGGGGGTGGGGTACTATTACAGTATTTACGGTAATAATAAACGAAACTTTACAGAAGCAAATGCCAAATCTTCTACAAAGATGATCCATTGATGGTCTCGCGAGCCTCAATGCAATATGTTTATGACGAGTTCGGACATCGATACCTCGATTGTATCAGCAATGTTCAACACGGTGAGTGATATAATAAAGCTAACTCATATAAGCTGTATTTTTCAGTTGGCCACTGTCATCCAACGGTGGTTGAATCAATCTCGAAACAACTCGCCACCTCCACGTGCAACGTTCGCTTTGTGAGTTCTCAATTGACCGATTGTGCCGAACAAATCTTGGCCACTTTACCCGGCTTGGACACCGTGCTTTTCTGCAACTCTGGGTTAGTTATCTTTGCAAGAAAAAAACCCATAGCTTTCAACCTTCTACAAAATGATGATTTCAGCTCTGAAGCTAACGATTTGGCACTTCGTCTTGCGCGAGATTTCTCGAAACATACGGATGCTATTGTTGTTGACCAGTTAGTTTTCACAAAGAACATTTAGTAAATCATTTTTTTGAGTGAACCTTGTACTTTCCAAATCTCATTCTAGTGCCTATCACGGTCATGTTACAACAACGATGGAGATGTCTCCATACAAATTTGATCACGGATCATCAGTGAAACAACCGGAATGGTGTCATGTGGTTGGTAGAACATCGCGCTTATTATAAGACACAAAGTTTGTGTGTGTGTGTGTCTGTCCGTTCACCTCATAACTCGAGTCCCAGTGGGAATTTCGGTCTGATTTTTTGGGGCAATATGTAATCGACTACGGCGATTTGGTCTATCAAATCAGATTTTTAAAAATTTCCATCAGTTTTTGATCAAAGTTGGAAAAATCGAATTTGGCGGCGAGATCAAAGGTCACCAAGACGAGATCATCAAGGGATACTTCAAAAATGAATTTCGAGTTCATTTTTTCTGAATATGTTGGGAAAATATTCTTAACTTTTAACACTAGAAACATTTTGAGAAAGCGTTAAAGGCGAAAAAGTTCAAAGGGTCGGAAGTGACGGTGAAAATGTAACCTGTATTATATTTATCAACAATTAAGATTTACGTTTGACTCATGTAAACTATGCATCGACCAAAATCGGTTAGGATTAACTGCTCGTTGACAATAACAATAAGCAATACACAAAAGATTTGAATAATTGATTTAGACCCCTTGTCCTGATGTTTATCGTGGAAAGATTCGTCTCTCCGATGCCGATTTGCACGATAAAGAGAAATTGAAAGAAGCTGGAGTGAAATACGCTGAATACGTGAAAGAGATCATTGATGAGGTAACTAAAATGCTATCTTTTTAAGAAAATAAGCAGGCAAATAGCAGCCTTGCCAATATCTGTTTCCTAGTGTGAAGTCTGACTTCAGGCAGTGACCAAAAAGCGCTCAGTTGCCGCCTTCTTTTCTGAAGCTCTTCAATCGTGTGGAGGACAAGTCATTCCACCAGAAACCTATTTCCCGACTGTTGCCAAGTATTAAAATGCACTTAAATTTCATATTTCAAAACAATAGGCACATTCACGGTCATGGTGGAGTGGTGGTGATTGATGAGGTTCAAACGGGTTTCGGCCGAGTCGGAAGCACTTTTTGGGCTCACCAAGTTAACGGAGAAGGTAAAATCCCAAGAAATTAGAGGGTTTAAATTTTAAAGTAAAATTTCATAAAGAAAAAAAGCTGCAGGCTTTGTTCCGGACATTGTGACAATGGGTAAACCAATGGGTAACGGTTTCCCGGTGTCGGCCGTTGTGACGAGAAAAGAAATCGCCGACACTTTGGGTGGATCTGTTGGATATTTCAATACAGTGAGTATAAGCAAATACCGTAGGAAAAAGATGGTATTTTAGTTGTCTAATGGCTAAAAGTTGTATAAAAGAGATTGTGTTTAGTACGGAGGTAATCCAGTGGCTTGTGCGGCAGTGCTCGGAGTGCTCAAAGTGATCAAAGAGGAGAATCTATTGCAGCATAGGTGAGCTGAACTCTGCGACTTAAAAGCTAAAAACCTAAAGCTAATAAGTCTAGTTGTTTTAAGGATTGAAACAACGCTACAATTTTCCTTGTATTGAATAATTTAGCGAAGATATGGGCGCTGAATTCAAAAATGCTCTGACGGCGTTGAAGGAGAAACACGAGTGTATCGGCGATGTTAGGTTGAGAGTTTTGAAGAAATAACTCCTGTAACGGCTAAATATTTTGAAATGTTTTTTTTCTTTTGAATAAAAAGATCATTTCAGAGGTTTGGGTCAATTCTGGGGAGTTGACTTGGTGAAATCGAGAGAAACCCGAGAACCGGACACCAAATTGGCGTTGGCGTTGATTTTGAAGTTGAGACAGGTAAGAAAAAGAAATTCTATTTTGAAACACAATCGTTTTTTGTATTCAAAGCATTTCTTTTTTTCTCAGGAAAGAGATATCCTTTTGAATGCGGATGGACCCCACGAGAATATTCTCAAATTCAAGCCACCACTCTGCTTCAACAAAGAGAATTTGCATGAGGTGAGAAGCTGGCCAGGTCCTGGTTACCGTATTTTATCTAATAGTAGTGCACCCAGGCGAGCCGAGTTGGTGACGAGTTTACGGTTTCCAGCGAAGCCAACACCAAACCCCAGATCCGTCAGCTACATTTTCCGACCCCACATCGATAGGTTCTGATAAGCGGTTCTCAAGATTTCGAGCAATTTAGGCGACGCTCAGAGTGCACTACTATTAGAGAAAATACGGTAAATGATATGATGCATCAGAATTCTTACTGTACATATGTAATCTGTAATCTTACAGTATTTCAAATCGTTGTCTCTAAAAACACTAATCGTTGTCTCTAAAAACAAAACCACTTTAGGCAGTGTCAGCTCTGGATGTGGCCCTCACTCAAATGGGACACTGAGAGACAAAAGGAATTCTCTTTTTTTCATTCTTTTCAGGGATAATTTTATTTTCACCCCAAAAGATTCATTGCTTTTATTTCTTTTTGTTTTTATTTTCCACGGGTTTCTCTATTTCTTTAGGTTTTCGCGTTAGTGACGTTTTTCTCCCTGGAATTTTCCTGTTTCCTGTCATTATCCCAAAGGATTCTGCATGATTTCATTCAAATATTTTCAACTCAACGCTAAATAAAACAATTTGATGAAGTTTAGAACTTTGCCAACGAATTCTAAAAGGTTTGCTTTTTTTTTGGTGGGAATGTAGCTGATGATGAGATCTAGTGGGGGATTTGAGTGTTGAGCTTCTGCAAAAGCTTGGAAACCGTAAACTCGTCACCAACTCGGCTCGCCTGGGTGCACTACTATTAGAGAAAATACGGTAACCAGGACCTGGCCAGCTTCTCACCTCATGCAAATTCTCTTTGCTGTAAATTGTAAGTTTACACATAGAAAACAAACACTAGTGAATGTCAAAGACAAAACAAAGGGTGTATTCATTGAAAAAGTAATACTGTAGATATGTTTTACTAAAGTTACAAGTAGATATCTTCGAATTTAACTTCGAAAGTCCATTATTTAACCACTTCCTTCAAAAAAACTCCTTTTGTTAGGGTCATTGAAAACATTTTCGAATTCATTGTACCACTCTGACACTTCACACTTCAAATTGCTTTTAAAACGTCTTTCCAAAACCTTCAGAAATTCTTTTATTCTCGAAAACAAACAATCAAAACAATTTCTCGTAAATCACTCTTCCAATCAGATCTTAGATAATTTGTTTCGTTAAACCTTGTTATTGCCCTCAAAAACATGTCAAAATGATCTCGCTTTCCCTCTTGATGTTTTCTCGAAAATGACTCGCAAAACACAAAAAAAAACGGGGAGAAAAGTGGTTGAACTGCAACAGAAAAAAAAGAAATCAAATTAGAAATGGTCAACTAATTTCCCTCGTGTTTCTTTTTTCTGTTCTCCTTTTTACTCCTTCTCTCAACTCCTTCCCCCCATTTTCTTCCAAATTTCAAACAGACAAATCAGTGGTTTGTCTGTTTGAAAGGATCTCCCTCAGCTTATCGATTCAAAGCTATTACTTACTTATTTTAATCTAGATTTATAAGCTAAATTTGAATTATTCCTATAATTTATTCCGATGGATGATGATGATATTTCGATTATCGATCATTTGATCAAAGCTGAAGAGAAAGAAAAAGAACCCGGAGCATTGCAAGTGTGAGTGAACAGTTTCGGGTTTTGACGAAGCTCATTTCTAAAATAGCTTAGCTAAAGGGCACAATATGGTACAAAAATGGAAAGCAGATAAAATAAAGCAAAGCATTTATATAAGCTTTGTCTTGCAGATTCTGCGCCCGTTTATGCTTTTGCCGGTGCTTTCGCTCAGAGCAGAAGAGATCAAGACGATATGATCCATATGTTTTTGAGGTAATGGAGAATTTTTGTGAACAAATCTCTCGATATATGTTCAAAAATCGATTCTCCTCTTGACAAGCATCCTTTTTTCAATTTTATCAAACTTTTCTCAAATTCAGGATGACAGTTTCGTCTATTATGCATGTTTTGGATGTATTCACGTGAAGAAGTTGGCCGTCATTTTAGTGTTAATGAAAACAGGTATGAATTTAAGTAAATAGGTACTAAAGTACCTATTTACTTTTACTTTAGTACCTACAGTACTGGACAATGAAATATCATATTTGAAAAAAGATCGTCACTTTCGCGCGTCTGTAACTCCCTTGTCTTTACGGTATTTCTAAATATTAATATTACCATTGTGTAGCCATTGAAAAGAGCTTTCAGAAAATGTATAACACCAATAGTTTAAGCTCAAAGACAAGGGAGTTACAGACGCGCGAAGGTGATGATCTTTTTTCAAATATGATATTTCATTGTCCAGTACTGTATTTACTTAAGTACTTAAGTTACTTAAGTAAATAGGTACTTTAAAAGCTGAAAATTCGTTGATATTTAAAAAAAGATATTATTTCTAAATATTTCTAAATTATTTTACTATAAAGTGACAAAAGAAGAGATTGAAATGCCGATTTCAGTTGCTCTTTTTGCTTTTGTTTGTCGTCAATTGATCGTCACGAATTCTTCTCTAACAAATATTGGTATTTTCAAGGTTACCGTCGATTTAGAATCGTCATCACCAAAATTTAGCCTCAATTTTCCTTTTCTTTGCCACATCTTTAAGCTATGTGCTTGTTATTATTGGAGTTCAAGTGAAAAGGTTGAAAGTTCACTGTTGAAATCGAAGAAATCGAAGAAATTGAAGAAATCTCTCATTTTAGATACACTTTTATTATCCCTTATTTCACCGTTTGTGTATTGGTGATCTTATTGATGATCATGCAATTATTCATGGATTTTCTCGAGACAGCAAATCGAAAAACGACACTCGATAGAGAGCCGTTGCTAAGGAATTCAGCACTGGTAGATCTACTATATAAAAGAGCAGTGTCCGTCTGTACGGGCCTTTGGCCTACGGGTCTACGGTTCCAATACGGTTCTTTTTAGATCCAATACGGTTCCAATACAGCCTACGGGCCTACGGGCCTTGTCCTCAACCGTCTTTGAGCCAAAAAAAACTGAAAGTTTTTTAAAAAGTCTTAAAATATAAGATAGTTGTGCCACTTAAAATAAAAAAATTGAAAAAGTCAAAATGGAGTGGCACTACGGGGGATCGAACCCGGGTAACCCGGGTCGTGTGGGCCGTAGACAAGTGCGCTCCCGGCTGCGTCACAAAAAGTGGCAATGCCCGCTGTTAGGCTGTTAGTTATTATTGTTTTCCTGGCTCTGTAAAGTGTATTTTCTTATGTGTACTGTAAAAAGCAAACATAGAATTCGAAAAAAAGAATGTTTATATCCGAATTTTCGCAATTTTAGTTTATGATCATCATTTTCGAGATTTACACGCTGGCCGTTGTTTGGAAAGCGTTTATTTACATCAACGATTTTCAGATGAATACCGAATTGCATTCAAAGTAAGAAAAGTAAAAAAACAAACAAACACAAAAGTTGCATTAAGTTGCATCGGCGGGGGTGGGACAAACGCGACCTTTTTTTTGCTGGAAAAGACCTTAGGAAAGGTCGTAGAGCTTCAAAAATGTTTTCATAAGAATCGTATGCGTAGATTCCGAATTTCGACAAATCAGACCTCGCTGACACGTCAAATTTGGGCTAAAAGGCAAAAACTACGCAACTTAACGCTTTTCCGCAGTTTTTGTCTTTTAGCCCAAATTTGACGTGTCAGCGAGGTCTGATTTGTTGAAATTCGGAATCTACGCATACGATTCCCTTAGATGGAAATATTTTCGAAGCTCTACGATCTTTCCTAAGGCCTTTTCCAGCAAAAAAAAGGTCGCATTTGTCCCACCCCCGCATCGGCAAAGAACTCAAATAAGACAAGTGTCTAATGTAAGGATACTGTATTCATATGATGTAGGTCACCTCTTTGTAAGTTAAGTGAACTCTCCAATTAGAACGGTCCATTGGATTTAGGTAATATGTTGATTTCCAGAGAACGACGCGAAAGACTTAACTCGATATTTATTCGACGAGATGTCAAAGATCCATCAAATCAGCACAATTTGATACCAATCAAAGAAGAAAGTGATGAAGAAACGGAAGTAAGAAAAAGGAAGTTTTTCTTTTTCTAAAAATTCAAGCTTTTCAGGTACCGGTGACTCTACAAAAGTTAACCCATAAACGCTCGGAAAATGCGGTCACATGAAATTCGATAATGAAGAAATAATGAAGAAATAATGAAGAATTCGATGAATAAAACTATTTGTAGGCATGTTTTCTGAAAAGAGCCATTAAAGTGAGTGAATTGAAGAAGATGAGGGAGATGAAGAGAAGAATGAAAAGAGTGCTCATGGTTGAAGAAAGACAAAGAGGATCGTCGGCCGATGGATGGGAATCCTGAAATTGCTCCTTTAGTTCAAGAATATTAACTTAGCTTTGACTCTAGCTGCAATTACTATTTCCTAATAAAACCTTTGGATGTGTGTCCAATGGTGCCACTTCAATCCCCGTCCTCACATCAAGTACAGCTTCTCTTTCTTTGATTTCTCTTGTTCTCCTTTTTCTTTTCCCATTTCCCCATTCGGGGCTCGAAAAGAGCTCGGGTCTCACTGTGAAATCTTCTGCTCCAACATTGTCTACGGTATCCCTGAAATTATTCTCTCTTTTAGATTCATCTACCTCTTTACCCTTTGTTTTCAATATCTGCTGGTGGAATCGGGAAATCATTGTAACCGCTTCCATCAACTGAATTCGAGAAGTCATATCCTCCTTGTGACATCTCAACGAGATCCTCGAATGTTGTTGGAATATTCGTTGTCGATGTGGTGATCATTGTTTGACGGGGTTTCACTTGGAGATACACTAAAAGAATCACATTTCTATTGACTTCCAGATCAAAACCGGTTTGTCTTGGTGGTACAGTCGGTCTGATTGTTTTTTGTGTCGTTGTCGTTTGTGTCGTTGTCGTTTCCATTTCAACTTCTGTTATTTCTGTTGATGGGGAAGATGAAGGAGATGTTGTTTCAAGAATGATCTTTCGAAAATCACCATTACAGGCTGGACGCTCACACCCAGATCCAGCCTAATAGATAATATATGAAAAGCACTAAAGTGGAACTGACCTTCGGAGTGACACTGATCTGACATTGGAAATAGACTTGGGTTCGGTCAGCGAAAGAGCAAACTTGGACTGTCTGAAACAAGTTTGCTTGCAAGAGAATAGTTAAAGACAGTATGTTAGGCTGTTATATCTTGCTGTTGTTGTAAGAATATAAAAAGTTCGCTCACTTGTCCCACTTCCATGTCATCCAAATAACTGAGATGCTGAAGGATTCCCGTGTCCACCGAACAACCGTGAGAATCTGAAAACCCTTTATGATACTTTGATCTTCAAATACAATATTACAATATCCTTTCCTATTCTAGTATTACACAATATCTCCTTGAGCCTAATCCCCCCGATCTACTCACCAACAATCATCGCTCTTTGCCCATCATCCGACTCCATGAAACAACTATGAACAAGAATACAAAATTTCGCGTCTAAAGCTTTGTGAATCCATCTCAAAAAGTTTCCTCTTACCGTAATCTGTACATTTCCATCGATGGTATACGAATTGTCCGATCTCAACTCTTTTCATTAGTTGACCTTTAGGAGAGGAAAGAATCTAAAACAAATAGCTTAACAAGTAGCTAAAAAGTTCTTTGAAAACTTCATATTGACAAGTGGGCATTTTGGATTCTCGATGAATGGATATTGTAGTCAGATCATCGATTTCAAGACTGAAAACTTGTTTCAAGTGAAATTGGGTTGAATTCTCTGACTCATATCGAACATTCATCTGTTGTTCGGTGTAGAAACAGTCAAGTCGATAGGCGCGATCCGTTTTTGTGATGAAAATTGGCTGAATGCGGTCTTGGATAAAGAAAGATGATTGGTTGAATAGTATTATTGCTTTTGGATTTGGATCACCGTTCAATTATCTACGAATACTTACATGATGTGCCAGTATCAGTGTTGTTTCCACCCGAAGTCCTCTTGGATTGAGAACACGAGTTCGCGCCAATCCACAAGCGTCGAATCCGACAGAGAGCGCGCTATTCGGGGAAACACATGGAGATGAAGCGGCAAATCCCTGAGAATTGAAAATATCGATAGGAATAGTTGAATGTTCATCGAATCACCTTAACAAAAATCCTCCCATTAAACGGTGCTGTGGTGTTGAATCGAACTTGTAACCCAGTTGGAAGACATTCAAGCTCAGGATGGAGATCAACTTGTTGACTATTGATAAGCACGAGAAAATAGATGAAAAGATAAAGATTGCAAAGATGACAGTATCCCATCAGCATTCAAATCAACCAATTAATCGAGTCATTCAACATAGATGCCAACGAGAAAACGATCTATTCAAAGAAAGAAGGAAATTTGAATGGGAGAAAATGACAGGGGATAATCCCCATGCCCTTCAACAGACACACAAAGAATTTACATAAGAAGCAAAAGAAAAAGGACAACAAGTGAACATGTTTATTGTCCACTATACACCTAAAGCTCTCTGTAGACTGCCAAATGACACTGACACTACACTAAGCGTTCAAAAAAATTTGTGTTCAACTTTTGTTCTATACCGAGGGGGCTTGTCAGATGACGAGCGATTGTGCGTGTGCACAAAAAACACCTCTTTCTTCAGGGATTTCTCTTTTGTTTTGTAGATGGCCCAAAAAACAAGATGTTCAGCTGTAAATTACTCGGGAGTTTTCGAGGTCGGCGAATCGATTCGAGCTACTCAGCTACCCGAACGCACCCACGCATCCCCCTTGTGAATCTGAGTCCTTTTGCTTGCAAAAGTCTTTTTTTTTGCCTCTTTGTTGACTGACGTTATAGAAGTTTATAGAAAGATTTCAATGTTGATGGGTCTTTCTATAGTCCGATCACACAAGGTAAGACTGCTTGTTTTTTTTGGATGACACCACTTGATTGGAAGGGTGATACGATGGTTATTTTCACAGCTACACAGCTGACAAGGAGATAAATTGAAGGAGAAAGGGGGGAGTGTAGAAGAAAGGAAAGAAAAGAAGAAGAAGGAGATGGTCATTCCAACCTGGCCGGGCACCTAAAAAGAGATCCAACAAAAAGAGGTGGCCAGGAGAAAAATGAGAAAAAGCCAAAACAGAGAAAGTGGGGGGAAAGGGATTTTCATTGGATACCACTCTTTTGATGGGTGTTGTAATCGAGGCAATGGGATTCGACTCAAGCAAAAAAGGGGAGAAATCTGTGTGTGTTTGTGGGGATCGACATCGGTGGTCGAATCTCATTTCTTTTCCCTTTCAGATAGATCAAATCTCTTTTTGATTCATCCATTTTTCCCTTAAAGTTCCGACCAACTGTTCCCCTTTCATTCACGAAGGGAAAAGATCGCGATTTGGCACAAAAACGGTCGAATCTCACTATCAGTTTTTTTTCCCTCTCTCAACTGAGATCTCGATCTGATCTATATCTGACCTTTTAGCCCCGTTAATTTATAACCGACCACTTTTGAAATATTTAACCTCGTCTGGTGCAGTTGTTGGATTGCACAAGGAACTTGTTGGATTGCACAAGGAACACAAGGAAGCTCAAGATCCTTGAAGCTTGAAGAGATTTGCTCTACTTTCTATTCTATTTCTATTAGAGTGTGTTCCCTGCAATCAATTAAAGTTGAATGATCAAAATTTTAATCGATTAATTGTCGATTAGTGCGGCTTTTTTCAAAACGCGATTCAGCTATTCAGCTAAGTTAAATTCAGATATTAAAGGCCAGAGCAAAATTTTACGCTTATTTTTATATTTTATAAATTTAGTCTTATTTTGTTCTCTATCTCTGCATTTAGAAAAGGTATTACCGTATTTTTTTTTATATTTTTGCGCTTTTTTAAATTTTTGTTGTTTTTTTTTTTTTTTTGGGGGGGGGGGGGGGGGGAGGGGGAGGAGGTTATAAAAAAAAAAAAATAATCGCGAGGAACACATTTCTATTGCTTACTTTCTATTGCTTACTTTCAATTGCCAACTTTCTATTGCTTACTTTCTATTGCTTACTTTCTATTGCCAACTTTCTATTGCCAATCCATAGATAGTTTGAGGATTGTAATTACCCCAATAAATTAATTTTTAATATTTCCAATGGTCTTCCGATTAAAAGGTTTGCTAATTAAATGTTGATATTCCCGCTTGTCTCTCAATAAAACTTCTCACCTGACCAAATAATTTGATTAACCCGCCATTTATCGAGCTTTCCTCAACCATGGAAACAATTTGCACATTACCATTTAAAAATTTTTCATTCAAATCCATTTCTTTTTGAATCGTCGATGAGTCAACCATTTTTCCATCAAAAGCAACGTTTTTTTGTTGTTTTGCTTTACCACCCTCTGGAATGTTTTTCTCGGCTTTTTATTACCCGAAAACTAATCGATCAATCAGTCTTACAACTGAAGAGAATGATATAAAAGTCTCAAATATTTTCTACAATCCTATTTTAAGTCTATTTCCTTCCCTTCCTATCAATTAGGCACTGTATGAGATATTGAATTGACTTGAGGACAAACTGAATCGTCTTACCTAGTTATCCAAAGCCAACAATCAGAGTCTCTTGTTTTCCCATTCTCTTATTCGTTTATTCCTTCTTTAATGAATGATTCTCTCCTGTTCCGACTTGAAGAAATCTATCAAAAAGGAGATTTGAGAAATAATTTGTTCCAGATGTTTCCATTCTTTTCTTTTCTTTCCCTTTGTTTTCTGCTTCCGGTCTTCTCCATCTCACAACAAGATCCCCAACATTCTGCTCACTACTTTTCTTGCAAATTGTTTTTTTGGCAATTCTTGTAACACTTCTACAACTCTAACTTTTAGAACTTTCGCCTAAATCAACCAAAGCCTCAATTTTTCGACTTTCAACTTGATCCTAGTGAAGTGTAGAAGTGAATTAATGTGTCAAATGGGAATGAGCCGATGAAAAGAAAGAAGAAAGACAATAAATGAGAACAACTGTCCATTCTCTTTGAAAATCTCTGCTTGAAAAAAAATAACGTTCGTTTCGTTCTTTTATTTCCTCATTATGGGTATGTGAATGAAAGGGGTGATTGGGGGAGAGAAAGACAAGAATCATAAGGATCTTTACACCTTTAGAATTTTGTTGTTTCTTTGAAATCTTTGTTTCGAGATGGGTTTGAATTTTGAGTAAAAGAATGGAATACCTAAGAACAAAGTTGTGACTTCCAACATCGTTGAGCTTATTTTCACAGATTATCATTTTAAACAAATTGGCTCATTGAGTCATCCTTTAGTAACTCTCCCCTCCTCTTTATTGCCTCGATCTGTCTCCGAAACGTCACCAGTCTACTCGAGAATTTCGTTTTTTCTTTCATCCACAAATTGGTATCTTCTAACTGAATTCCCTAAAAAGTCCAAAGTTTTTTTTAGTGAATCCAATTTGTGTGCTATTTATTTCAGCGGAAAATCATTTTCCCCATTTTAGCACTTTCCAATTAAATCTCTTGGAGACTCGCTTGCTTGAGGTCCTCTTCTTTTTCAGTTTCATTTGTTAATCCATTGTTAAAGATTTCTTGTTTTGGTTTGTCTGCAAATCTCATGTTAATCTTTGAGCACTTTGGGCAAATTAGAAATTAAACGACTTAGTCTCGACTTAGTGAGCAATCGATCATCGATAACGACAATCTTTGATTTGAGGGGAAAATGGGACAAACCGAGATTGACATTGAGTCTCCTCAAAATCTTGAAAAACTAAGAAAGAAAGAGTGACTCCTTCCATGATTCCCCATCCGTTTCCCCTCTTTTTTTTCTTCATCAACTCAACCTTTCCTTTTTCCTCTTTTCTGTGAGCCTCGACTTTCCCGTTTCCATTTACACTTTCCCCTCAATCGTGATCCATTTCTCAACCTCCAATCACCCTCCAATATTCCCACTAATCATTTCCTACATCGATATGAATTGATTACGCAACAATCTTCTTTCAAAGGTATTTCTTCATTTACTTACAGATTTCCCAACTTCTTTTATAGTCCACAGGAAATAGAGATCTTCTTGAATTCGTTTACATTTGAAGATAGGTTTATCCAACTCTTGGACTATTGTCAACGCCCTAAATTCTAGTTAATGAGATAACTTTTTTTGAAATGATTGTGATTGTGATTTTAAAATGATTATCGATGTATATCTTTTTATTTCCCCATATTATTCATTGTACTGTAGAAAAAGAGTATCGCACTTTTGTGGCAATTCACAATCAGATAACCGAAACTTCAAATGTGAATGCATGCAAATTACACATTTCAATACTTGCATAGTATTGTTCTATAGTGTTCTATAGTTTTCTATAGTGTTCTATAGTTCTATAGTGTTCTTTAAGTCATCCTCCCAAACTTCATGAAATTTTTGCAGTGAAATTCCCCAACCCTGGACAGCTTAAAGGAGTTTTGTCGCTCGTCGCGCAACATGTGGCGACAAATACGAGAGGTTCGGGTTTTGGATAGATTTTAAAAAGCTTTACGCACCATGAGATTTACTAATTATTTTATAAACAACCTTTTTCTTTTATTTCTTGTCTAAATTTTCTCTTAAGCGATCCACCTCGAGAGATGGGAAGAAAAAAGGAAAAAAACTCGTCGCCGCTGCTTCGGTGCCGAATAATTTACCGGTAAATGGTCAATTCTAATTCTGTAATCTTTTTACTATTGCTTGCTTTAACAAAGGGCTCCATAAAGTATATACCTTTAACAATTGACTCCTTTAGACTCAAGAGTACATTCAATATCCAACGGTGAAAGCGGCAAAAAGAGAGGCGAACGCTTTAGAGGCACAGGTCAGAGAAATTATTCAGATTTTCTTTGAATTGATTGATTGAAATTGATTAACAAAAAGAATATACTGCTAAAAATGCCAACTAACGTGTATTATTCCAGTTAGCGAGCCTTCACGATGAGATGAAAAGTCTACGAGTCGAGTGTGATCGATTGATTCATAAACATCTCAAAGCAGATGAAACTCAACAAGTAATACGATTATTGTTAACTTTAAGAAGACTTTAAGAATTGTATTCTCTTCAACTTTTAACCAATACATTTTCAGCAAGGATCCCACCTCGGCGAGAGCTCATCAGCCTACAATACAGGCGGTGACAGTTGTCGATCGGCGAGCGTCACTCCAGAGGGAACTCTTCCTGTGATGACGTCATCCCTTCACTCTCCTCCAAAATGCCCATCTTGTATTGCTCTTTATTCAAACCCTCCAACTCCATCAATCGCATCAACCACATCTCGACCGACGTCGGCGGAAAGGCGACAAAGAAACATGACTCAACGAGTACAGTCCACAGAAATGCCCGTTTTGGGTGAGTGATCTGAAAATGATCAAGTCAATCTTATTCTTAAACGGCTAATTTAATATCACCGTGAATATCCCTTAGCTGAATGTTGTCCCTTCCAGTTGTCGATCCAACAGGGGCCGTTGTTGGAAGATCGCATGTGCCCATTTCTCCACCAATTGCCGTCGTTCCTCCAATTTTGTCTCTTCATCCAAGCGATTCTGTCTCATCCGTCAAGACATATCAATCAAGAAATACAATCGTATGAAAATTATCAAATTCAATGAATAAGTCATTTTAGAAAGAAAACCATAGCACAAATTGGAAACCAAGTGGATCAACTCTACACATCCAATCACCGAAATTCAGGTTTCCTATCTTTACAGGATCTTCAAAAGTCTAAAATTTATATAAAACGGTTATAGTAAGATAAACTAATAATGAAAACTAATAATATTCCTCCAATTTTAGAGTCCCAAAGTTCTCGATCGTAGCCAGAAGTCCACAGGTAGCACCGTCCACAGGTCAGAAACACGTTCCGCCGCAAACTTCAAAGTCAAAACCCCAACCGATTGAGCCAATGTCAGTTTTTGATGAAAAATAATTATTATTACGATGAATTTAGTCGTCAGAGTGAACCGGATCGTTTCCATCCTCGTCTTTACATGTTCGATCGACCAATTGATGAATTGGGAGAATTGAGTGAGGGAAGTGCTGAAGAAGTGGATGAACAAAAAGAGGCAGAAGAACAACAACCGACAACATCGAAACAAGAGAAAGGACCCGTTGAATATAAATGGAAGGTAAGGAAGTAGTAAAAAGATTGTGAACAAGAGCTGTAAACGCAATTTCTCAATTATTGGGTTCAGGTAAAACGTCGTTGTGATGGTAGTCGATATGTTGTGAAAAGACCGATGAGAAATCAGGTGAAAAAAGAATTCCGTGAGCAATTAAGTGTATCTAAATGATTTGCAGGTGCTAAAGAAAAGAGAAGCTCAACTATTGCGCGAAAGAACCGGGATAAGCACGGATGATGATGCGATGAGTGGAGTGAAGGTGGGCGATAAAAGTATATGTCGTAGCCGATTATGAATGAGTGGGTCTAGAAGCGTCCAACCATCAAGTATTTAGTATCATTCAACGCAGAATCATTAATAATTATTTTAAATTTTTGAAATTAGAAAGATTGGATAAAAAGAACACAAATTAGAGCAAAAAAACTGTTTGTTCAAGAGAAAACTTTGAAGCCCCATAATTTGTGTTCTTTTTATCCAATCTTTCTAATTTTAAAAATTTAACATAATTATTAATGATTCTGCGCTCAATGATACCAAATACTTGATGGTTGGACGCTCCTAGACCCACTCATTCATAATCGGCTACGGGGGTCCCGCCGATTTGGAATGAAACGTTGTAGCGCCGGCCATTTTTAACCTAAACTCACAAATTTGGTACCAATCGACGCAGAATTCAATTCGCTACAAGATGATATAATATTGTCCTCATACATTAAAGGGTTGCTCTACTAGAAAGGTTTACCAAAAAATTTCATTCATAATCGGCTACGACAAGATTGAGATTGAGAAGCCTTTGTAAGTTTTGTTAACGAAAACTTTCAGCTCGGTCACTTCTTCAATCGAGAGGAGCGGAAACGGCAATTGGAGCACGAAAAAATGAGGAAAATTCGACAAGAGGAGAAGATAAATCAAGCAAAAGAAGTGATCACGGATAAGGTAATAAAGGAAATTAGATAATTGCACAGAAATATGCAAGCTTTATCATCTAAAACTGTAATCATGCCTCTTCATTCAGCTGATCGTCGATTTGGCTCAAAGGAAGATGGCTCGTCGACAAGCCCCATTGGATGGATTTGTCTCGACGAGGGAATACCTCTCGCAAAGACATTCAACTACAGCACAAGGCCCACCACCTCCAGCTCCAATACTTGCCGTCACCACTGTATAAATTTTTGAGTCCATTTTTGAGCACAAAGTAGAAATAACTATAAAATCAGGTTCTCTGTTGTCTAGGGTCCGCTATTAGGTTGTGGAAAAAAATAATGTGCGTTTTTGGGTATAGCAGTTTATTACATTTTATAAGAAATAGCAACTATCAATCAGTTCTCAATCAAAAGACATTCTCCATTTTATCGATGACCTCTTCCCATCTTCGACGCAAGTCCTTGATTCCATTTGTGAAAAATTGGGGGATACTTGGAGTCAAAATAGTTGTCGACCGTTTTTTTTGACTTGAGCATGATCATCGAACTTTGATAAACTGTGATAAACTGTTTCAGGGATCAAACAAAAAGTAATCTGACGGGGCTAAGACAGGAGAGTAAGGCATGCGGAAGCAACTTCCAGCCCAGCTCGTCAATTTTCTTGTGAGTGACTTTTGCAGTGTGGGGTTTCGCGTTGTCGTGCAAAAATCGAATCTTTGATGGATGGAGTCCCCAATTTCTTTAAGACATCGTTAACTCTAGTCAATTATTTTGAATAGAGATCAGCATCAATGTGTTCTCCTGGATAGGTAACTCATAGTGCACTAAACCTTTTAAGTTCCATCAGCAACAGAGCATTATTTTCTTTCCTTGAATATCAGGTTTGGGAGTGGTTTGAGGGGTTTCGCCGGTAGATAGCCATTCGTTCTTCCTTTTGACATTCTTGTAATTAATCCAAGTTTCATCAGATGTCAAAATCGAATCTCAAAAACCACCAGCTTTGCATTTATGGAACAAAAAGAACTGACGTTGACACGAGTTGTTTTGTTGTCTTGAGTCAGTTCGTGCGGAATCCATTTTCCACAGCGAATTGTTTTCCCGAGTTGGCATAAATGGTTGTCGATTGTTTTTGATCAACATCAAATATTTCTCGTCGTGAGTGTTAGGTTGAAATCAATTTTAATTCCCCAATGCCAAATTCAAAACACGCATTATTCTTTTCCTCAACCTAATATATTTTTTGCTATATTATATGCACATCTATAAGGAAAATCACATAAGAAGTCATTTATTAGGTTGGCGAGAAAGTCTTGGCCCCCTTTAGCATTGTAATTTCTTAAAAATCACGGCTTTTATTTATCTTAGATATTGACTGTTTGATAATTTGATCTCGGTTAATCTTACTAGGAAAAGTCACTCTTTTAAATGCAATAAAGCTAATTTTTGGTGCTCTTTAGAGACATGTCTATAGAGAGATGGTCGTAGTAGATTTTTAGAGTTAAAATAGAGAGACATGTCAGAGAATGGAAGAATATGATCTAATTTTCAGCCGCTTCCAAAAGAATACAAAAATAACGGTAAAGACAACAATATTTTGTTTTGATATTTCAGTGGTCAATACTATTAGGCTTTTCAGAAAGTCTTTTTGGTTCCTATCTTGGTGTCAACAGATAAAAGATAGAGCACAAAAATTTTAGGTATATACCGAAATTCTTAGATAGATTTTTATGAAAAACCCGTTTTCACTCTCGAATTTTCTTGAAAGTGAACCGAAATTGACTTAAAAAGATGAAAAATTGAACAATAAACACTTTTTATTTAGAGAAAACAGTGAAAAAAAAGGCTCAGAACTTTTTCGCCAACCTAATATAACCAACAAAAGAATATCCGTTGTGGGTTCAACCTTGTCATTCACTTATTTCTCTTGTAACCGTTTGATTGTATCCCGTTTTGTGCTCAATGTTCGTTATATTGAAAAGACATCTTTAATAATAAAAAGTTTATTTCGAAAACAATAAAAAAATCAATAATGTTAATAATTTAAATATTGGGGTGAAACGACCGAAATGTCATTGAGAAGCGCTGAATTTATATGGTGCTAGAGGCTCTCAGAAAGTCCAGCCCTCACATAAACCCAGGATTTCTCGACGACGCAACAAGGAACAGTTTTCGGGGAATTCACATTAAAAACAGGATTTACTGTAGAAAGCCTTGGTAATAGTATAAAAGCATAGAGCTTTTGAATAAATTTTGAGCAAACTTTACAAGCTTTACAATGATCTGCACGAGTACTTGTACATCCATTTACAAGCCTTGATTCTAGTGTCCTTTAACATTTACAGTTTTAATTTTTTAGAGTGCACAATGACGGTAAAGCTTTTGAAATTAGACAAAGAAATTTTTGGGCAAAAGCGACAAAAGGAGAGGGAGGCCGCTTTTGAGGGTTCGGGTGGGAATTTCGGAATTTTATTGTCTGGGCAAATACGTGTATGCAGAAAAAGTAGCGATTGAATCGAAAGAAAAAAAAATGGGACGGAATCGAATCGATTTTACAGGGGCGGGAAGGGGCGGGCGGGGTGAGACAGCGACTGTGCAGGCAGAAGAGGGGGCTTCCCCCTCCCCCTTCCGTCAACTAAAGGCGTCTGTATGCCAGTCTAGTAAAAGGAATACCCCTTCTTCTAAAAGAAAACCACTATGCAGATATCTAGTCATCCCTTGTGTTCCTTTTAGACCACTCTCTTTTATTGTGGCGATCATTGAAACGTTTTCTCTAGGCTTTCTCACCTAGCTGAAAGCTTTCTAAAGTTGAAATAGCTGCACTGACATATGGAAGACTTTTTCACACTATTTACAGCTTACAAGAGTCATCATCTTTACAAGAATGCTTCAAAAAAATCAACCCTTGATTTGTACCAAAGATAAGAAAACTCTGAGCTCCTCTGAATCAACGCAGGAATGGTAGAGATATCATATAACCCAAGCTTGGTATCGTACTGTAGTTTTATCCAAATACTACATATTTGTGACTAAATAACTACATATTTATGACTACATATGTATACAGTATTTATGACTAAAAACTCAAGGCATAAACCCTACAATAGTAGCTGAAGGGACAGGTGTGCTCTCAAAAGGAACGGTGAGTCGAAAATTAGAGGACTCTCGCGAGGGTCGACCCGAGAGCCCATATAAATTGGTTTTCACTACAAAAAAAAGAGCTTATTTGTTTTCTAATAAGTGGTGCTGGGATTCCTGTTTTGCCGGATATCGAGATTTAGTCCCTGAAGGGGGATAAACCGACAAGAAAAACCAATAAACAGAAGAAGTAGGTGGAGAAGGAGAGAGATTGGAAAAAGGAGATGTTGGGGAATAATAAACAATAATACAGTGCTCGGATAGACATTTATAGTTTACCCTGGTAGTTTAGAAAGAGCTTAGCTATATGCTAGCATGGAAATTATGTAGACTACTAGATCAGATAAAGTACTGAAGCTTCTTTAAAAGAGACAACTCAAACGAATCCAAATGCCACAAAGTAGTAAAGTCATCAAAAATGATCAAATTAATGGCCCCAGGTAAACGGGATCTCCAGGGAAGTGAAGGGGTGTGAAATTTCAATTTTGCCCTCCCCTTCAGCTTCTTCCCCATCCCATCACCCTGCCCCTGTCTCCCAGTCCTTCCCTCCCCTCCCCTTCTCCCAACCCGTCCACATTCTATTGACAATTGATAGAACAAATAGAAAACAGAGTCGTGTATCAACTTACCTTTCGAGCCGCCACACACCGACCCTTTTGTGCCCCCCTTTTCTTTTTTTCTCTTTTCTCAATTTCTTTCATTTACCCGATGCCAATTCAACCCCGCCCGATCTATCCCGGCGCTTGATTCGCGCTCACAAATGAGTTAGTTTGAAATTGGATTCTGTGAAAGTCAAAGAAAAGAGTTATTAACTTTATACAATACCAGTTATATTTGAATCTAATGATAGTTTTCCTAGAGCAGCTAAAACTAAAGAATACTAAACAGTCAAGTAAAATAGAAGAATAGCAAAAGCATTTAGAAATGAGTAAGGTTTGCTGGAAAGGATACAGTGCCCACAAAGCTTCGAATAAACCCTGGTATTCCCGGGGAAACATTCGAATAAGAAGTGTCATCGGTATGACCGGGCAAGAGAAGGACCTGTAAGAGATGAGAAGGGACTCTTATCTTATCTATCTTTCAGACATTTGAACAACGAGCGGTGGAAGGGGCAAGCACTAAACCCCTTCCCATTCACCCCTTCGACCATCTGAAATGAGTCGACATTTTGGTGGAGGGGCAATCATTTGAATATTTGAATATAGAAAGAGAAATGAGTGAAAGGGACTGTTCTTTACCATAATCACAGAGTTTACTCTAAAATAAGCATCTAGGGTGTTGAGCGAATGCGTTACATGATAAAGACACTTGTTTGTACGATTTCCAGAGCTTTTCAAGTCGATCACAATCCATTTATCAAGCCTAAACTCACCTGGATTTCTTCACTGATCTTCGACAACAAACTCCATTCAGGGAATACCAATTTGCGATGGGAATAAGCTGATGAGCAAGGGATGAATCCGAGAGAAGAGACCCGAGATTTATGTGGCGCGTGGAATGGAATGACCACCGATGGACGTATAGACGGGGAGAGCTGCATTCGACATGGATGAAGGAGAAAAAGAGGTAAAAAAGAAAGGGGAGGGGCGGTTGCCAGGACGATGTATAATAATTGCATACGCCCCCCTTCAGTTGCCCCGTCCTGGTCCCTTCCACCCCATACAGAAAAAGCTCTTCCCTTTTTTTCTCTTTTTTTCACCCATTCTCCACCCTCCATTTTTTTTCCTCCCCACCGGGCTTCGAAGCGCAAAAAAATGCCCTTTTTACCCGTCCAAAAAGCAATTAGACCAAACTCGGTCACTCTATAAGCGGTTCGAGAAACTCTTTCTTTTACCCGTTTCTTTAAGATCGTTTATTGACGATTGAGTCGAATGGTAGTTGCCAGTCACTAAATGGACTGTAAGAAAATGTTGGAGTTGAAAAAGAGCAAAATTTGTGAGAAATAATTCTAGAAACGCTCTGTACAGTTCTGTACATTGAAAAACAGCTCTGTACAGTTCGAAATGAAAACAGATTTACATAGCCTAATACATGTCTTTCGTTCTTTCTTCTCTAGACAATCAAATAACCAAATCATTTAGTGAAAGCAATTTTGTTTAGCTTCCTGTAACCTAGGTAACAAATGGCCCTCACCGGGAGTAAGTGGATCAAAAAGAAAGAGATCAGGCAATTTGGCCGTCCTCCAATGAGTCTGATTTGATTGTTGGTGTGCTTTGGGTGTCTAGATTGGAATTGGATCACTTCGTAAACATCGAACATGAACAGAAATCATGGGAAAAAGAAGCACATGAAGCAAAAAAGTGAGGCAATGCTCAGTTCACCTAAACTCTAAACTTATAACTCGCAATTCAACCGCAAACAACATAGATATCAACTTATCTTCCTGCAAAGTACACACACTTTATTTATTGCCTATCGAACAATAAAGGTACAATTTGAAAAGGTTTATGAGAACCGTTGCGAGGGATTATGGATAAAAGTGGATGAATGAAAAGGGGCAATTTCGGGTGCTTATAGATGGGGATCGGGTCTCCGATTGAGGGCAATCACCCCCACGCAGATCATCCATTCATAGAAACATGAATAACCCATTCCTATAAATTGAGAGATCATTGGTATACCTGTTCTTGGAAAAAGAATTGGTTGGATTGGTGTCGAAGTGCTTTTTAGGAAACTCTGACTGGGATTTTACAGTTTCTTTTGATAACAAAGAGCTCAACACATTTAGATCAAATTACCTAGATAATGAAGATTTGGGTAGCCATTTCTTTTGGTATTTGAGATATGCCAGGTGATTCACTCGACAGTTCCCGCTCACTGTGAACACAATTGTGTCAACACCAACCCCCCCTTGCCAGTTATTGTCTCGAATGGCCCGTTTGCTGAAATATTGAAGCAGCTTGACCAATATCGCATCTCATACAATAGATTTCAATATATCGAGGAGATCAGGTTACTCAACCAATCACTCGTTCATTTCGAGCTCAAGTGGAAGTGCTTGAGTAAAGGAAACACAGCTGGTCTCCGATCGAAATGATCCTAGCTGTGAAAATGCGTATTTGTACTGACAATGAGTTTGGTAAAGTACTGTAAGTCTGCTTATTGTAGCACATAACAAAACAAATCGTTTCCCTAATTATTCTCATCAGCTATTCCTACTTCTATTGTTTGTGAAGATGAAAGGAAGAGTAAGCCATTCACCATTGAACGAATCCTAAACAGCTTCTTCCACCACCACCCAACATACAAATGATAATTAGGATGCACACGGCAAAGGCCGCGCTTTCCTTGACAATGGCATGTACAGAAAAAGGCGCTGAATAATGCACAAAAATGGAGGGAAGGAGGCTTTTAGCGGTCGAGAATACAATTCAAAAGGGAGAAATTTGGCTATAGAAAATGGTAGGGATACGGTACTCATTCCCAAGGTTCACTATTTGATTCAGTACATGATACGGTACATTTTACAGTACAAGCGAAACAAACGACCTAATGGACAAGCTTCTTAACACACACATTTACACTAGGCATACTAAATGAGTATCAGAAGATACCTTATCGAGAAAGCTCTAGTGTTAATCTATATGTTACGCCCGTTATTGAACCTATTCAATAACAGACGTTCGGTTCTGAATCAGACGTCCGTTTTTGAATCGTTCAACCTATATTTCAACAATTTCCAAAATTTACTACTAAATCCCCGAAACTAACCCATTTTTTTTCTTTTGATCATTGAGCATTCATCGTCAAGCTTCAAAATTTATTGGTAAAAACGATCGCAAATGTAAATGATCGAAAACAAACATAACAAGAATAACTTATAAAAACACAGATAAAGAAAAAATAAAATCAAAATGCGGAACGTGCAAGTTAGCTAGGATTCAAATTATGAATTTAAAGTTTTATGAATAGAAATTGAAATTATATGTACTTGCTAACTCGCAAAAACTTAAATTCATAGATCATTTAAAAAAAACAAAAATCCTCAAAATATAGGTTGGACGATTCAAAAATGGATGTCCATTATTGAAATAGATTCAATAACGAACGTCCGGTTCTGAATTGGACGAAATTCAATAATGGACGTAACATACATATTGTGATCTATATAACATCACAACCACGGTTACTGTTATAAAAACACACGACCAGATATGAGAAGCTATATTTTTTTGAAAATCACGAGAGCCGTCTATTCGATCACCACCATTCAATGCGCTCGAATTCAAAACGACAAGCAGACCACAGAGCGCAAAAGAGCGGGAAAATGCATTCACCACTGATTTCTCCGTCGATACAATCAATCCTGGAAATTTGCGGAAAAAGATTGCTTAGAATTTCGGGTCCAATACATTCAATAATGGACGTAACATACGATGGCTCAGACTCTTTTGTACATACATACATACGATGGCTCTTTTGTGAGTACGGTGTGAAAAAGAGTGGTGTCTTAGGCAAAAACGTAGCACTTAGCCGTTTGCCACTATACAAAGTTAGTGTAGGTGTGTGTCATACATTTGTACAAGTAATGCGTGTGCTTTTATAATCGCCAAAAATGACATTTAATATTACCCTGCTAGACACTCGACATCCCCATCAAAAAGTTTCTCACTCTATCCCTTCTAAACCGTGCCCTTTTCACCGTCACCTCCTCAAGCCTTCACTGAATGAATTTTTCTCTTCTCTACACTTTCCGTGTAGTGTTTCACTTTAAAAAATTTTTTTCTAACCTGGAATCGTTAATTTTTCTGAAATTTAGCAATGAGACGATCAACAGTGTGTCTAGTGAGAGGTGCAAACAGTCGTGGGTTCTTTTCGAAGATTTTCGGTGGAAGCGAAGCGACTTCGACAAGCAAAGAAACGACGGCAACAAAGATGACAAAAGAAGAAAAGGTTTTTTTCTTTGAAACCTACAATTAGAAAAGACTTTGGTGCTGTTATAGGATGATAAATTGTAAACATTAAAGATGAATGGGGTGACATCTGTTTTTTTTGTTAAGGTTATACGATTTTTATATTTTAGGAAGCTTTGCGTAGCCGTTTGAGTGAAGTGAGAACGGATGTTGAAAAGAAAAACGAAGCGGCCATCGCTCGTACGACAACATTTTCGGATGATATGCTTGATGAACGGCTCGACATGGACTCGATTAGAGCACGAGGGTTTGTCTTAGTTAAAACTATTGTGAAAATTAACTTCAAGTCTGAACTAAGCATTTTGTTTATTATATTTCTACTTTAGTGTCATGAAATATCGCTACACTTACAATCCGCCATCAAATGTTAAAGAGCTCGTCCTTTCCGTGGTCGAAAAAGTGACAAAAAGTCGAGATTTAAATCAAACTTTTCCAAACAACAAAGTCAAGTTTGAGGTTGTCTCTAGTTTTTACTATATTATAATATTTGTTTTAGATTTTATCAAAACTCTTGACAAACTTAAAGCATTCTCCCACAAATTCCCGTTTGTTGCACATAAAGAAGGTGAGCTTTTAAAAAATGAACTGATTTCATGATTCAGTAATTCAGGCTTCTGATGTTGTCGAATTTTACGAAGAACCTGTCAAGAACATTGACGCTTATGCTCAACTGGCTAGGTAATTTTTATTTAACTTTTAAATAGTGAGAATGAATCCTTTTTTAGGACGGAAAATCTGCCCGCGAACCTTCATGTTGCAGAGCAACCCGTGCGTTTTCACCCAGAGGATAAACACGCTTGGCATGGAGGTTGAAACATGTTTCTTTTTTATATTTATCTTTCTTGTTTAGGGATTACTGCTTTTCCGGGAGGAGGAGGCAAAGTGTTTGGTTTAAGGAATAAACGAATTCTCAGGTGAGTCTATTATTTTGTGGCTGAATGATTGCGTAAATGGCTGTTCATTTGTTGATTTTATTTTTAGACAATTCAATCCCAAAACGGAATGGTACGACTATGAGGAGCAGAATTTCGATTACTCTCGGCCCGAAAAGGGGATGCCATGGGATCCAGAGATCTCTAAAAAAATGGATAGGTAAATACATTTTTTTACATGTAACTGTATTAATTGAAATTTTCAAAAAAGTTTTCTTTAGATATCCTGATCGACGGTACAGCTTGTCAACAAAGACTTTTTTCAAAACTCAATAGTTTGTTGTTTTTATATTATGTTTTGCTTCTTTTTGTAAATATTAGTGTGGTTAGTTGATAAATTTGTTTATACCCGTTGCAAGAAATTACGCAATAATATACACGTAAATAAAGGTGATTGAGATCTACAACTTCTTCTTTGAGTTCTTGCTGCGCTTCTTTTTCTTTTTCGCGGCTCCCCAATCCTCTTCATCTTCACTTCGGATCTGGAATAATTTGGGGATTCTTTGCAAACTAAAAACCTCAAAATTTTGAGTTGAAAATTTGAAATTTTCTTAATTTATGTAAGTAGACCTCAATTTCCTCTTCGTCGAATTGGGATTGGACACTTCCGGGCGCGGATTCGCTCGCTTTTTCGTTATATTGCACTTTTCGCCGAGCAGCCCTGAAATTTTTATCACACAAGATGCATTCCATTTTGCATTTATTATACTCATCCACAAACCTTCTTCCCATTCCGATGCACTTCTCCAGATGCGGCGCATAATAGGTAACGGCGATTGTCCGACCGCAATTTGTGCACTGACATTCAATTTGTTTTCCTCGGCTTGGCGTGAAAGTGGCGATCTGGAACATTTCATTTTCCAAAGTGAGAAGTTAGTCTTTAGTATCTTCAAAATTTAACTCTTGTTTCTTTTTTCTTTGATACCTTTGGTGTGTGCGGTTTTGGGGACAATTGTCGAATTCCCATTTCCCGATTGATTGCCAAACGTCGGTGCACCTGAAAAGAAGGTTCCAATTTGTCAATCCTTATTTCGAAAAAACCTCAAAACATTCACGAAGTGTGCAACTGTCGATCAGATCGTTCACCAATTTCTGTGCTATATCTGAATGGGGTTTGGAGAGTTAATTTGAAATGAATTCACTTACCATCAGCGTTATCAGCGTTAATTGACATCACTGAATATACTATAGTATGAAAATAAACTTCAAGAATCGAATATGAATTTTAGTTGTTGGCTTTTAACTAAGTCGAAGGAATAGGGATTACTTTTTGTTGCCTAATTCAAAGAGAGTACCGTCGATAGGCGTGTGGTGTTTGTTTGTGCACATCTGGGTGATGCTAGCTCGGCAATTAAGCAATCATGATAGAGTAATTGGTTTATATGCAAATCTAATGTACTTGTCGTACTTGTCTAATAGAATAGTCTTCAACTGTAAAAGACTATTCTATTAGTTTCTTCTTTTGTTTATGCTTATATTCGAGCTCATTCAAAATCAACTCTTATAGAGTAAAATAGAAAAGTTCCCAAACTCCGAGACTCGTAACGGAATTCGGAAGTTCAACTTTGACACAAATGTATTGACTAAATGAATCATTGATGCCTTGTAGGCCCTTAAAATTGAATCTTTATTGAGCACGTGAAAATGAAAACCGTAAAATGGGATAAATGCATGAAATGGAAGACTATATGTTTTTTGATCTACCGGTTGATGAGATCGATATGTGTTTGAAAGGGAAAACTGAACTGAACTGAACTGAAATTATATGTGATAAAAGGAATGAAGAATAGTTGGTCCAAATGAAGCACAATGAAGCTTACTAAATACAATTCTTTCCGAAAAATGATTGACAGAAAGAGTTGATCGTTTTTGCGGCTCCACCCCGTTTACATCCATAATGAATATCGCTTTGGAAAAGGGCTGAGAAGTTGACGAGAACATGCTGTAAATGGGTAATGAATTGAAGATTAAAGAGCATGAATTCATTGTACTAGAAAAGGTGTGTTTCAGCCTACTCCGGTAGAACTTTAAAGGAACTTTGTCCAGTTTTTTTTTGCTTTTGAATCTCTATGGTTGGTCAAATATAAATTTCCGTTTTCCGAGAAGACTTTCAGAATTTCAGTGGAAAGAAAACAAAGACCACTTAATCTAAAATATAGTTGCAATCTTAATTAACAATATCTTGCCAACATTCCCCGTAATGAAGCCTCTTATTGTAATAGTCGGTGCTTTAAGATTGAAAGAAGCCATCTTTATTCGCTATAGTAACAAATGAGACACTCATTTTCCATATTATCTATGATTTTAATGAGTAGAAATCAGTGCCTCTGATTTTCAATTGTGGAATGTGATTAATTTAAATGATTAGCCAGTTTTCGAGTCATTTGTGACAGCCCAGTTTCTACTGGCGGCACTTAAAGCCGAGTTATCGATTATCAATTGTCTGTTATATTCCTAATCATCTATGCTTTCATTGCCAATCTTTCATTGCCATCTATGCTTTCATTGCCAATCCTAATCATCTATGCTTTCATTGCCAATCTCAAATCACTAAACCAATTCACATTTTCTAAGGAAATCTTTTCAAAAAAAAACAATGCAAATTGATTGGTGCGATTTAGCGACCGTTTTCTCACGTTTAATGTCATCAACAGACATGTGCGCACTATAAATTTTCACATTTGACAATTCATATTTGGCCAATCTAATAGATCTACTCAATAATCTTGTCATGTGCTTTTGAAATGAATTTTTCAAGATGCTGTGAGAGCTCACCTTGACCAAGCTAGCGGCCAACGATTCCGACGGTGCCACCGTACACCAATAAAGATTCCAATCGCACAACTCGAAATGCTCGGGAAGAGCATAAACCTGAAATATGAATAGAGCTTCTCCCATGAATTCATTTCACGAACCATATCCAACACTTGTTCCTTAATTTTTCCTCCTCCTGGCACAAGTCCCTCTTTGTGGAAATGGCAAAAATCGGAGACGAGTTGCGCTCGTCCAACTGCCGAAAAAGCACCCGGCCATCGCCGCATTTGGCTAAAATTGGTACACTAATCCAAAATGACACTAGCTCTTGCCTAAAAATATTGTTCCACGTGGCGTAGTCATAGTTGACACGGACGAATGAGGTAAAGTTGAGATTGACAATCACTGGCGAAGTGACATTCTCATATTCGGCTGAGAAATTGAATTGCTTTGTAAAGAAATTTTTTGATACCAGCTTGGGTGAGCATGAATTGGGGAAGATTGAGTTGATTGGGCAAAAGAAGAGGCCACAATTTGGGGCCACGTTGAGCCACCGTTGTCGCCCCTTCACCATTCACAACAAGGACTTCAGGGAAACCGCCGGTACGATACCAGAATTGGTAGATCTTAAATTATTAGCCTTTGTGTATGCTGCTTCACCTGTTTCACAGATATTAGCCTTTGTGTATGTTGTTTCACCTGTGATAGAGGGATTCCATCGGGTGTGGTGAACTTGTTGAAATACTCAGCGAAGAGATCCAAATCAAACGATGATCTACAAATAAAGTTCGTTTTAAACGGAAGTACGAAAAGGAATGAAAGCCTAGTATCACTTTCTAAACAGCCTAGTATCACTATAATTTTCTCGAATCTTATTTTTACGCTTCACTTTCTTCACCTTGTCGCAATGAGATGTCTAATCGATGCCATCAATGTCCCTTCTCCAATCAAACCCTCAATTGATTCCAAAAAGACGACTCCTTTCAAATAACAATGATTGGTCATCTAAAAGCATCGAGAAGCTCTCTTTTTCATCAAAAAATGGAGGAAGTTTTTGGGTGTTTTTTCGAGATTCTCTGTAAACAAATCCCCAATGAGGTGAGCTCTCGAAAAAGATGCGAAACCGATCTCTTTTCTCGAGTCTTTCAGCAATCTTTCAGCAAAACTGACCCCCAAAGGGAACACTTATAACATCAAAATTGGGATATTGATCTATTGATTTGTATGCACGATTTTGGGGCCAACCATTTCGGCGTCAATTTGTTCAGGCAACTCCAGCGAATGATTGGCAGAGACGAAATCTTCGGCCAATTGGATTTCCACGTATTTTGAAAGACGGAAACGCTCATATCTGAAATGTTGGTTTTGAAATGTGATCACTAAACAATTCACCTCTCATCTCCACCAAAGAGCGCACGCACAACCTTGTAGCTGATGTAATCAGTGAGATCTTCCTGCATTTGGATTAATTATTGTTAGCTATTCGAATTCACCTGTAAACAAGCCCACTTCCACGAGTTCACCGTCACTTTGTCTCCAATCCAATGATGAGCTAACTCATGAGCGACCACATAGGCCACATGAGCATCATTCGCTGATGGTGAGGCTAGTTCCTCTAAAAAAAACTTTTTATTACAACGTTTTTTATAATATTTTGTAATATTCAAGCTTTAAAGCGTGTCATAAATGAAACTGAAACGAAACTTACCCGAAACGACAACATGCCCCCAATTCTCAATCCCGCCAACGTAATCAGGCACCAAAATGAAGTCTACCTAAAAGTGTTTCACTGGTAAGATTCCGTAATAGTATAAAAGACAGTTATAGCTTTTTTGAATACCGACCTTGTTCAAGGGTAGAGGCACCTCAAACATACTAGCCAAGATCTCGAAAGCGGCAACGGCTGCATCGAGAATCCGCAACGAATCGATGGATGAATCCGCGTGGACACGAAGAGTCACACCAAATGAGGTGGCACGGTAAAGCTGTGAATAAATAAAGTCAAATTCACAAATCAGCGTTTAAAGCATTTTAAGCACCAGATTTACAGTGATACCTGTTTATATGAATCGGGCATCACCGAGAACGACAAAAGATATGGGGGAATTGAGGGTGTCGGCGCAAAGACTGTCTTCTGCCACCTCAAATCAAAAGTTTTGAAAACTTTTCAAAATCTAGAAGCTTTTAAAACTTTTTTAACTCACTCAGCATTCACAACAACGACATCATTGGCGATGGTGTTTGATTGAGCGATTGTTTCTGTTGGATGAATGATCGAGAGACGGAATGGAGCTTTTGATGAGCTGAAAACGAGTTTTTATAGCATTCTTTCTTAGAGGAATTTAAAAAATGGCAAATAAAATTAAAAGCTAATTATAAAACCAACGGTAGATCGATACATGGAAGGAAGGTTCTGGCAAAATCCGGCTGAAAATGAGTGGTGATCAGAGCGGAGTTGCGACGCGAGAATACTCCCCATGAGTCGTTTCTGAATGTTTGTCGTTCAATTCCGCTGATTTTTGTTGTGAATATCAAATTGTTACCTCAATTTTCCACTATATTCGACAATCGTTAGAAGATATTTCCCTTTTGGGAGTGCGTTGACGAAGTTGAATTCGACCGTGTCGGAGAGAATGCGTAACGATTTGAGCTTTGGCTCCACCGTGTCGTTGGCGCTGCAAAAGTTGCTTTAGATTCTTGAAATTTATAGAAACAAAAAGAAACTCAAAGCCAAACCTTAAAAGGGAAATATTTCTGAAATTGTGAAGTCCTTTCGCGTGAAGAGTCACATTTGAAGAGTTTTGAAGCAAGGAGAACTGAAGGCGAATTTACAGAATCCAGAACTTGATCGCTAAACCCACATGTAACATCAATGATCCGGTGAAATAAGTCTCATTGATGGGTAGTTGAACGGTGAGATCATAGCTGTGTGGAAGGATAAGAAGAGTTACACCCAAAGGGAATAGTAAGACGAGAATCGGTAACGTTTGAATACCCATTTGCCAATCTGAAAGGAAAGTTTACATCTAAGTGAACTACGAATCAATTCATCAAATAGTTAGATAATTCAATAGATTACTGAACAAGAAAATCAATGAACTCAATTGAAAACAGGGGTTGAATCTCCAAAAAATGGTTGCTTTGTGGAGGTCTCGCTCGGTGCGGGTGCGTGAGTGTTATATGGCTGTGGGTTGGAGAGGGGAGGACTGAAGAGACTGAAGACTCCTCTTCAAGATGCACGAGAAGAAAGATGGCCCACCCTTTAAGGGACTTCTTCACCTTCTTCACCTTCTTCACCTTCTTCACCCCTCACTGTTTGTGCGCGTTTCACAGAAGAGAAAAGGACAAACGAGTGAAATCAGTGTACAAGACTCTTCTTTTTCTTTCACATTGTCTTCTCTTCTCATTGTCTGTACTCGTAACCTTCCCCCCTTTTCCTACCAAAAGCACAGTTGCGTGAAAAAGCTCTCGACCCGGAAGGGGTGACCCCTTTCTCACAGTTACCACACACTCTCATTTCATTGTTATCAATGACCACTTGCCCATGGGAATCCCCATCCAATCGACCACGATATCCACTATTCTTGGAGAAGATCCCGTATTTGGAGATCACGAAACGCATCTGCATTGCTAGTGAAATAGGACCTAAAGGGCTAGTAAATGGACCTAAAAGAGTTGTTAAAGGTGTCAAATCCAAACCGATTACGTAAAGCACACTTTTGTCGATAGAGATTATCCTTTATCCTTGGTTCATTTGTTGCATACGTAAAGCATACGGTTACTAACTACCTAGGCAGTTTTTAAGTCCACACAAATTGACGGCTATGCAAATTCTGTTCGATCCCCTGTAGATATGAGTAATGAACCCCTTCACCACATAGATAGAGATTATCCTTTATCCTTGGTTCATTTGTTGATCCCATGAATGGATTCAAGTTTTTGCATATGACTTGTGAGTGGAAAAGAGAGGAAAAGAGATTCGAAACTCTTCAAACAAATACTTTATTCATTCCAATGGGGATTTGTTGCGTAAATCCGCACAAAAAGCTGTTTTTTCTCTTCTCCTCTCAGGTGGGCGTCGATCCTCGTGGTGGCCTTTGCAACATTGTTTTTTTCAAAAAAACAGAGATAAGTGAATATTTGTTTGATGTTAGAAAACAATACCCTGACCCACGGCGACAAATTATCCGGATTACCGTAATCCGGTGGATCTTCTTGAAGAAAACAAGTCCCTTTCACTGACATGTGTTGATCGACGACGGGATTAAATCTGAATCATCAAATCTCATGGATAATCTTGTCGACAACGATTTTTGCGGAAAGAAGCCAAAGAGCTTAAAGATTTGATCAGCTTTTAGTGTGTTAACATTTTTTTTTATTGAAAACATTGAGAGCTTGGATCAGCTGAGATTCGGAAATGTTTTGATGAAATAAATGGGGTTTTTCCTTCTGTACTCCTTTCAAATTTCATCCAAAGATTATCGGATTTGAGTGGAGTCGCTTAGAAAAAGGAAAAACATATTGGATCATGTCGTACTGTCGCAAAAAGATTACTGTAACTGTACTGTAACTAAAACTTAATTAAAGATTTGTTTATTTACTGACACTTGAAGGACGTTTCAGGCAACTTTATCAAGTATTTAATTCAGAATTGAAACTACTGCTTAAGCCAAGTTTCGATCTCAATAATGATGCGATTATGATCCTAAAGAGTTTGTCAACTTCCAAGTCTTGGAAGTTGACGTCTTGGAAGTCTCTGAGTCTTGGAAGTGGATTCATAATCGGCTATATATGTCGTAGCCAATTATGAATTTCAGCCGATTATGAATGAGTGGGTCTAGGAGCGTCCAACCATCAAGTATTTGGTATCATTCAACGCCGAATCATTAATAATTATGTTAAATTTTTAAAATTAGAAAGATTGGACAAAAAAAAAAATTATGGGGCCTCAAAGTTTCCTCTTAACAAACAGTTTTTTTGCTCTAATTTTTTTCTTTTTATCAAATCTTTCTAATTTTAAAAATTTAACATAATTATTAATGATTCTGCGTTGAATGATACCAAATACTTGATGGTTGGACGCTCCTAGACCCACTTGTAAAGAAATATTCTTTGCGTGCTTGGTACTCTTCACTCAAGACACGTTATTTCTTGTTTCGAGATATCTGATCTCACTTGAACTAAAACACTTTATTCAATAACCGACTAACTCGGAATCTTTGGGCTCTCACTTGAGCAACTTTCACACAAGATCGACAATTGAATTAAAAGTGACGATAAAAACAGAAACAATTTTGTCCTAATTAGGACACAACTTTCACACGATGAGAGGAAAGCATTAAAAAAATGAAAGATAACAAAAACAAAATGAACAACAGTTGCCTTATATAGGCTTTAACACAAGATACTCAGCTAACAAGCTACAAAACAATAAATGATTTGGGGCGCGAAATAGAATGAAGGCGCACCGATTTCCTCAATACTTTTCCAATTTTTAGGCTGTCAGAGTTAGATAACTTTTAGTGGCTATTCGCCACACCACTCATTCATAATCGGCTACGGGGGTCCCGCCGATTTGGAATGAAACGTTGTAGCGCCGGTCATTTTTAACCTAAACTCACAAATTTGGTACCAATCAACGCAGAATTTAATTCGCTACAGGATGATATAATATTTTCCTCATACATTAAAGGGTTGCTCTACTAGAAAGATTTACCAAAAAATTTCATTCATAATCGGCTACGACGTATATCTTTGCACTGGAACGACTGAATCAATTGGCGTTTAAGCACTCTGTTTGTTTTGTTTTTTAAAAACAAAACAAGCTTTGTTTTCTCTCATCCTTGCTACTCATCCTTTGGGCATGAGAAAAGAGATCAAGGGGATCTCATTTAAAATCTAAAATAATATAAAAAAAGAAAAGATCTGACCTCAAGGGGATCAACTCCTTTCTCCACTTTTTGCAACACAACAATCACCTCTTTTCGCTTTCCCAAAAACATTTCGCAAATCTTATCCACCGCCTTGTTTATTGCTTGTTTTTTTCTCTTAGTTGTGGCGTAGAATTGTGATCCATTTCAAGAATCATGGTGATTTTAGGAAATGATTTGTAGCGAGAACGCATTATAAGGAGCATTGTCAATGGGAAAACAACAAACAAACTTTAGAAAGGTTCATTGTGATTGAATTCATTTTTTTTAAAATTAAGAATGGAAAACCAGCATGTACCTTATTCTCTGAGTACCTCTTTAACACTTTCGGTTCTCCATTCTCGTGAAATCCTGATGTTGATGAGAAATCATGCCAGAAGCTGACAGAAGCGAGAGCATTGACCTCATTTGCCGCTTACAATTAGAATAATTTCTTGTCTAATGCTTTATATGCCTCATAATATTGCCAGACTTCAATTTTCAACAATTCTCACCAAACAAGCCTCATTAACAAGCACCTCCTTGTAAACACCCCGATCATAAACCTGAATTTTGGCTTTTTCGGGCCCCCAATGGCCTGAATGTGATCTATTTGTGTATGTGAAATGTATTTTCCCGCTCCTGAAAAGAAAAAAAAGCGGGAGGGCCAAAGGGGGAAGGGAATAGCTTGTTTACGAGGCCCTTCTTCACCCCTGAGGCCTGGAGCTCTAGAGCTCTCTTCCTGAAGAGAATATGGCGTGTGTATGCCCATAGAGGGAAGCGTGGTAAAAAACATAAAAAAACATAGCGCCAGAGCATAGAGACCCGCAGAAGGCATTCGCCTCCCTTCCCTCCCTTCCCTTCACTCCCTTCCCTTCACTCCCTTCCCTTCACCCCTTCACTCCCCTCCCTTCATTCCCTTCAGGGCCTCCTCCATGTTTTCCTTGAATTCTCCTCTGTTTCCCCCTTCTCTCACTCCTTTTGTGTGTTGTTTTGGCAGTGTGCCTCTCTCGTCGTTTTCGAATTTTTCCCTTTTTCGGTTCCCCCTTTTTTTTCTTGCCCACTCAGTTGTTGTGATCAACGGAACCACTCGTTTTTCGGCGAGTCCACCCGGGCAAAATATTCGCTACTTTCTCTCTTTTCCCTCACCCACTCTCGCCCATATTTTCACCCTCTCAACCTCCAGGTTTTCACCTCAATTTCGCCACCCCGAAACTGGGCTTTTTGAAATCTATTCTCTTTTTGTGTTCTTGTTTGTCTGCTCGATCTATTCTCTCTATTTTCTCTATCTTTGCATGTGTGTGTGTTTTCTATTTCTATTGTCATTTCATCTGGGGGACTTTCAGTAGACACACTCTCGGGATCACTGCTCTCCCTGTCCTTGGTCTCATTTGGTTTTTTCGTTTTTTGATAAAGATACGGTAATCAGGTTCTGACCGTAGTTTTGTTACCCATCCAATCATTGTGCTTCTCTTATTTGTTTCATCTAAAGTAAAATTGCTCACTTTCTGGGGGTTAGTTTTTGGGTTAGCTTGATTTCCCAAGCTACATTTCCATTCCCAAGTTTGTTTTCAAAATCAGTAAGTTTGACTTTGAAGGAAATCGTTTCAGTAAAGAATTCTGATGCGATTTTATGCTAGACACGTGCTTTTGGATGACTCAAATCCCTAAAAACTGTGTTGTTGTGTTTGCAAAACTCTGTTGTTGTGTTGTTGTTGCCATTTAAGCAAATAGAAAAATGTTACCATTTTGATAAAACTTATTATTCTGTTTTCTGCCATTTTTTTGAAATACCGTTCTTGCCAGATCACGGAAGCGACTGCTGGCGCCAAATTTCTTAGGTGATAAGTTGATATTTTCACGTTTTCCCCGTTCGTGGGTTCTGGTAAAGGGGAATACTCGGGATCAAGCCCCCAATCACTTGAAAGAGACGTGACACAGTAAGAGAGAAAATGGGAAAAGAGAGACTGATCGGGGAATGGAGGGGGAAAGGCCAGACTGATCTCCTCCCCCTTGAACCCTCGTCCCTCCCTACCGTATCCCATCCCTGCCCATCCCCCATTTCCCGCCTGTCACTTTTCTTTTCTCCATTTCAATCGATTCATCCTCTCCTTTCCAGCTGATACCAGTGAACCTGCGATTTCTGTGTGTTGTTTTCCATCCGCAGGCTTGCCAAAACCCCTTTCAGACTTATCTAGCTCCTCCTTTTTCATCCACAATTCTCGGAGTGAAAATGAAAGTTGTTTTCGAGTAAACACCCCTTCCCCCTCCCCTCCCGCTTGTTTTGTTTTCCCTCCTCGCTAGAATTCGTCATACAATCAAACATTTCATTTTCTTTCGTTTTCCTCTTGTTTTTATTGTTATTTTCGCAATCGAGTCGGCGCTTTAAGAATTGTTTTGTAAGTTTTGTGGCACTTGACATTTCAAAGTTGGAAAACTTGCAGCCAGAAATCTGTTCAAAAACAATTTGTTTAAGGAAATCCTATTAGAATTTTTAAATCCTTACAACGGGATTTCCTAAAAATAGTCAAATACGGTAGTAAAAAAATGAATCGATTACAGTAATGAGAACTGAGAAAGATAAATATTGGAGAGGGGGATTGTTCTCAAGTAATGATAAATATTGGAGAAGGGGAATTGTTCTCAAGTAATGAGAACAATCGAAAACAACCCCCTTCTCCAATATTTATCTTAAAAAGAGGTAATCAAGTTTTTTCTT